AAAAATATTTAACAAGCAAAATGTAAATGGATAAAGCGAAATTAGATGATTTTAATAAAGAATGATAATGGTGACTTTTGAAGGGGAATACAATTGTCAATAAATCATTGAATTGAATTACATGAGATGATTTTTCATTAGAGACTTATCGTTCCTCACACCAATCATTTTCTTTACGAATCTGCTCTTCTTCAGCAGGGGTGAAATCATTTACAATGTTAAACGTCTTTCTGATCTCCTCGGGAGTTTTACCCTTGATCATGTTGGCCACAGTTTTACATGATACATCCAATAGACCTTTGATATCCAAGTAATTAGCAGCCTGTGATTGGAAATGAGATTGAGAAAAGGAGAGGGAAAAAAATAGAACAGAATAGAATATTAATTAGTATTGGAGAGAAGAAAAAAAAACGTAAAAAAGAATCACAAATAAAGGAAAATGCGCATTGTTAAGGAGATTACAATGAAATATAGAAATTCTGTCCTATTATAGAGATACACTTATTGTATACTTACAAGAATGAGCTCAAAGAGAGTTCCTTGGTCGACTTTTAGAAAATCTGCATCCCAAGTACTGATATCATCGGTTCTTTTATCACGACAGTCATCGTTCTCTGGTGGTGGTAGATCTTTGTGATGGTGGGTAGCCCAGGTAATAATCTTTTTCAAGATGGTTGAATTAACATTGTGAAGAGGAACCATATCATCATCTCCTTCCTCCTCATCTAGGCCAAGATCCTCTAACATGGTCTTTATGGTGACCGAGACTTGGGCAATTTCTACATCAACAGGGAAAACTTCACCATCCGAGCTAATCAATCTAATTGTAGGCATGGTTAAATGAAATGTAAGGAACAATGAAAATTAAAATTAAATTTAAAAGAGACAAAGTTAATCAGTAAGACAATAATTAACAATTCTAAACATAAACAATTGTTGACTCTTCTCTCTCAATATCGACTCTTTAAATAGAGAAACACAATCAACGCCCTCTAGCGAATAGAAAGTAACTCCATCTGTTGGTAATTAGGAGAACTTTTTTAATTTTGTTCTTTTTAAGCTTTTTTTTCATTAATTTCTTATTCCTTTTTCTCGTTCAATATTTTAGTGATTAATTAATGGCGGAATTAAATTGTATCTGTTTGGCATTTTAATTAATAATTTTTGGTGATAATTTGTCTAATTGTTTATGAAGGACAAGAGAATTGGCCTTATCAGCAGATTGTATTCTTCGTATCTGTCAGTTTATAAGATTTGATTTCTTTTCTAAGGAAATGTTTTACTTGCCTCTAGCATTGTTTTCTTGTTTTCATCTTCCAGTGTTTAAAGTTGATTAATTGTAAATTGTTTCATTTTTTTAATCTATCGTTTGCTAAAATTTAACTAACCCAATGTTTGTCCTTCAGATGATATCTGTTTCAAGGTTTATCATTGGTTGTCAATGATGACAAGTTCTAGAAAAATCCTTTTTCTAAATGTTGTTTGTATTTTTAAAAAAGTGAATTTTTTTCCAATTACATTTGGGAAATTCAAATTTCTTTTACTATTTAGAATTGATTTGGGTGTTTTATTGGACTGGCCGATTTTATATTTGGATGGATCCTTTGGTTTATTATCATCCACTTTCCACTGGTACTTGGCTTTACACGGGCTTTTTGTAATGTTTAATTGGCAAAAAGATTATCTCATAATCATCCTGTTGACTGGATGTGAAAATTTCCACTAATTAATTAATTGGTCAAATTTAGGATGTAAAGGGTTTGATGGTTTGTTGTTGAAAAGCTTCTGGTTTGATTGTTAACCCCCTTTAAGAACGCGTGTTCCCTCAACACGTGTAAACGCATTCACTTTATTTGGATCAATTTTTTGCGATCATGTTAAGTAATTGATCTGATTTAAAGTTTAATTACGACAACAAGTGATTTATTTGCCTCAATTTAGGTGGAAAATAAGTGAAAAACTATCAACATGGTGCAAGAGTATTGATGTCAAAATGGAACAAGCAACAAAGAAAATAAGTGAATTACTCTCAAATTCTGATCACATTTAACTGGATTAACTTCTATTAGAAAATGAAAGGTATTTATCAACAAATTGTGATAATAATCAACACAATCAATAGTTTATCAATTTGATACTTTACTTTCAATCATTATACTTGCAAATCCAATGATCCTCATTTAATATCATCTCTTTTTTTGTCATTTTCCCTCTTTTTCATCATCATCTCTACAGGTTTTTAATGGTAACATTTTCCATATCATATCATGACATTCAATCAATTTCTGTTGCTCCATAGTCTCGGAAAAAAACTCAAACACAATTAGGATTAAATGGACACCAAATAAGTGGAACTTTGACCTCACAAAGGCTCACCTTTGCTCTCAGACAGTAACAACTAAATAGATATTGGATTACATGGTCTCTTCATCCTCTGACTGTCATTTTTTTCTCGTGTTCATTCAACCTTTTTTTTTCCTGATCATCTGATGTTATCTTTCAGTTTTTTTTGTGTCATCTGATAATCTGCCGTTAAGGATATTCAAATAATTGATTGTTAATATCTCTTGTCCTTGATTAGGATCTCGAAATGCAAAAACATAAAGTCTTGATGTCACAAGCAATCCAGTTATTGGCTATTCTGCTGATCAAGTTTGTTTGTCGTTGCCGACATATAATTGTCTTTAATGAAGATAATCAAGCTGTTAATTGTTGTTAATCAACTGATTTCCTTTTTTAAAAAAGCTAAATTTCTTGATCATCTCGACTAATATAAACACAGTGATTATCATTATAATCAACGCAAAGAAAACAATTGATATTTTCCCTTGCGATACTTTAAGAAACAGTTAATTGTTAACCCGATTTCATCATAAACATTAAGAGTTAAAATCTCCTTAATTCCTAACTAAACTGTTTTACTTGATTAGGATTAAAGGTCATGATAAACACATTGAATGTTGAAATTCATCCTGAAATAGGAAAAAAAATCACAATTATCTGATTAAAAATGGATGATTGTTAATTTATAAGGTTTCAATTTCATTGAGATATTTATTTGTATCTCCATTGAAATTGCAAATTAATAAACAAACAAATCACCAACAATTAGTCCAAATAATCAAACTAATAGAAGAGTAGAAACTCAATCCTTAATCTAATATCAATTGTAATTACATTTTAATCAAAAGATTAGATAATCAAGTTAATTATCCTTGTTATCAATTAACACAATCAACTAGACTGATTTAATTATCTACACGAAACAAGAAAAAAAATAATAACTCCAAAGAGAAGGATAAATAAGATAATTTGAATTAAATGAAATTTTCTCTAATCAACTCTACTGATTATTTAATTCTTTACCTTTAATTGTAAACGTTAATTATGATAATAATAATTGAATTAAAAACACAATATATACTTTGAAATGAAATAATAAATGATAAAGAAAAGATGAGAATAAGAAATTGAATCCATACTAATGTTTCTTGTCAATTAACGAAACCATAGAAAATCAAATTTACTTTTAACCATTTCGATTGAAATTGTTATTAGGTAAGTAAAGTAACTGTTCATTCACCACCACCACCTACACTCCTTTCACCCTCCCCACTCCCAATATCCATGATGGAATCAAAATATCAACTAATATCATAACCAATCACGTGAGAATCGACATTCCCATTGGACTATCTTGAAAGTTATCACAAATTGGCTCCTCCTCTTAAGCTAATCTGTTAACTATTTTCTATATAAACGAAACTCCTCCTTTCTAGTTTATCATCATCTTCACCTTTTCTTACCTTTTCATCCTTCGTCATCATCACTATTTCACTGCGATTCATTATCATCATCAACTCAGGACAAACTTTTAACTCCCAGACCATTTTATCATCTTAATATCTTTTAAATTGAGTTTCAATTGTTGATAAATTTTCTCATTTCCAATGCTCATCATTTAATTACTCAAACAAGTGATTTAACTGATTGATCAACTATTAACCTTTAAATTGTTTGTTTCAATTGTGATTTAGTTTGGTTCCCATCAAAAGCAAAACAAATAAGAGAGAGATTAATATCTTGGTAATCATTTCATTATATTCTCGTAATTAATTGTTAATTGTTATTATTTTTTTCTGCATGAATTGTATTATTTTCGTTGTAAATTGTTTGATTAAATTTTCAGTTTCTTTGCGTTCATTTCGATTGATTCATTTTTCTTTTTAAACTTTTTTTCTTTTGCTTGATAATCTTTTTGATTAATTGTTTCTCGAGTTAATTATCGCATGTAAATCGTTGAGCTGACCAAATGTTCGTATCGGAAATGATTATGGACAAAGTGATTAGAATGATGATACATTTATGATCGGATGTTGAAAGCGATACTTAGAATATCATCTTACCTAATCTTCCTCTTTTTCGATTGTTTTTATTTCTTCTCTTTTTCGATCTTCATCCATTTCCACCTCACTTTCTATCTACCACGAGACCAAATGTTCACTTCCTCTCCCACTCTTTCTTTCTCTCTCTCGATTAACTGTACTATCATAACCTCGTTCTTCTCCCGAGCACTTCCGCTGAATGGATCATCATCTTCGTCGGATGATGATAACAAAGTAGCTTAAGAGCATCAGGGAGACTTTTTTATCCACAACATCCTCATCATCTTTATCTGCATCTGCATTTTTATCTTCATCCTTTTTTCTCATCATTTTCACCTCTTGAGACAAAGACCAGTGACAAGATTGATAGAAAGATGATGATCATCATCTCTCTCTCTCTCTGTCATCCTTTCATCTTCCTCTATCATCCTGTATCCTCCTTCTTGTTATGTGTCCATTTTAAAATCATTAATGAAAACTAATTGACATAAGCCATCCCTATGACTTACCTTTAACAATCAACATCTCTAATTGTCATCAGTCAATAGACGAGCTCATTTAATCATCATCATAATCAACTTAATCATTTTCGACTCGATATTTTTTTTTCGCAACAAAAAACAAACTTTTTCTTTGCTTTCTTAATAGTTGATTATTATTTTCATCTATCGATTGATTATCTAAATATGTATATGATTTAATTACAGAAAAGTTCAGGTTTGTCAATTGTGATTGTTTCCTTTTCTTGGATTGAAATTTAATTATCGTTCATTGTGATTAAACAATAATGTTCATTACTAATCATCAGCATCTTTGGTATCAATTTGATTGTACATTTGTTAATCTGTCCGTCTGTCTGTCTTAATTGTTGTTGTTGCCTGTTAATTGTTATAACAATCAATCGTTTCTTTCAATTACACTCATTATATTGTATCTTTAATTGCAATTAATCAAAATGAATGACGAAGATTTCCTTTCGTGCCTTGGATACAATCTTAATGATACAATTACTCCTTGTCCAAGTGATTCTGGGATTGATTTAAATTCAATGGAGTTTGATCTCTGGTCACTTAATTGTCCAACACTTAATCACAACAATCTGACCTTACAAAGGTAAGAAAATTAATAATTATACAAATTATTCACTTTAAATTTAATCAAACATTTAATTAAACTTTGAGCACGTTGATTTGATCCTGTAAAAGTAAAGTTAATATTAAATCAATTGGTTATAATTAGTTAATTATGCAACAAAGTTAAATTAATTTTATGATATCTTGTAATAGATTATTATTATTATTATTATGATAATTTAATCGTGTTTCTTTTTCCTCCCCCTATTTAATTGCCATGATTAAGAATGGAATCAAGTTCATCATTTGTTAAATCAAATGATTACGTTACTGATAATATCTCAATTAAATCACTTCCAATTGAATCAAGTGAAATTTTTCCAGAACCAATGATATCACAATCAAATAGTGTCAACACTAATCAATCAAATGCTAATTACTCTTATGGGAATAATAATATTTACAATACAAATAATTCATCACAATCAGGAGGAGGTTCAGTTGATTTGAATTATTTCAATCAATGTAACGGTTTCACTGTTTCAAAAGTCATGATTACACCTTTATCACCACCACCACCACCTCCCCACCCTCCTCCACTCCCAACAACAACAATGCCATCATCATCATCATCATCATCGACAACCACAACCACAACAACTACAGCAACAACGTCAAATATTGGAATCAACTCTAATCAGCAACTGACCAACAATCAAAACTCAATTAATAGTATTGCATACTCATTCCACAATTCAAATGGATCAATTAATCAGATGAACAATTTACCGAATCATAATATTCACTCATCACAACAACAACAACCACAACAACAACCCCTTATACTCACAATCAGCATCAAATTGTTTCTGATCATCACCATCATTCAAATCATTATCTGACTAGTCATAATCACAATTCAAATCATCATGTTAATAATAACACCAATCATAATCATAGATTTTCAGTGCCACAACCAGCGAGTGGATTATTTCCCACCTCAATGAGTGTTAATTTATCTATGAACATGACCATGGGCTTTGCTACTTCCCCTGTTTCAGCGGAGGCAACAGCAGCCGCTGCCGCAGCTGCGGCTGCTGCAGCGGCATCAAGTCAACCAATTGTTTGGTCAAATACAACAACATCATCACCATCAACATCTCAATCAACTGTAGCTTATGAAATCGGAGGCGGAGTAAATAATCACTTGAACATTTCCACTCCAACAGTAAATCCCAATCAACTAAGAGGCTGTTCAACATTAACTAATTGTTCACCGCTAATTACCAGCAACGGTTTCAACAATTTAACTGGATTCTTTGATAATCCATACAGTCCGACTTACCCAACATCTCCTGGTTCATCATTTCACCACCATCCACCTCCACCACCTCTTCCTCCACCTCTTCCTCCTCCTCCTCCTCCACCGCCTCTTACAACAAATCAACATCCTCATCATCTTCAATATCATCATTCAGATAATTTACTAATTCAAAATCAGCCTGTTCCTCATAATCTTCATCATCCTCATCATCAATCTCAACTGCAACAATTGCACAATATAAATCATCATTTTCACCATCAACCTCACCACAATCAAGACCAACAAGATCCCAATCATAATCATCATCACAACAATCAAATATCAACAATCAATCAAATCTCATCAGATGATAAAAGTTATCAAATTGAAGATATTATTGAAACGACAAATAATCTCAATAATGATTCAATTAACAATCAAAACCATCACAATGATGGAAACAGTAACAATCTTAACGATAACGATGATGTTAAAATTAACTTTAACTCCAATAGTTCAACTACAATCAGATCAATTTCCCCGTTAACTGAACAAACTCAGAATGAGATTAACGATCATCACTCTGATTATTCAAGATACAACAATCATCTAAATCATGATCACAATCATGTTTATCGTCATAAAGGTAAAATTGCCCAGGAATTAGCAGCTCTTCAAGAGATAAGCCAAGAATCAGATGAAACAATTTACTACAAAGAATCATCTCATCATCAACCTCATCTTCACCAACCTCTTCAACAACCTCATCACTATCAACTAATCAACACACTAATCATAATCTAAATAATTCTGGTTCATCTTCACCAAATTTGTGTCGCATTTGCGGCAAAACTTACGCTCGTCCATCCACATTGAAAACTCATCTTCGAACTCATTCTGGTGAAAGACCTTACAGGTAATTAGTAAATTGTCAACAATTAACTAACCTTTTTATAGGTTGATTCAAATTGTTCAGTTCTATTATTATTATAGGTCAGATTGTTTCTTTTATCATTATCGATTCTGTTACAATCTTTTATTATTATTAGTTCATTTTATAGGTTAATTTGATATTGGAAACTAATTTATATCAAACTAATTAATTATCTTCATTGAAAGCTGAATACTAATCAAAGGATGAAAGTTAATTACAAGAGTTTAATTAGTTATCAGTTGAAAAACTTTGATTGTTGAAAAAATTGATCAGATATTTGATTATAATTTAAATCATCTCGACTTTTTAAAAATATAACAACAATTTAGTTAGTAAATTGTAAATATTAATAGTTAGAAATAGATTGTAATTTGATTGAAACTAATTAGAGTGAGAATTGATTATCGTAAATTTATCAATTGGTTGATAGGAATTTGGAATGAAATTTTTCATCTAAATTCATTGATAAGATTAATTAGATTGATCGATTGATGGAATTGATTTTTTTTTCTTATTCTTTTCTTAATTCAGATGTAGCACGTGCCATAAATCCTTTTCTCAGGCCGCTAATCTAACGGCTCATATTCGTACGCACAGCGGTGAGAAACCTTTTCGTTGTCCAGTTTGTGATCGACGATTTTCCCAAAGTTCATCGGTGACAACCCACATGAGAACTCATTCCGGCGAGAGACCTTATCGTTGTGGAAGTTGCCGGAAGGCATTTTCCGATTCGTCGACATTAACTAAACACCTTCGAATTCATTCCGGAGAGAAACCTTATCAATGTAAATTGTGTTTACTGCGATTCTCACAATCAGGTAATCTTAATAGACACATGAGAATTCATACCAACATCACCTAATCAATTAACCATTAACTCTCAACAATTTAACTGTAATTAACTTTTCAAGACAAAACAAATCAACTCCCTGAGTCTGTGTGTTAACCTTTAACTTCATTTTTTTTCTGGTCAATAACAATTAACATTTAATTAATTACCAACAATTAAACTGCTACTAATGCTCCTTTCAATTGTCACAATGATTATTATTTTTCAATCAATTAAATTAACTAATTATTTTAATTCAAATCTTTCAACATGCTTTTAACTGTCTTCTCATCATCGTTGTAAATCAAATTAACTAAATGGTTGAAGTTACAATTAATTATTAATAATTACTTTCGATTAATCAGAAATCTTCAATTCTTATTCAATTTCAACCGATTTGAATTAGAATCAACTAATTGTTATCATTTATTAAGACACTGAATTGATTTACTTTGATTTAATGGTCGATAATTGTTATTAAACTTTAATTGTCGTACGTTTTTTACTTGATTGTTACATTGTAATGATAAATCATGTTGAACAATCAAAATTAATTAAGTGAATGAGTTAACTGTTTAATTAACTGGGCGTTGTTCAACGTTTATTAGGTTAATTATGTTTAATAGTTTATTTTGACGCTTAATTTAGGTTTATCATTGATGATGATTGTGATTATGATCATTGATACAATAATAATAAGATATGGAAACGGATAAATTAATTTTCTGAATAAGGTTAAGGGAAGGAGAGAAAAGAAAGAGAAAAAGAAAGAGGAAGATGAGATGAAGATCAATTTGATCAAATAAGAGTCAAGTTAACAATTTATCAACTAATCAACCTTCCCAATTATCGACTTCCTCATTACCGTCAATTCGGTTGTAATCACAATTAAGGGACAACTTGATTCTAAATATAATTTGGTTCTATCATTTAATCAAAGAGAACTAATTTTTCTCTTTCTTTTTTTACTTTCATTCTTTTTGATGGGAGGATGATTAGGAGATGACCAATTGACTCCCGTTCCGTTAATTTAGTTCAATCAACTAATCTAAGTGATGGAGAGAGAGAGAGAGAGTGAGTGAGTGAGAGATTTAATCATAGTTTAGTATAAATGGATAATCAAGACAAAGTTAACTCTCTGTTCATTTTACGAAATTCAAGTTTCTCAGTTTTTTTTCTGTTCTTTTCTCGAGTTCAATTGTTTCACCAGTTCGAACTGTTTTTTCTTCTTCGAAATGTTCATTTTCTCCGTCGTGACCATTAGGATCTCTCACAATGACCACCACCTCCCTGTTCTAAGTACTAGCGCCGCAGGAGTGTTTACATTAAATGGGTATATTCAATTCACTCCTGCAGCCTTGGTGCTTACTATGGGCCGGTGCAGGGAAATTAGTTAATTGTCGGTGATTCTTTCATTATTCTTAGTGTGATTTTAATGTTCGTCCTTTCGAATTGATCTGATTGTGAAATGTTTTCCAACGGGTAAGTTAATTGTTCATTTGTGTTATTATTAATTAGCTTTAAGCTTACCCGAATTGTTGATTGGACAATTTAAAAGAAATGCTTTTAATCAAATAACAATTTGAGTCGATAAGTTAATTGTTTGGATGGACAAGTTTTCTTATTGAAATTTTTATCACAAATAAATAAGCTGAGATTGAGAATAAAATTTGATTGTTGAATAAAAAGTAACAATTAAAATAAACTTCCAAATATTTAACATGTAAGATTATGAAGTTAGAGTTGATTTTCATTCTGTAAGTTAATTGTCATAAATTTACTTTTGATTAATCAATGGGTTAATTCTGGTGACTAATGGAACTTGAAATGATTTGATTTTGTGAAGATTTTGGCACCACTATTTTTTCCTCTCAAGTGTCATTTTCGCAAGTTCGATTAGCGCCCTTTTCTCCGGGCAATCGATAAATGGATCAATGTATCTTAGAGCTTCGTCTGCATGTTGTTTGGCCAGAATTCTGGTTGATTGTAGTCCATCGGATTCCATGACAAAGGCATAAGCGGCCTGGACATCATTGGGTTCACAGAATCGTCGTTCTATCATCACATTCAATTGGGAAACTTTTCACTGCAAACAAAACTGGAGCCGTGGCGAGGCCCAGCCTCAGATCGGCTGCCGCTGGTTTCCCGAGTTCCGATTGACTGGAAACAAAATCCAAAAGATCGTCCACCAATTGAAAAGCTATTCCCAAGTTTCGGCCATACTGAAAAGCGGCTTCTTGGCAACGCGTGTCTGCCCCCGAAAGCAGCGCAACAGCTTTACAAGTGTACGCAATCAGCGAAGCTGTTTTTTTGAAGCTCTTGTGAATGTAGTCACTGAATCTCTCGAGAATCGTCTTCTTTCCTTTTGATCCCATTTGCATGAATTCACCTTGAACCAGGTCAAGCAGCACTTGAGAAAGGACAAAGATCACTTGCTCATTGCGAAGACGAGCCAACATCTGAGATGATCGAGACAAAATGTAATCACCAGCGAGAATGGCCTTCTTTTGGCCCCATAAAACATTCACTGAAGCTTTGCCACGACGGACATCGGCTGTGTCGATCACATCATCATGGACCAAAGATGCGGTGTGAATCATTTCGGTGGCCATTGCAACGTTTTTCTGACATTCCAATAAATCTGATCTTCCAGAGACATGGTAGTTGAGAGCTCGAGCCACCAACACCACGATCATGGGTCGAAACGCTTTCCCTTCACCATCGAAATAATAACAAGCGATTTCTTCCAGTTCCGGTTTCTCGGTCCACAATTCCTTCCGAATGTCCGAATACAAATTACGAAGATCATTTTCCACCAATTTCAAAGGAGACACAATTTCTTTTTCCTTTTCCTTTTCTCACCAGAGAAGAGAAACAAGATGAAGATGAACAAGAGGGACTACAGATTCTCGACAATATTGAACGAGATGAAAGAAGAAACAATTTCTTGGAGCATAAAGAGACCATAATCATTTCGATCAATTAAAACATCAACACGTCAACGAACTTTGATTGAGACAAATTCTTTTTTTTCATCTTCTACTCTTCTTCTAACCTCAAAATAGAAAACAAACCAGATTTTCTGCTTTTCTGTTTCTATAGTTACCGAATTTCAATTCAATCCATTGGCGGGAGAATAAATGTCAACTCACATGTTAACCTTTCTATTCAAGTAAATTGTATGAAATTGAACAATTTAGAGTCGATTGAATTATGTTTAATATAAATAAATGGTTTTGTCAAGGAATTTCAATCATTAATTATTAAGATAAATCGACTTTTCAATGTCAAGTAATATTAAAGGATAAAAACAAAAGCATAAAAAACTCTTTTTCGAAATTAAGTAATTGGCCCTGAAAAGGGCCGTTTTTTGGTATGGTTATGATGATGATGATGGTGGTGGGATTATGAGGAATGATTCATGATGATGATGAAGGGACATGGGGAATGGGACATTGATGATGAGGGAGAGATCCATGAAAAAGAGAAAAATAAGACACTTAAGCTCGTTCTCCTCGGATTCTTCTGGCCAATTGGATGTCCTTTGGCATAATAGTGACTCTCTTGGCGTGAATAGCGCAAAGATTAGTGTCTTCAAACAGACCAACCAAATAAGCTTCAGAAGCTTCTTGAAGAGCCATAACTGCTGATGATTGGAAACGAAGATCAGTCTTGAAATCTTGAGCAATTTCACGAACCAATCGTTGGAAAGGTAACTTTCGGATCAAAAGCTCAGTTGACTTTTGGTAACGACGGATCTCTCGAAGAGCAACTGTTCCAGGTCGATATCTGTGGGGCTTCTTAACACCACCGGTGGCAGGGGCTGATTTACGGGCAGCCTTTGTAGCCAATTGTTTTCGTGGAGCTTTACCTCCGGTTGATTTACGAGCAGTTTGCTTAGTACGAGCCATTGTTTTCACAAAGTAGAAGAGTTGAGATGATTAACAAGGAGAAAAAAGGAAAAGAGAATATTAGTAATTAAACTTGAATGTCAAGAGAGAGAAATTCAAAAACCAAATGATAAAGTTAAAAATGTTCTTTTTCCCTTAAATATCAACACCAGAAAAGTTTCTCTCAAAATGAGTCCTCGTAGAGTAAGAGTTTCGTCTCATTGGTTTATTTTCTTTCTCTTTTCTCAACACAAATGAAAAGCGGAAATTCGTTTTCTCTAAACATATGATTCACTTTTCTTTTGCTTTTTTTCTTTTTTTCTTTGTTTATTTTTTTCCATTATTTTCATTAACCTATTTTACTTTTTAGTTCTATTAATCAATTTATCTTTAAACAATTTATCTCAATGTGATAAACCAAATGTCCGAATCTCTTTCAAATAGTGAATGTGAAGTGAATGAAATTGAAATAATTCGAGACGAAATTAGTGATTTGGAGAAACAATTAATGGAGACTTTGGGTTTGCCTTCATCTTTTTCTACTACAAAGAGACACTTTAAATCGAAGGAAGAGAAAAAAGAAGCAAAGACCAATAAAAAAAAGAAAAGCAATAAAAATCTCTGCAAGTATTGGGCTCAAAGGTATCGATTGTTTTCTCGTTTCGATGATGGAATCCAAATGGACTCGGAATCTTGGTATTCGGTGACTCCTGAATTGATCGGGAATCACATCGCATGTAAATGTGTGAGAGATGGAGAAAAGTCAATGGTCATTATCATGGATCCTTTTTGTGGAGTGGGAGGGAATGTCATTCAATTCGCTTTGAAATCACCAAATGTCTTTGTGATCGCAAGTGATATCGATGGAAACAAAGTGCGAATGGCCAAACACAATTCGTGTATCTATGGTGTGGACAATCAAATTGCTTTTCTCGTCGGCGATTATTTCCAAATATTGTCCACCATTAAATTACCTGTTGATTGTATTTTCTTGTCTCCCCCTTGGGGTGGACCAAACTACTTGTCTCAAAAAGTTTATTCCTTGTCCAATATGAGACCAAATGGATTTGAAATATTCGCAGCAGCAAAAGAACATGTTTCATGTAATATCGCATTTCTATTGCCGAGAAACATTGACAGAGATGAAATTAATTCTCTGCTTCAACCAAATGAATCAGTGGAAATTGAACAAAATCTAATTAACAACAAACCCAAAACAATCACCGCTTATTTTGGCAATTTGGTTGACCAAACAAACTCAAGTTGATCTTTTCTTTTATTGTTAATCTTTTTAAATTATCTTTTTACTTTTTTTCTTTCTACTTAAATCAATTGACCAATAAAAAGATTATCGAAATTGTTTCTTTCGAAACTAAACAGTTTAATGTCTAACGGAGCTTACGAACTCTCAATGAATTGGATGAAATTTTCCGTAGATTAACTCATGGCTAAGATTTGGTCTTATTTTGATATATTAGACTATAAAGTGATTGATTTAAAACAATAACAATTCGAAAATTGTAAATATTAAGATTAAGTTTGTATTTTATTTTGACTACAATTAAACAAAATAGTAAGATGAATATCAAATTGTTTACATTCTGAAACAATATAAGCATAAGGATAAAAAACTCTTTTTACACATAAATGTAATTGGCCCTGAAAAGGGCCGTTTTTTGGTTATGTGATAAACATAATGATGATGATGAAAAAGGAAAGGGATGAGGGAGATGAAAAGAGATGAGAAGATGAAGAAAAATGAATGAATGAAATTAATTTAAGCTTTCTTGTCACTCTTCTTTGGTAAGAGAACAGCTTGAATGTTTGGCAAGACACCACCTTGAGCAATGGTCACACCAGCAAGAAGTTTGTTCAATTCTTCGTCATTTCTGATGGCAAGTTGAAGATGACGAGGGATGATACGAGTTTTCTTGTTATCTCTGGCAGCATTACCAGCCAATTCCAATACTTCAGCACCCAAGTATTCAAGAACAGCAGCCAAATAGACTGGAGCACCAGCACCAACTCGTTCAGCATAATTTCCCTTTCGGAGAAGTCGATGAATTCGACCAACTGGGAATTGAAGACCAGCTCGAGATGATCGAGACTTTGCCTTTGATTTAACTTTTCCTCCTTTACCTCGTCCAGACATTTTAGATTATTAGTTGATTAAGTTGATTTAAATTAGAAAATTAGAGAAGAAAACACAAAATAAATTTGATTGTCAAAAAAGAAATGAAACAAAATTTCAAACAGCTGAAAATGAGACAATCAACACAAAACAATTTTCTTTATATACTAACAGTGTAAAGTGTTTAACTCACTAACCAATAAGAAAAGAGTTTCTATCAAATGAGCCAATGAGAATGCGTGTGAGTCCTCGTTGAGTTAGTGGTGAGTTAAACACTTGGTGAATTAGTATAAAACTAAAGACAAGTTTTTCATTTGACATCTTCTCAAGTTTTTTTGATTATCAATTCTTTGTAATTGTTTCATTTCTCGATAATTTCTTTAGTTTATTTTAAATCAATTTTCCTAATTAATAATTATGCCTCCTCAACCATCAGGTAAAGCTGTGAAAAAAGCCGGTAAGGCCCAAAAAGCTGTTCGAGCTACCGACAAGAAAAAGAAGAAGAAGCGTAGGAAGGAATCTTTCTCCATCTACATCTACAAAGTGTTGAAACAAGTTCATCCTGACACTGGAATCTCATCGAAAGCCATGTCAATCATGAATTCATTTGTTAATGATATTTTCGAGAGAATTGCTGCTGAGGCCAGTCGACTTGCTCACTACAACAAGCGATCAACCATCACATCAAGGGAGATTCAAACTGCTGTTCGTCTTCTCCTTCCTGGTGAATTGGCTAAACACGCCGTTTCAGAAGGAACCAAAGCTGTCACCAAATACACTTCATCTAAATAAATTCATCCATCATCACCATCATCATCATCATCTCCCATGTAATCCCTTAAATTCATATAACCAAAAAACGGCCCTTTTCAGGGCCAATACTTATATGTGAAAAAGAGTTTTTTATATCCAAAGCTTTTGACTTATTGTGAATAATTTTACTTGTCCATTAAATTAACTAGATACTCTTAAATAACTGTTTCATAATCTAAAATTTTGGTTTAATCATTGAGCTTAATTAAGCTCTCTTACTCGTAGGCCTTTCAGATTGGATTGAAATTATTCAATGTGTGTTCTTATGTTTGAGTTTAATTAAATAAGCAGATGTTACACACATTAACTTATCACTTGAGATGATCGACCAAATTAATTAGTCGCTAAAATTACCAAAGATTCAATCAATAGATTTCTAAGTAAATTGTAGGTCACAACCAGTGAAAGAAACAGAAACAAAGGGAATCGGTTTCCCGGTTAACCAGAAAATCCAAACAAAGGAAATTTTTCTCTTACCTAAAAACTAATTTTCTATCAATTTTTGGATTGACCAGTTCAAAGAGAATAAGTAATTGAACTTGAATCAATTTGATTGCGATTAAAATCGCTGGAAATTGAATTTTCAAGATTTTTAGACTAAATTGAATTTCTAGTAATCAACACCAATCTTGAATCTTGAATGAAGACTTTGGAATCCAAAGTTTGGATGAGCTTCTGATCTCAAATAGAAATGATTAAAGGTACATTTTGCTATTTGAGATTAACATGTAATTTCCTCAGAAACTCAAGAATAATCCCAATCAAATTCTCCACTAAATTGCTTGAAACGATTAAATTATTCTAAATCAAAATTAATTGAATGGAAAATTTTCTTTCTTTTCAATTTTGGCGCTTCTTCCAAAATTCTGGTTTTTTGTTTACATTTTATTCAACTTGATCTTGATTACTTTCAATTCACTGATCTGTTTGATTGTTTCTCTTAATTCATTTTAATTTACAATCTTTAATTCTTTAATTCTTGTCAATTAACTGTTCCTTTATCAACTAACTTTACCTTCTCTTTTCTGAAAACTTTTCTATCGGCGTAATAAGTCAATCTTCCCTAGAATTGTATTGACCATTTGTTGCGTTTTTCTCTCATCTCTTTGATCTGAATTAATTTACTTTTCTTAATCTTGAATCTCTGTGATTACCTGTTTCTCCATCAAGTGAAAATGCTTCCTCAACCCGCTGGTAAAACTGTTGTCAAGTTGAGTACCGATGATTTGGTCGACGATGGTCTAATCGATGATGACGCTTTGTTAACTGAAGAGGATCTGAAGAAACCCGATCCAGCGAGTTTAAAGGTCACTGGTTCAGAGACTAAGAGAAAGGCCTGTGCTGGTTGTAATTGTGGATTAGCTGAAGAATTAGCTAAAGAAGAACGTGAAACCATAAAAAAGAACACCCAAAATGTCAAATCTTCATGTGGAAGTGTAAGTAGTAAAATTATCTAATATTATGGATGTTCACACCTTGTTAATTGTTTAATTTTCTCAGTGTTACTTAGGTGATGCCTTTCGATGTGCGAGTTGTCCATATCTTGGAATGCCAGCCTTCAAGCCTGGAGAAAAGGTCACAATCGATTCTTCAGATGATTTAAATTAATTGGTACAAATGATAAATTGATGATCCAACAATCAAAGAATAATAAACAAAACCGATTGTAACTTACCAGATGATTAACATTCAAGTATAAAGTGTTTGCTTTACAAATTTAGTTGATGTTTATTTTTAATTTATTTTCCAATTAGCTTTTAACCCTTAACCATTTTACCAAAAAAAAAATTCAAACAATTAACTAATCATTCAATTCATCTCTCAATCATCTACCCATAGAATGGTTTGTTTCGTTTTGTTTTGGTTTTTCTCGGAAACAAAAAACTAAACAACGGAAAAATAATCTAGTGTAATTTATGTAACAATTAACCCTTTAAATGCAAAATAATATTAATCAAGATGAAAATGTAATCACAAATTAACATCACAATGTTTTCAGTTTAACCCCAAATAGTTAACTAAATGATCCATGAAAACTGAATACCAACCAATGCGCAATTTAAGCTGAGACTTAAATTGTTGTAGAGTCGATAACCAATCGGCTCAGTCAAATTAAGGCTGAGAATCACAAAATTTCATGATAAACTTAATTGTTACTCAATTCCACCAATCAGATTATATTCCTCATAACAAATCCAATATTAATCTAAATATGATAGTTAAATTATCCCTTGGAATCCAATCATTAGCAATCATCTTAATTTCTTACCAACTATAATGTTAGAAAATTAATTGCAAATCAAAATCTAAATTGTGAACAATTTTCTCAAAAATCTTATAATCAGATTTGCTTTCATTTGTGAATTAGTGATTTAATAATTTTAAGCAACTTGATATCGGTCTGAATTTAATTTGTTTTCATCATTAAAAGCAATTAATTTGTGATTAATACGAGACCATTAATGATTTACCTTTCGGTTTGATTTGATTTACAAAAAGCAAATATCGATGATATAAATTTACTAAATCAATATGGTTTAGAAATAATTAAATGTCAATTGAATTTGATTTAAGAAACGGAAACAATTTGTTATTTTAAATTGAAAATATTGAAATTATTTTATATCAATGGATTGATTGTTAATCGATGAACATTAATTCAGTTTCAATGGATTACATTCAAATGGAAGAGGGAATTTAATTAAACGGAACAAATTGAGTAAAATTAGAAACAATTGATTAACATTGTTCATTAAGAATATTGGTTAATTCTCGAATATATTCAATTGCAATTCGAAGGGTTTTTATTTTGGACAGATTCTTTTCGGGCGGATGTCGACTGAATTCATAAGGAATGGCACTTCGAAGATGCCTTAAGGCGCTATTGAGACGGTGCATTCGAGTTCGCTCTTGTTGATTAGCTAAATCCCGTTTACGTTCCAGTTCATCTTGAGAAAGATTTTTCTTTTTCGAATATTTTTTCCAAACTTTCTTATTACGAAATCGAGCCTTACCTTTAGAAGCCGATCTTGTTGTTATCACTGTTGTTGTTGATGATGATGATGATGATGACGGCGGTGGTGGAGGTGATGAGGATGATGATCTAAATGAAGATAAACTCGAAGCAATTGTTTCACTTTTTGATAAATTATCGGGGTAACAATTGTATTGACTGAAACATTGTTGATGAGATCGATGTTTGTTGATTCTGTTTGTTAATTGTTCAGATTGCTCGCGATAATCATCACTTCCCATTTTAATCACTTTTTCACAATTTTCCCTGATAAAATTGGTATCAAGAGTTACATGGTGATCAACATAACCACCGAAATCATCAATGTAATAATAATAATCACTGTTTCCATTGTGACAATCGTTATCACCTCGATAAATTTTCAACTGTTTAATTGGAGGTGTTGTTGTGGACACTGTTGATGAAGAAGGTGATGATGATGATGATGATGATGATGATGATGATGATGATGTTGGTGAAGATGCGGATGAAAATGATGAGAAAGATGAAGATGGGAAGATAAACTTTTGATTGGTAAAATTTTTGTTCAATGTTAAATTAGATTCCATAGTGAGACACAATTTGGAAGATAATTGTGATTCAAACAAACAATCAGTCCAATTAGCTTTACACCACTGAGATTTATCAATTGATTGTTCAGTTTGTAATAATAATTCAATGGATGGTAATTGCTGATGGTAATGACACAAACCAATTGAATCTTTACTCGATTCATCACAGAAAAAACTATTCCGATCCTTTCGTAGATCACTAATGTTTAGATAGATAATTTCACCATCAGAATTTGATTTAAAATCTAAACAATTAAATAGATGGAAAAGAAGAGGATTAAAAAAAAGATTAAGATTAACCCGAATCACTTAATCACTTACCTGATGTAAACTGTTTGTGGTCATTTGGTAATACAAATGAATTGAAATTTTCCTCTGTAATTGTGGTCATCTTTTCAAAACTAGTTGGTTAATTACTGGAAAGTAAACATTCAAACTGATTTGTGATTATATGTGAATCTTAATTTGTATTATATTCTGTGTATTCAAAGAGTTAATTGTTACATAAATTATATTAGATTTTCGTTTTTTTCCCGAGAAAAAAACAAAACAAATGGCTCTTTGGGTTGAAGATTGAGAGATGAATTGAATGATTAGTTAATTGTTTGAATATTTTTTTGGGTAAAATGGTTAAGGGTTAAACTGATTGCTAAATAAATTAAAAATAAACAAAAACAACTAAAGCAAAAACAATTAATTTGCAAAGCAAACACTTTATACTCAAATGGTTAATCATTTAACTAACATTAAGTTTTTCTTAATTTGTTTCTTGTCTCAATTTAAGCAAATCTGTTTGTTTGTACAATTATTATTCATCTGAACCGTGTAACTTTATATAATTGTAATTAAATTACTACAACGAGAACTCAATTACCTTGGTAAGCAAATTCACAGAGAATTAAGTTAATTACTTATCAATCATCTAAACGATTAACTATCATTCCCTTTCCAGTGTTACATTTACATAGAAATTAATTTGGTTTTTTTTTCCTTTGACCTAAACTTATAATCAACTCTTTTTTGTGGTTAAAATTTATTTAATTGTTCCTTGTGATTTATTTACTATTTGTGTTTCTTCAGGAATGTAAATTATTGTCAGTTGATTAGTTGATTCATTTCATAAGGAATTGATGCTTGAATCTCAATCAATTTACAATATTGAGTATTACAAATTTGGTTGACTATCAATAAGATGTCAACGGTAATAATAATAATAATAATAATAGTTTTTACAATTAGTAGACCAAGTTTGAGATTGGATTTGATTGTCTGTGATTTTTGATTGCCCAGAGAGATTTTGATAGTTGTAATAATATATGAAAAATGAAAAATAAATTGTTTACAATTTTAACAGAAAAATAAAAAAAAATTGATTGGTCATCTTGATGCTGTTGTTAGTTGGTCATTTCACTTGTTTCGTTTGTCTTGATTTCTGATGAATTTGATGATTCTCCTTGTTGAAATTCACTGGAATCACTTTGTCCACTTCTATTATCAATATAATCTTGAGTTTTGAAAATGTCATTAAAGCCAAATGTTGGTCTCTTGTTTGGAGGTGTAGTTGGAGATTTTGGTTTACTATTATTCAACAGAGAGCTGATAAATTGTTTCACTTTACTTTTAGATGCGAATATTTCTTCCGCTTTAATCAGTTCCTCTTCCATTTGATTTACTTGATCCTTAACCATTTTAACAAATAATTCTAATTTATCAATTTTAGAAAATAACGTTTCCATTTGTTTACTTTTCTCCGCTATTTCTGGTAACAAGTGTTCCAAACGAGAAGTGTTCTCATTTCGTATCACATCTAAAAGGGCACAAAAATCTTCCAAAATAATTAAATTCTCTTCAATCGAATTATCAAATTGTTTAACCTAAACGAGTGAGAGAGAGAAAAACAAAATCAAATTAACAAATCAATTCCAAAGTCACAACGATGATCATCAGAAAACGAGACTTACCACTTCACTAGTGTCAACCTTAAAGTAATTAGAATATTCATCTGCCACTTCCTTTACCAAATTCGAAGCTTGATCCATTAATTGTAATTACATTCGGCCGATCAAAGTAAATCCAATCAACGTTCAAATGTTCAAAAATCAAAACAACAACAAGAAAATCAATTAACTCACATGACCATATGATCGAGAGAGAAAACGCCATCTAACAGTAGAAAAGTGAACTAGCATTTCGTAGAAAATCCACTTGGTGGAGCTGCAAGTCGAATGTTTTGACGAATGTAATTGTTTCCCCTTCTGGGGAAAATCAAATGTTGATGTTTTCTGTTTGTTAATTGAGAGAATTGAGTTTGTTGTTAAAATGATTAATTTACAATTTTGTTCCTTTAACTAAAACAATTTTAATCTTCAATTAATGTAAATTTTATACTTGTTAACATCTTCCCAATATTTTTTAACCATAATCTGTAAAATTAACTAACCCCTTGTATCTTTGTAAGATAATCAAAATTGTCAACAAGTCTAATCAACAAGCTTTCATATAAACATATTAATATATCATCGTAATCATCATAACTATTGTGTTAAATTCAATATAAAATATAATCAATTGTGACAATTGTTTCCATCATATTTTTTTTTCTTTACAAATAATGGATACTCCAGAAAATAAAGGTAAATCACCTAGTATATTGTGTGTAAATCTAAAACTGGGAGGAGAGATTTTAACACATAAAAATGTTCCTTTGTCTATTCACTGGCAATTTTATCAGAGGAAGAGTTGTAACAATGAGTTACCATTTCATCCCACCTAATCTTTAATCTCTCTCTTTCTCTCTCATTAATTATAATTCTAATCTTCATTTAAATGTGACAATTGGTATACTAATTGTGTTTTACTCTAATTATGTGTATTGATTGGGCTCTTTCATTGTGCTTCTCACCAGCATAGAGACAGAGAAAGAGAGTTATCTCTAATTATATTTGATCTTCTCCATTGTTTACCTTTATCCTTTAACAAAAGACTAATTAAATTGCCGTTAACTTTTTCAACTCTTAAGCAATCAACTAATCGACTAATAGCCACAGCTATTATAAGTGTCTATTGCTTAATTTCTTCAAATAATCCAATAATTGTTCCCAATTAATTAGTTTTCGCTTTCTTAGATTGATGATTAAACTTGACTAATTTTAGCTTTTTCTCAATCTCAAGTCATCAGTATTTCTTAATAATTTTATTCAAGATGAAATCTTTTATCAACATATCAACAATTTACCTTTTCTTATTCATTCTTACCCTAACAGCGTCTATATTTTGTAACAATCAGAATTCAGATCAATCTGATGATGATGTTTACCTTCTTGGTGTTGGTATCGCCGATGTTACTGGACCAGCCGCCGAAGTAAATATGATGGGCTACGCAAAGTTGGGTCAAGATTCGGGTGGAATTCATTTTCGTCTCTTCTCTCGAGCTTTTATCGTTGAAGATTCTTCGGGAAATCGAGTTGTTTTTGTTTCCGCTGATGTTTGTATGATCGATCAAGCAGTTAAAACTCAAGTTGTCGCTCGATTACAAGAAAAATATGGCGATCTTTACAATATCGATAATGTCCTAATCTCAGGAACTCACACTCATTCTGGACCTGGAGGTTTCCTGCAATATTTACTCTATACGATAACAGCCCAAGGTTTCAATTGGCAATCATTCAACGCTGTTGTCGATGGTATTGTTCGTAGTATTCAAAGAGCACATTCTTGTATACGAAAGGGTCACATCTATTATAATCAAGGATTACTCTTCAATGCTTCAATTAACAGATCACCTTCCGCTTACCTGAATAATAGTGAAGAGGAAAGAAAAAATTATCCCCATGATACTGACAAAGAAATGCATTTGCTTAAATTTGTTGATACCAAAGAAAGACCCTTAGGATTGATAACCTGGTTCGCCGTTCATCCAACCTCAATGAATAACACCAATAGCCTTATCTCCGGTGATAATAAAGGTTATGCATCTTTATTAACTGAATCACATATCAATAATGCTCTTAATGAAAGTGAAATTAATCTACCTGGACATGGGCCATTTGTCGCCGCTTTTGCTGCAACCAACCTGGGTGATGTGTCTCCCAATATAAAAGGTCCCCATTGTGCAGATACTGGTCTTCCTTGTGATATTCAAACCTCAACCTGTGGAGGTAAAAATGGTAATTGTTTCGCTGTTGGTCCAGGTAAAGATATGTTTGAATCGACAGCAATTATCGGTGAAAGGCAATATGAGAAAGCAATTGAACTATTTGAAGGTGCAAGTGAAAAGGTCTCTGGACCAGTGAAATTTGTCCATCAACATGTCGACATGACTTCCATTGAGATTGAACAACCTGATGGTACAATAGCTCGAACCTGTAAACCTGCAATGGGCTATAGTTTTGCCGCAGGTACAATCGATGGACCTGGTGCATTTGATTTCAAACAAGGTACAACTACATCGAATCTTTTCTGGAATTTGGTTCGGGATTTCATCAGTAAACCAAGTCAAGATCTAATTGACTGTCATCAACCCAAGCCAATCCTACTCGCCACAGGTCAAATGAACTTCCCTTACCCTTGGCAGCCAAGTATTGTACCTCTTCAGATTATTCAGATCGGTAATATCGTTATTACTGGTGCACCCGGTGAGTTTACCACAATGTCAGGGAGACGATTACGATCAAAAATTGGTCAAATTTTAAATCAATCAAATGAAAATATTATCCGTGATGATGAAAATGAAATCAGGTGAGTGAGATTTACCGTTACATTAATTTAATCATCATTTAATTGTTATTTCCAGGAGCATTTTTCACGTTCAATTTTATGTATACAGTGTTTCTCTTGTGTGTGTTCAATATAAATTATTGTACAAGTCTGATGGTATGATGATGATGATGATGATGATATTTCCATCATGTCATGATAGTGGTATTTGATTCAGTTATGGTAATGGCATTAAAAAGTAATAGTTCTGATAATGATAATGAGGTAACATGAATACTATCAACATTCAGCCTTAGCCATTGACCTCAAATTTAGTCGGAAGTAACAATTTAGTTTGTACCGGTTATTTCATCTAGATCACCATTACTCTTGTGGGAATCATTATGATGCAGGCACCAGTTTGATAATCATTTTGATTCATTAAAAGTTAGAAAGTTTCATTATAATTGATGAGAATGAAAAAAAAAGGTAAAAGTGAAAATTTAAATTACATCGAATTGAATTCAGATTAATTAATAGTAATCCCATTCTACTGTGACTTTAATTATCTCCTAATTCTATTACATTGATTAACAATGACATTATTTTTTCCCTCTAAATGAATAATATTAATCATCCTTTTGTGTCAAGTTAATTGTTTGAATTATACACTTGAAAAAGCAGAAACGGGAAACAATTAACTTCTAAGAAAGAATCAAAATAAATCAAATATGTTTAATTAGAAAATTGAATTGATCACGAGAAAGTTAACATTGTAATAAAGATAATTGTCATAATCAAGTTAATTTAATGATGGAAACATAATCAATTATCACTTAAATCAGTTGGAAACAATAAATCACAATCAATATTCAAATCTAATAATTTTGGTATCTCTCTTATAGCCTTTAGATGTGATAAAATGAAACAATTAAGTAATTATATTCTTTGTTTCAATAATCATCGTGATTAAAATAACAACAGTTCGTCATTTGCTTGAATAATAATAGAAGGAAAAAAATTTAATCATTGGTTAATTATTTTAATCACAGCAACAGATCATAATTATCATGACAATTCAATTGAATGTAAAACAAAAACAAATATTATTCAATAATATTAAGAATCAAAGTTAATCCGGAAAACAAATTATTCAGTTATGATTGTGAACTCATTTTATCCTCATTAACTGTTGATAGCTTTTTTTCAGGTTGAAATTGAGACTTGAAATGTATTATTAATAATTCAACAAAAACATGATGATGATCATGAAAATTTGGATGCATTGAAAGTGAATCAGTAACAGGAAGTAATTGACATTGAATTATTTTACTTTTCAAATTTACTGTTCCTTTATTTTTCAATTGAATCAATTTTATCAATTCCAAGGAAATGACAAATTGTTTGTATTTATCTCGTTTAATTGTCTAATCAAATGAATCAATTCAATTCTATCCAACAGATATCATGTTATTTTAGCTGGACTCAGTAATGCTTATTCATCATACGTCGCAACTCCCGAAGAGTATCAAGTTCAACGGTACGAAGGAGCTTCAACAATTTATGGTCCTCACACTTTGGACGCTTATTTATTGAAATTTGGTTTATTAGCTCAGAATTTGGTTGACGGAACTACACCCGAACCTGGTCCTGAACCACCTAACCTCTTGAATCGTCAAATCAGCCTTAGACCGGGAGTTGTTTTCGACTCAACTCCACCAGGTAAACACTTCGGTGACTGTATCCTCCAACCAGCTGATGTCTATACTCCAGGTTCAACTGTAGTTGTACGTTTTGCCAGTGGTCATCCAAGAAACGATCTAATGACAGAAAAAAGTTTCCTAACTGTAGAAAAATTAATCGACGAAAAAAACAACACCTTCCAAGTTATATCAACCGATTCAAGTCTGGATACCAAATTCTTCTGGAAAAGAACCAACAGTATTTTAGGTCATTCTGAGGCCATTATTTCATGGGAAATACCGTTAGACGTTAAACCAGGTACTTATCGAATAAGACACTTTGGGTCTTCCAAAAACTTTTTACAATCAATCAAATCTTATTCTGGTCAAACAGAACTTTTCAAGGTTAACGACAAATTGTGAAATGATAAAATTCAATTATTATCATTGTAATTCGTTGATAATATAACAATTATACCGATAAAGTAATTTATTTCGTTGGAACGTTAAACAGATAAACAAAGAGAGAGAAAAAATCAACAGATATTTAATTATGTTTGCTAATCAAAAGCATTGATAATTTAATCATTGCAACTTGTCAATACCCTTCCGTGTAATTAGAATGTTTCTTAATCACATTAATTGTTAATCACTTTACCCCGTTTTACCCATCAATCTATTTCCTTTACAAATCTTTAACGACTAATCCTCTCATTCATTACAACTAATCCAATTCCTCTGTTATTGCAATACAATTATTTGATAAATTGTTTTTTTTTCTTGTCAAATTAAATTTATATATACAACAGATAAATAAAATTTATCGCAATCAAAAAAATCAAAGTAAAACATAAACAAAATTAGACGATAATCAATTTTTTCCGCATCAAATAATATTAATAATATAATCATATCGATGATTGATTGATAACATTGAGTGTGATCATTAACATCGCGATGTTTTAACAATTTGACCTTAAAGACGAGCGTAAACATCGTACTAACTGTGAAAAAAAATTACGACAATTAAGCTAATGAATGAAAGTGATGATTCTTAAATTGATGTAATTGATATGATGATCAATTAGATGGATTGAAATTGAAGAAGAAAAAAATTTACTTTGTTACAATGTAATGGATCAGTTTAGGAACGATAACTTGGTATGAATACATTAATTTGGAATATAAAAAAAAAGTTAAGTGGGTTAATTGATTAGCGCACTAATTAGCTGAGAGTTAATTGTTTGTTTGGTTATACAGTTAATTGTGAGAAAAGGTAAGTTAATGAAACATTAAATTTTCAAATTACATGCATGATAATAAGCAATAAGTTACATTATCTACATTGTACTACAATAGATTTGTTTAACTGTTATTAACTTGATTAATTAGATTATTAACCAGTTATGAATATATATTATTTACCTTGTAATTAATCATCTTCTTCATCATCCTTGCAACCGGAACAACAGCCATAATCATGTTTCCCTTTTCTCGGTAAAAGACCAGGAAATAGAAGCGGATTCGGAGCAGATCATCTGATGAGCATCAAGGTAAGAAAAGATAATCAAGAAGGCGAAATGTTTCATCCCGTTTATTTGTAATTAAGCGAAAAAAAAACAAGAAAAAAGAGAGAGAGAGAGATTAGTTAATTGTTGAGAATTGTAAAGAGAATAGAATTAAAATTAAGATAATTATGATGATGAGAAAAGTTAATGACTCAAGGCTTCGGTTAATTGATTAGAAAGTCATTCCATTGAAATTGATGTTTAACTGGAAACAAAATTAACTTGGATTCACTTTACAGATCAACTTGTTGCTCGTTCAACAAATTGATTCATCATTATAACTGATCATCAATTGATTAAATCAATTACCGGCAGTGATTTAATCTCTAAACCTTGGCCTTGAATCTGAAGGGTAAAGTTTAATCAAATTGATTATTCTGAGAGAAAGGGAAAGTAACTTAAAGGATAACATTTCTCCTTGGTTGAAATTGATTAGATAACAAGAAGAGACAGTTTTGTGAAACCCCTTTCGCCCTAAGGGTGAATTAAATTACCTTTTTGTAATCAACAATCAACGTTTAATTACCTGAAAATGATAATAAGAAAAGGCAATCGCCCTTGTTGAAATTAACTTTCCGTCTCTCTCTCTCTCTTGCCAACACATTCAAAGCCTTTTCTTTCCCCATAATAATGATAATAGTTGTTTTTTTCTTTGGCATCGAAATATTAATCAACGTACATTACATGGCTCTAAACGTTTCATTGAGTAATTTAATCACAAAATTAATTGTAATCGCTAATGAACAAAATGAAAGACACTAATTTACCTTTTTCAAGGTAAAAACGATTAAAAAAGTTTTTCTATCCAACAGAAATTTCAATATCATTTTCTGTCGTCATTTTCATGGTAATCATGAGTCTCTGAATATAATTGAACAATCTGTTTATTTCTCTTTCCATTCCTTTGTTAACCTTAACATTAATTAATTATCAACAATTAAGACTTTAAATTACTCGCGGTTTTTTCATTCGATGGCGTTTGTGGCTCCATCTGTTGATAGATTTTGATTCTTGTTTGAGTTGTTTTTGTTTACTTTTTTGAGATTTGATTTTGTCTCGGTTTTTGTTTACTCAGCTTTGAGAATTATTTAAATCAACTGTCATCGTATTTAATTTGTGTCACTTGGTCATTTTCTCTGGTCATGTCTGCCAATCCTAAATTGATTCCTCAGCAAGAGTATATTCTACAAGGAAGTATCAATGATTCAGCACTTGAGATGCTTTTACATCGTCTTCAAGGGTTGTGTGATAATGCCGATAGTCCTGCTGAAACTTTTCTCGATCGTGAATATGTTTACTCAATTCGTAAGTGAATCAAAAAACATCCAGTTAATATCAACATTCAATAAACGAATAACCTGTCAATCAACTTTCAATAGAATAGAAAATTGATCTGTTGTTTACATGTTGTTTTTTTTTCTTTTCTTTTTTGAAATATTAATCTTACTTTTCTTTTTCTCTTTTATATAAATAAAACAAAAGGAAATCCAAATGGACAAGCAGTTCTATTGAGGGTTCGACAAGATCTTGAACGTAAAGATTATCCTTGGCATTTAAGGTATTTGGGTCAACCTGAAATCGGTGATAAAACAAGAGCAACGCTGGTCCGTTCTTGTATTGATGTAGCTTGTTCAAATAATGTTGGTCAGTTTTTACAAGAAATGGGCTTTAAGAAAGACTATGAATTTTACAGTAAAGGATATATGTTCAAAAAAGGTCGATTGAAGGTGATTGTGGCCAAAGTATTCCATTTATTGACCCCGGAAGCCAATCAATCTCAACAACCAGTTTTCTCTGAAAATAATCTAGAAACAGTTACACAATCACATTTGGTTGAAGTTAGTATTGTAGCTCCGTCAGGATCTGATCCTCTCGCCGATGAAATAAAACAATTTGCTGATCAACTTAAACCTCTCGTTGATTTGGTAAAAATTGATCCCCGAAGATTAGCCTAATAAACACGATAATCATAATCATCTCTCATTCTTCTCCTCCTCAACTAAATCAAGGAACACAAAATCTACTACCAACTGAATCTGCCCAATTTTCATTACCATTTGTATGAAAAAAGAAAGTAAAAAGAATATATTTTTTTTCTTCCATCAATATGAGAAAAAAAAAACAACGAATTGTGAATAAAAACAAAGGAAGAAAACTAAAAGTATCCTATGGTAATATCTTATTGTTACATAACTGATGTAACTGTCAATCAAAGTTCGTAAAGTTTATTACAAGTTACATCTTATTCACCGAGTCATTTACACATAGAAAATGATTGATTATCGAGCGATCACAATGATAATCATGGTTGTGATTCATTACTTTTTCCGTTATATTTATCTATCATATAATATATATTCTTTCACTTATGATGAGGTTAAATTGTCAACCTGATAGTCGAAGTAGAAACTTTATAATATTCTCTTGGTTCTTGATCATATTAATATTTGCACTTGATTTCACTATTTTCATCATCATCCATTAGTAAAAGTAGAATAATAATCAGAATAATACATCTCATGAATATCATCTTCTCATCTTCTTTCATTAATACCTTAGAACAGTAATTTTTTGTTCCAGGAAACTCAGCATCATGTGTATACAAGAAATTGAAGAGAAGAAGAATATCTCTCTCTCTCTCTCTCTCTCTCTCTCTCTTCTTCTTCCTCCTCTCTTCCTATTGAATGGATGAAGAAAACTCAGAGTGGAGCAAATCCTTTTTATCGATTTACATTCTCTCTCTCTCTCTCTCTACTAGTAACTCCATTCACTTTTTCTCTTTCTCTTCTTTGGTTACACAACATCTCATGAAGAAGATGATATTACAATCAACACACTGAATACTTCATTCAGTTGGCAATAGACATCATCCTGTCTTTACCACCACCTCCCTGTTCATCATCTTTATCTTCACCACCTACAACCACCTCCATTCCTTAATCAGTTGTGATTCCATTTTTACTATAATCCATTGAAAAGGAAGACGTAAAATAAAATCACTAAATCAAGGTGAACAAATTTACCTTTTTAATTAAAAACCTAAAGTGACAAACAAAAGAATCAGTGATTAAGGAGATTCGTGAATCAATTGGAGGTTAATCAAGGGAATGACCAAAATAAAAGTGGGAAATTTACTTCGCTATAAAAGTAAGTATCCATCGAACAATTAATTAAACATTTATCACCTTATCCTCTTCATCTAATCATCTAATCACCCATTCCCTTAATCCATCAATCTCGATATCAAATGATATTCGAATTCCCTACGGTTGGTCTATTGTTTACCTTTTTTTTTCTTCTTTCATCCCAAACTCTTGCTCTTCAATTCATTTGGAAATTAATTCAACACTCTAATTTAATGAATTTTCTGTCTCTTTCTACTCCCACACACTCATGAAAACTTGATGATATTATTTTTTCTCTTCTGTTTCAATTAATTTGGAATATAAATTGTTTATATTAACAGAGAGAATCTTCCGTTCGAATTGGAAAAAATCGCAAATAACACTCTACAAACATGGTACCTTTGTAATTCAATCGCCGTCATCATCAAGCCAAACACTAATCCGTTGTGAGAAAGAATCAACTTTAATCATATTTGGTCAACAGATCAAATCAGTTCCAAAAATTCCGGTATTGCCCTCAGGTTATGCTTTGGAACAACTTTTAGCCATTGGATTGATTGAGGAAAATTATACAACCGGAACAACGACAATTATATTCTATTGGTTTTTATCACCAACATTGGACGATCTAAGTGAATGGATTATGGCCTTTCATAATTCACTTCTTCGTGAACCAAGTGATCTTCAAGATCAAGATGATAACACCGACGATGACGATCTAGCTGTTGGTCTAATGATGGCTGGAGCCGCTTATTGGAATACGATGACTTGTGATACTTATGATACTCAATTAGACGTTGGTGGAGATTTTCAAGATTATTCATTTGCTCATGATTTGTCTTTATGTGCAATTTAATCACAATTAAATCCATCAATCCTTTAGCCTCTTTCTTACCTCCCTAATCCTTTTCCTCTTTCACCCACTCACCTGTACATACCAATTAGGTATTCTCATTAACCTGATCATCCATAATGATTACTTTAACTAACCAGCGATTCGGACAAGGAAACATTGTCCCTCCTGTCAACACATATAATTATTTCAATACTCTCCCTAATCATCCAATGATGATAATGGTCAAGTAATCGTCATCATCATCATCCTCATCATCTTCATCATCTTAATTATCCATCATCAACCATTTATATATCTTATTAATATCAATCAGGTTGGTTAATCCTTTTGCTTTCATTTTGTTTTCATATCTGAATGTGTGTTAATCCTCATATCAAACTGTTCACATTGTCAACAATTAATTGTCTTTAATTAGTTCACATTAGTAATTAATCACAATCTGTACACACAATTTAAACAGGATAATAATTGATTTGTTGTTTTGCAATAACTAAAAATTAGCTGATCAACAAAAAAAAGTTATAACCAAAGAAAATAATTCAATTAACTCAATTGACCTAATTAAATGATTTCTAGATTTAGGATTAGATTTAATTATAATTAGATTAGATTTAAATATGTAAAAATTACCATTGAAAATAAATCAGTGAGAGAGGAAGTTAATTAACTAATATAATTAATTAAAAAATACGTTGAAATTTATCTTACCTTGAATTAAGAGTAACCCAATAGGATAAGTTTTATTAACTATTTTATATCTTAATTAAGTTAATTGTAATCATCGTCATTCATTCATTGTAATATTTAATTTAATTTCAATCATCGTTGTTATTTAAAGCTTTTAAGGTAAGATAGATTAAATCAACGATTCCTCTGCTTACAATAACGATAATCAACCCTTTCTTAACAATTAACGATTAACAATCGTGTAACAATTAAGCTTTTGAGCTAAAAAATCAAAAAAAACTCCAAGGTAAATGTATTGATAATAATACAAACCTGACAATGATAATAACGTTTGATATCATATTCAGATTGGAAACAATTAGAAGCAAAAACAAAAGACTAATTGTTTCCCATGTAAACAAATTAATTAGTTGATTAACTTTTTCTCAATGTAATCAAAATGCTTGAAAAAAGAAAATTAAAACAATCGGATAAATTGTAAGAATTGTATTATTAATTCATTATTATAATGATGCTGATCGCGTATTAGTGTTAATTAGGAAAAGAACAAGAAATTTAATTGTTTCGATTGTAATTGTTTAACATTATTTAATGATAATCAACTTTATTCAATCAAAAAAGTTTTAGCCTTTCAGAGCAAAAACAATATATTGAAACATTGTTTTCTCAGTTAATCCAAAATAACAATATAGTGATCAGATTAATTAACTAAATTGAGGGTTTAGTTTGTTTGTTTTTCATTTGGAAATAAAAAGTTCAACAAAAAAGTTCAGTTTAAAAGGCAAAAACATAATCCAAGGTACAGAGATTCGAGATCACAATTGAGAAAAAAATTAAGTTTCAGGATTTTCAGGGAGATTTCTTGGATCATCCTGTGGATTTTAATTCCACTACTGACCATCAGTATCGTCTATTAATTGTCACATTAATTATCTCCAAAATGATCAATCAAATTGAAAAGTTGATTTGCTTTTTTCCCATTTGATTTGTTTTTTTAAAATAAAGGCCATTGTCTATTGTCTGAATTGGATTAATTTCCAATAATCTATTAGGTGTTTTAATCTTCCAGTTGATTTTCTTCATGATGATTCACGATATCGTCTCCATCTTAATCGTTTCCGTTTCCATAGAGTGAGAGTGAGAGTGAGAGATAAATAGATGAATTGAGAGAGAGAAAAAGAGAGATAGAGAAAGGATGTGAGTGAGAAGGACCTTTGGTGATAATGGTGATGATATTTTCCATCTTTAGAAGTGTCAATTAGAAATTGATACACTCAAGTCTTTGACTTCTTTTTCTTGGGATGGGAAAGAAAGTAAAGAAGAAGATAAAGATAAAGATAAAGATGATGAAAAGATAAAGATGAATGGGAAGAGAACTAAAATAAAGTTCGATAAAAATTCTTGATTCTTTTTTTTTTTCATGATGATTTCTCTTTTTTTCTCTTGATTAATTTATCATTTTTTCCTTTTCTGTTTATCAACATTCGTCAGTGTAAATACTAAATGTTAAATAGGTAAAAATTTAGTTCGTTAAAAGAGATGACCAGTGAAAGTGAATCAACATAAACAAACGAAATGGGAAAAGCGAAATTAAAACAAGAAAAAAATATTAATTGTTGACATTTTAATTGTTTTTCTCTCTCTCAATTGTCATCATCTTGAAAGTCTTGTGCAGACAAAGGTCGATATCTTCTTCGCCTATTGATGAACAAAGAGATGAGGAGGAGGAGGAGGAAATGGAGACGAGGAGGATGAGGGTGTAAAGGGATGATAATAGTAAATATATTAAAGAGAAATAATCAAGAAAAAAGAAAAAAGAAAAACTGTAATTAGTAAACACAGATAAAGATAAAATCATAATTATAACGGTAATAATGATGACTAAATAATAACAGGATGCGAGAGAGACAGAGAGACAGAGATGACGAAATAAGATAATCACAAAATCGATATAAGGGTCAAGCAGTAAAAGTGAAGGTCAATCAATAGAAAACTTATAAAAAACGGTTATTGGGAAAACAGATCAATGAAGTTAATTAATTATCTCAATGAAACAACAAATGGTCAGTTGATTAACTGATTAGTTGATTGACTCTTCTATCAATTTTTGTGAAGGACAAAATTTGAATAAATTAATTACCTTGCTGATGGAACGATGTAATCTGGAGGAGGACCAACAACCGGTGGAATTGGATTAACATTAGCATTTGGATTACTATTATCATCTTTGTTTAGATTATTATTATCATCACCATTGACCACTTCGGGTCGACGTCGTCGACGTCTATATGGGAACGAGGGCACTTCATTTAATGTGTTACGCTTATGATTATTATTATTACCACAGACTTCATTATTATCGGCATCACATGAATCAGCCTCATCTAAATCAACGGTGGATGAAGATGAAGGATTTTTAATCACATTTGATTGACTAGATTTGTTTTGTCCGTTTCCATCACCAGCAGCGATCAAGGTTCCATCAGCTGACCGAGAACCGCTAATTGCTTTTGAATCGATCATAGTTTCGAGCTTATATTCATTCCTATTTGAGGTTTCGACATTTTCTAAGGTTAAATTATCATCCAAAGAGAATCTTTTCTCCGTATATTCAACCAATTCTACAATTTCCACCTCTTCCTCTTCTTCGTCGTCGTCATCATCGTCATCATCATCATCATCATCATCGTCATCAGCATCTTCTTCTTCTTCAATGATGATAATCTCTTCTCTCTTTTTATCAACTTCTTTTATTTCTTTCGATTCTTTTTCATATTTGACTTGGACTTGTTCATCTTCTTCAGTTTCCTCTTCCTCTTCCTCGACTATTTCAATCTCTTCAACTTGTTCAACAATTAATTCAATTTCATCACTTTTATTGCCTTGGGGTTTGATAAGCTTTTCATTACTGGAATCCTTTGCTTGAGCATTATTGTTACCTGGTTCTAGGCCCAAAGCTGAAGCCAGGTTGTTGATAAAAATCATTTTGGGAAGCACTGATGATGATGAACCGGATGATGATGATACTGATGATTCCCTGGTGCGACCATCGATCGTAACACTGGACATCGCTAAGGGAGTTTTATTTGGAACTGAAGGAGATGATGAAAAAGGTTTTATCGTTGATGAAATCGTCACCAATTTAGGAGAATTGTGTGATAATGATGATGATGAAAATGGCGGTGGTGGAGTTAAAGGTATAGAATCTTCATCCAGGATAAGGTGAATGTTTGGAAGTGAAGTAGAGACAAAAGAAGTCAAATTTTGCGACGATCGATTTAACTGTGTATCACTTTTACCACCGCAAACGATGGCGATGTTACGAGTTATATCTACATTGTAAATAATTTCCTCTTGATTAAAACTATTGCAACTTAATTGTTGTCTAATTGGCGGACTAATAGTTGACCTTATTGTACAACCGATAATCGGACAAGACCAAGTTCGCGTTAGAAAGCTTAATCCTCCAGTGATATTTTCAATAGAAGATGAACCTTCCAATAATAACCCGTGGCCGGAAGAGATTCGTCCATGTGGATTTTTCTTCATCCCGATAAAATGTTCAGGATCAGAATAAGATCGTCGAGAGGCCGGTTTCAATCGGGATTCTCGACGACGTCTTATACTTTCCCGTTTATCGCGTTTATTTATTTTCATAGCATCAGTTGTCGGTGATATTTGTTGACGATTGGTCTCAATGGTTCCCTTGTTTTCTAGATATGGTGTACAAGGTGATCCTGGAGGAGTTGACTGGATACCCGATAGATGAAGAGGAGCATTTTCATGTTCATCATTGTTGACGGGTGAAAATGGACAAGGAGGGTTTTTAATAGCGGGTGGAGGGGAAATGTTTGGTGGAGATGGAGCAAGATTAAGTGAGACTTGTTGATGAGGTGGTGATGGAGGTGGAGGTGGTTGAGTATCAACTGATTCTTCAGCTTCTGGAGATTCTGGTGAAAAAAATGAAACAAAATGAATATAAATGAGTAAAGTTTTTTTTCCTCAATTTGATTACAAAATGATTAATTAGATTTTCTTGTTAAGCAATTAAATATAATCCATATACACATTCAAATTGTTGATTGACATGATAACTATTAATATTTCAATCATTGAGTTGTTGGCTCATGATTATTATTATGATTTCCTCAAGGTTGTTTAAAGGTTGTTCAATATAATAATAATATTTACATGAACTCCATGGAAGACTCAAAGTTTTCATGATTTAATTGAAACCAATAAACTGTTAACCTTGGATAGTTAATGTTTTTATTCAAATTCAACATGATAACAGTCAAACAATTAACTCAATTTTTCAATTGAATCAATTGTTTTTCATTTAAATTCAATTCTCGAGTGAGTTTGTATAGAGGTAAAAGTTTAATGTACAATCAAGTTAATCTTGTTCACAATCAATTTAATCAACTATTGACATTATCAATTGTTATAATACTTTTAACGATCATTAATTTAAACTGATGTATTGATTAATGACTTTTTCGTCTCTTATTATCTTCTTAATCTCTAATTGTTTGTCATTTTTTATTGTTGATTGGAAAGTAACTATTTTCAGATCTATGGTTCATTGGCAAGATTTATGGATAATCATCAAAAGTTTATCAAATGTCAAATTAACAAAATCAATTGTCAACTGAACAAGTTAATCCCACTCTCCAGGCCTTTAAAGTACATATCGGATTAATTGTTAACATTGTCAAGTAATTGAACTGTTTGAACAAACTAACAACCTATGATAGATTTTAATCAAGACAATCAACTAAATTTAGATTGTAAGGAGATGAAGTGATTGGGTCTTACCTTGCGATTTGGGCGATGATTCTGGACTATGTTTGGTTGGAGATAATATATTCTTATGAGAGGATTTGAGATGTTCAATTATCAGATCATTTTTTGATTGATTGTAATTTGAATTGGTGATGATTGGTTCCAATGGTGATCGATTAGTCTCTTTATTTGGTTGATTCAATAATTGGGTTGATGATGTTGGTGATATTGTATTAATAGGAGTGGATGATATTAACTGGAGGGATGAAGAGGTTGTAAGAGGAGGTAGAGAGGAGTTTGGGATGAGTGGAGGTGGAGGAGGTGATGATGAGTGTTGATGTTGATATCGTGATGGAAAAGTGGCCATGATGGGTGGTGAAGGTGAGGGAGGAATAACTGGTGAACAAGCAGCCACATTCTGAGGTAAGAAAAGAAAAAGAGAAATGATTAATTAGTAAGAGACAATGAAACAATTAACATTTCATTGAGTAATTTGTCTCATTAAGTATTCAAATTGTTACTACGATTTCATTGAAATTATTACTACTATTAGAAAAGGCGAGACTTGATAAAGAAAATGTTGATTGATGAAAAAAGTTTCGCTGTCAAAAGTTATAACAATTATACCAGAATGATAGAAAGTTAGACTTTGACAATCAACGTATCAAAAAGTCCAATTAAAAGTATTTATAATCAAATCAATCTTACGATAGAAAATTAACAAATTGTGTTACCAACAACAATTAACTTATATCCATGGGTATGATCAGAATACCCTGTAAGTTTTAAATTGTGTCATTTTAAACCTTTCACCAGTTTGAGATTGAAATGTTGACATTTGCAATTATTTATCACCAAGAATCATAATTATCCTTAAAGTTTTAGAATGATTTAGTTTGAATAGAGAAGCTAAATCAATTGTCGATGATATAATCAATTCCAATGATATAATTGATTTATCAAGATGATAAATTATCAAAACAAATATTATATCATGAGAATGTTATTCCATGTAAAAAGTTAATCAGCTAAAAACTCATGCCAATTACTTAGTAACCTAAATATTACTTGAAATTAATGATGAGGAAGAGAGGGAGAGAGGGAGAGAAAAAATAGTTCGACAGAAAAAAAGTTCTAATCGATAAAATTTGTTTAAGGTTCGATTTCTATCATTGAATCTTGGTGACAAGTTACGAAGGTGATTCCAATTGAAATGAATTGATTGACAATTTACTGGATCATATCAAAAGAAGAAAAATTCAAATGCTAATCAGCTAATGAATTGATTACGATTAATTAACTGATTTACATAACAAGTGAAATAATTATTCAACTAATTGAGAAAGTAAAATGTTATTCTAAATCATGAATAGAGAATCAAATTGAATATATTAAAGGAAACAATTTCTTCATTGTTAGAAATGGAAACAAATTATTATTCCGTTGAGAAAATGTTCATATTTAATATTAAGAATACGAAATGAAAGAGAGAGAGAATCAAATTATTAATACTATTGGATGATTACGTTGAGAACAACAATCAAAAGATGAAGTAAATACCAAAAAACATCATCAACATTCAAGTGAATTTACTGATCATGATTTCAATAGTTTTATCCATTTTCTCATGTAAATATATTGATCAGAGTTGAGATAAAAATAAAAATAATATTGAAACCAAAGTGAATCCATAAATATGTTATTTGTTTGTTATGATTGTTCATCATCATGATGATAATATTATCGGATGAGGATAAAAAAATGAAGTAGTAAATAGTATTGATGATCAAATGAATGGGAAGGGATGTAAAATTTTCTGTAAAATGTTACCTGAGGTGAAGATGAATTTCCCATGAGTTTAGCTGAAGTCGATTCAGGGTGATTGAGTGATCTATCATTGAGTGAATTTCTCATCAATTGTATATTAGCTTCTTCATCATCAACTCCACCATCGCCTCCTTCACTTTCTTCATCGAAAGACATTCCCCACCGGGAGGCTAAAGTAACACCGCCTAATTGTTTAGCACCATTTGTGTTTCCTTGAGCAGCTCCAGGTTGACCTGATAATCCAATCGCACTTATATCATCGGCAACAGCAAATTGGGTCACACTAATGTCAAATAATGTTTGCCGTCGACTATTATCCGCAGCAGCGGCGGAGGCGGCAGCGGCAGCGGCTGCAGTAGCTGATTGTTGTTGACTAGAAGCCGATTGTTGTTTACTTGATTGAACTCTATTTGAGTTACTTCGTCGGACAACAGCCTGTGGTTTTGCTTGACCACTTCCACTATTATTATTACCAGCATGAGCGATACCATGTGATGAATGAGTAACCGCTGTAGTCGATTTAGATTTAAGTACTTTAGATTGAATATTTTCCTGACTTTCCATTGAATTATAATTAATATTGGCACCATTTGAATTGGATGGCTTGTTTGGTAACGGTAAATTTGTTGGTATTGACGATGGTTGACCACAATCGTGGACATTTAAAGGTTCAACTCCAATACCCGAATATGCAACACCATGTTTACCACTTCGATCAGCATTCGAATTAAAATTAACTCTATTATCATTAGTAACATTGACATTGGAATTGATGTTGACATTATTTCCAGTGGCGATTTGATTATTAGAATCCTTGTTTTGAGTATTCTCACTGAAATAACCGGTAACTGAATTGGTTGCGATTACTTTTCCATGGCCAGTTGATGAGATCTGTTGTTGTTGTTGTTGTTGTAACTGTTGTGTGTACTGGTTAGTTGATTGTTGTGGATTTTGCTGTTGTAATTGTTGGGAAGCAGTTAGAGCTGTGATTGGTGAGCCAGTGACCGGAGTGACCAGAAGAGTTTGAGCTGTTTTCATCTCTTTTTCTTGAATTTCCCAATCATAGGGATCTGATTCTTTGATACCTCGACGTTTCATACACTTTTCAAATATTGAAGCCAGAAAATCATAATCTGGTGAATCGAAATAAGTTAATCCCTGAATATGTTCAAGGAACAGTTTAAAATCAGGAGGAAGATGCTTAAGTAATAATCGATGATCGTAGCGCTCTTTCATTTGTCCAACTTGCTCTTTATCTTTTATCTTTCTCCAAGGTAGAAAACCATTTACAAATTCAACAATCATATACAATAGTGACCATAGGTCATCATGTCGACCCATTTCTCGGTTTTTATGAGCATTCATTGAAGCATATCGAACTGTCCCCCTGAATCCAGCCGCAGCTCGAGGTGGACGAACCTCAAACTTAGTTGGCTCATTTGGTTTGTTACTAGTAGAGTTTGGATTAGTTTTACCACCAAGGGTAAGATTAGGCTCCAATACAAGAGTTTGATTATTATTAGTATTAACAGAATTAGCTGAGGAAGAGGCAATAATGTACTGACGAGCCAAACCAAAATCGAGCATATAAACAGTTCGAATGGTGTGATTATTTCTTCCAATGGCAAAATTTGAAGGTTTAATATCTCGATGTAAAAAGCCCACTTTGTGAATCGCTTCGATTGACCTTAATATCTGTAAACCAAGACGTAAAGTTGTTGACAAGCTAAACGATGCTGAAGATGTTCCAGCTCGAGCTGAACAGGATCGCCTTAGTTCAGCTAAATTTTTCCCCTGAAGTTGCATAACAACGTAATTAAAGCGATCATTTCGTCCACATCCAATGAATCGACAAACATGTTCTTTCCCTGAGAATAGAAAAAGAAAATTATCAATAATCATTATGATAAATCTCAAGAAAATTTCAGTCGCACCAATTGAATTTAAGGAATAAGAACTGAAATGATTAATATAATTGCGATGAAATTAATTCTCTTGAATGAATTAAGGTGTTAATATACAAAGAGAAACGAAAATAGATTTTCATTGAATCATTTAAATGACGATAACATGATGATCGAAAGGTATCTCGAGATGATTGACTGTTAATGGAAAAGGATTCTGATTGTGAAGACAATTAACCCAATTGAATAAAATCTATCATGATAATAAGACCTACACCCAATATGATATTATCTATGATTCAATTCATAATAAAATTAACAATTGATCTGATTTCTGATTATTGGATGAATTTGTCTTGATGATTTAACCCAAGAATCAGTCGATAACTACAGTTACTGACAATTAAACTATTAAAAGGGTAATTTAGCTCTATGATTAACCAAATCACCATGAGAAAATAATAACATTCAACTAATATTATGTTTCCATGTTAAAATTGAGCTGAAAAATTAATGATCAACGTTAATTAACAATTACAATAGTCTCTTCTTAGACAAACAAGGTAGACAATTAGTTAAATCATTTCCTATCAGATCTTGTCAACCTTTAATTACTATATTATCCACTTTTATCAATCGATGATTAAAATAATTACAGTCTATTTGTAATGTATTAATACATTGCCACCTCATTTACATGAATCAAGGTTAATTGTGAAAAGTTTATTGTTAGTTTGGGTTAATGATAATCAACCATGAATAACAATTTAAGGATGAAAAATTAAACCAATTCAGTTAGAATGATTAAAATTAAATAAATGAAACTTTAATTATTAGCTGAACTCATCATTTAATTTACTAATTAACTAATAGCAAATATTATATAAAGAAAGTTAAATTGTTGAAAACATTGTAACACTATTATGATTACATGAATATAATTAATTGTGAAAGAAAAGCAATTGAAACCTTGCCATATACACAACAATTAACATAATCAGTGATCATAATGTTAATGATATAAATGGATATTTTCAGTAGTCAAGCAATTAAAAAACAAGATGATTCGGTTAATTGCTCAAGTAATTAATACAAAAAGTGGGTAAAAGTATAAACATTTAATATTTAACTGATAGAAATGCAATTCTTTAAATTGTCCTTGGCATTAGATTATCAAAATAAATTAAATTCAGTGGATCGTTTTAAAATGAATCAATCAATTATCGTTATGTAATCATGTAAATCATGATTCAGTCAAGATAAAGCAAATGCTAATCCAAGATCAATATATATAAGCATCGGAATATATTTTCACCGATTAACAGTTTTAGCCAATAAACTTATTATCCAAACTGAAGATTGAAATGATTACGATGAGAAAAAAACTCACTAATAACTATCGACAATCAGCTAGAACTTCAATTCATCAGATCACATGATAGTTTTTTCTTGAGAAGTTGAAATTCAGACATTAATCTACTTGACACCTTCTCTTCATCATCATCAACCCACCGGGTAGAAAAGTCCGATAGACTGTAGTTGATGTTATTCTTGATAATTTGCCAGAAATGTTGGTGAACTCAGAGGATAAAACTCTCGCTTCAAGTTTAGAGGAGGTTCAACTTTCTAGGAAGTGGAAAAGTTTCAGTAAAAATAATAACCCATAGGAAGAAAAGTTTTCATGATATATTATCGTTTTCAGATATTTTCAAGTAAATCTCATTCAAATGAACAGTTTTTTTAAGCATCAACAACACCATAGAGAAGACGATAATTTGAGCGTTTCCTGGTTATCTAAATTTCAAAGGAAAATGAAAACAAACAACAAACATGATGATGACGATGACGATGATTATATCTAACTAATTGTATATTGTTAGTAATCATGTTGAAAAGCGAGTGATGATGATTAAGGAAACGAGTGGATTAAGATGATATTTGTTAATAACACCACTGGCAAGCACCCAAATTAATCTCATTGGATATGAGGATAAAGTAACAAGATCAATTAGTTGAATTAAAAAGTAATTGAGTTGATTAGATAAATAGAAATTAAAAAGAAGAGAAAAGAAAAATTAAATTAATTAACTGATTGTTTTGTTAATGGAATATCTTAATGTTAAAATACTTAAATAATAATAAAATGATTGACGAAAAATGTTCATTTATATTATTCATGTAATCATCGTCAAGGTGGTAACTTTATTTCCTAGTGAATTTAGTTCATTGTTCAGTATTCTTCATTCAGTTCTCATGGAACAGAATAGAGAGAAAGAGAAGAGAGAAAGAGAGAAAATGTCTCAAGGTCGAATTTTGATATTCGACGAAAATGAATAAGTCACTGGGAGTAAAAGGGATCAATTGAGAATGATAATGGAAAGAATCAGAGAGAGAGAGAGAGAGTTTAAGGAGGACAGGAAGAGAGATTCATATACTCAATGGATGAAAAGATTATCGATCGCGATGAAAAAAATTGAACGAAAACTAGAGTAACGAATGCGAACGAAAAAGTTAAAATTGTGATTTAGAATTTAAACTTAATTATGATGATAATAGTGATCAAGTTTATTAATTCATGAGAATGATGATTATGATTAAATTAACGTCACAATTGATGATTATTATTAAGCAACAAGATAAAACTTTGTAACACGATTAACATCAACTCGGTTTATTTAATCAATATTTGATATTAAGACAAGTTAAATGTATCAATGATCAAAAGGTTTGGTCAAATGTTTTAGGTTATTGGATTAATATTGAGGTTAATCAAGAGAAACTAAAATAGCACAATTAGATTAAGGTAATTGGTACAATTAGTGATATTAAATTGGATTCTCATGAAAATATGATAACCTTGTTTTTGTTTCTTCTTAAATTGTTAACAAGATGGAAAAGGATTAGCTGACTTATTAAGATGAATTTCATGAAAAAGGGATAATCTTACTGAGACTATTCATTCAAGACTAAACTTTGATTTCCATGAACTTAGTCAACATTTTATGTCCATGTTAATGATAAACTGCATCAAATTGATAAAGATAAACATGGATCATGGAGAAAAGGTTGATAACAATCAAGGAATTAGCAATTTACAGGCAACAACAACAACAACAACAGAGGTTCTTTCTGATGATTAATAAAAAGATGTCATGATAATGAAGCATAGACAGAGTGATGAGTATGGTGAGAGTGTAAAGAAAACCCTCAAGACTTTTGGAAACAAATAAACATGATTATGAGTTGGAATCAAGGTTTACCTTGAGTTACGTGTTCAGTTGGGGAATCGTAGCATTTGCATTTCGAGAAAAACAAAAAATTTCTTAGTTACTGTACTTCTATGATTTGCACGAAGCACGAACAAAATAGTTCTTAAACTAAATTAATCTAATCAACGAGGAAAATTCAAGTTAATCACTGGAAAACCACGGGATGAGCAGAGAGAGAGAGAGAGAGAGAAAGGTAGATGAGGATGAGGATGAAAATGATGTTATAAGAGATGGTGGATGTGAGTTAATTGTTGACTGATTAGGCGAAGAATTAAATTTAATCGTTACCTTGTAATTTCTTGAGAACAGCGACTTCCATTTTCAATACTTGCTTCTGTTGTTGAGCTGATTCCAATTTCATCGCTACGTGTTCTCGGGTCACTAAATCGATGGCTTCATAGATTTCACCAAAACCTCCGCCGCCGATTCTTTTAACGACTCTCCATCTCTCTGATGAATAATACATGGAAATACAAGGCATCAGGATAAAAAAGGAAAAAGAACAATAAAAAAAATGAATAAACAACAATCAAGAATACTAAATTATGATTGATATTGCTTAGAACGATAATTGAAAATAAAACTTGTGAAATTATCTCACTCTCCAAATCAATTGAATTTCATAATAATACATTTAAAAATTAATTAGTTAATTGGTAATTTTTTGCGATGGAATGAGGAAAACTTAAAATAAGAACAGTTAATTAAAATGGAAATAATAATAATAATTCAGTTAATTACTCAATTATCATGAGTTAATCTGTTCGCAATTGAAATTTGATATCCAAAGAGGAAGGATTAAGATTTATCATCGGATTAAATTGTTAATTCACACCTTTAACTACATGTCCGGGTTGAAGTAAATCCTCTTGAACTGGATTAGCCGCTGAATTGTTATTGTTATTGGTCAATCCAACTACTGGTGGTTGTTGTTGTTGACTGGTGGTTGTGACGACTTTGGTGATTAAATTGTTTGAGTTAATTGCGTTGTTAATATTTTGCTGATTCTCAACATTATTATTAAGATTACTCGCCATCACCGGTAAATCTGATTGCCTTTGTTGATTAGATCGAAGTAAATTATGATGATGATTAGGATTAACAGGTAAACATAAATCTGGTAATTGTTTAATCTCAATTAGAGTTGACTTTTTGTAACTTGAGGTTTCATTATTTTTAATTGTTGACTGATTGAATTTCACTTTATTGGTTAACTTTAATCGATCACTGGTTGTTGTGGTTGTTGTTGTTTTCCTGTGAATATCCTGAGTGGAGTTGAATTTGTTTCTATTAGAAAAGTATAATAATAATAATAAAGAATCGGATTAAGATAAGATTCACTTGTAGATTAGAAGTTAATTAGTTTTAAAGAAAAAAAAATTATAATTAGATTCACATAAATAGAAGCTCAATTAATCTAATTAACAATACATTATCTAGAAAATTAACTCAACACAATTACAATCCAAATAAAATAATCCACTTAATTATTATCCAAATGACCAAAGATAATCAAGTAAAAAATACTAGTTGGAGATTAAACAATTAAGATTCTGATAGAAATCAGTGAGATACTTTGCAACAATTAACAATACATATAATGATGGTTAATGATTAAAAGTGATGGGAATTAACACAATTAATCCAACTGAAATTGTTATTACCTGATAATCATTTTTGATGGTTAGAAAAATGGATGTTGATTGTTAACAATATTATAACAAAATTAAAAGATTAATCGTGATTATCGTCGATGTGATTATTTGCTAATAGTGATAATCAGTTACAGAATTAAGAAATTACTAAGACTCAACCTACAAACAGTTTTCCTCATGCTCTCTAATTAACTTTTCCACCATTAACCAATGCTGACATCTCTTCGTTATTCAGTCAATTAAAATTAATCATAATCAACGATAATTAATGTATTTGATTATTCAAATTGACAGATTATGACAACCGGAACTAACCAAATTCACCAGGTAAACAAAATAACCTTTAATCATCGTAATCAATAGTAAATGATGGAAATGGTAATTGATTCAAATTGAATTATTATTAAGACAACAATCAATCAAATGGGTAAACATATCAGATCATGTTGTACACTTTTTATTTTTCACAATCACCATGAAAATGGTTTCAATTAAGAGGCTAATTGTTTGTGATTAAATTGTCACCTTAGGAACATGTTAAATGAACCAGAGACTTGAAGTCAATGGGAAATTAACATGAGCCAATTGGAAGGTTAAAAGAAAGATATTGATAGTGTTGTGGTTAATTTGGATCATTTTTAGACAATTTGGCTAATTAGAAGAAAATAATTTTAATTGTGAAGACCATTACACATGGAGAATCAGCTAATTAAGATTATTTTTTTCTTCAATTTCGATTATGATTTAAAAAAGATGAACATTTAAACTGAACCATTAAGGACTATGAGCGAGAAAAGTGAAGCTTCAAAGAAAGAGAAGGAAAAAAATTCAATAGAAAATGGAATCAACTCTCAAGGAGACGGAATAGAATTTAAATTGTAGATTAATTTACACTCTCTTAATCGAGGATAATTAATAAATATCACCAACTGAATAGAAGAGTATCTTTGATTAACAGTAATTTCCAACAATCAAATGTAACGGTAAACACATAGATGATGTTGATGATTTGTACTTTAAGATGTAAACATAAACCAGAAAATCACATATTCGCAATGGTAACATTGTAATTGGAAATGAAAGAAACAATTTAACCAGAAATTAAGGTAAAGGATTTGGGATATGGATTAGCACGAGGGTAGTGATTAAGGTTGTGGAGATTAAAAAGATTAGCAAAAATTGAAGGGAAAAAAAACACTTACGATGAGATTAAACAATTGAATATATAATCAATTTGATGGCGATTCTGGTGATAGATTAACAGAAATTGGTTATTGGATAATAATAATACTGATTATGTGATACATATTAAATTGTGATTGGTGTTGATGGTAAAATGTGATGATTATGATGGTGAAGGATAATTAGAATGGTGATTATTTTAATTGTTACCAATAAACCGGGTGATTGGTTAGGAACATTATCTCATCTCTGATCTGAAATGATCAAGGGTAAAGGTTAACCCAGAGACACGAATATAAAGACAATGTTTTTTTCTTCATTTTTTTCTAGGTAAGAATTGGAAATATACTAGGAGAGACCTTGGAATGATGAGAAAAAATGGTGATGATAATAGAAAGAGAGAGAAAGAGAATTAGAAAGACAAATGAGAGAGTCGAAAATTCTCTTTCTTAGAGTAACAGATGATCGATAAAACGGTTATATTTTGTTCTCATAGAAGTCGCGCGAAAGAATTTTTGTTCATTTTCGAATTTAGTTTTTCTCTTCTCTCTTTTTATTATGATGTTTATTTAGTTTCTTTCAATTGTTGTTGTTGTTTTCTTTGTTTCGAATACAATTTCGATTTGACCTTAAAAGGGTCGAAGAAGATATTATCGATCGAAAGAGTTTCACATTGTATTGGATCGTTTTGATCGATGTCCAGATTTCTTGCTCTTCCGTTTGGACTTTCCTTTTCCTGCTCCACCTTTACCTGAAGTAAATCGAGCCAAGGCTTCAGCAGCTTGTTCGTGAACTTCCTTGTTTAGATCACCTCGAATCAACAGGTTGGTTGCCGCTTTAATCTCTCGAACTTGAATAGTGTGTTTGTGAGTTTGTTCAACCAAATCACTCGCTTCTCGAGCGATTTTATGAAGAAGATCACAAACCATTCCATTGACACAAAGCATCGCCTTTCGATTGATCGAAGCTTTTTCATCGATCGATTTCAACATTCGGTAAAGGTAAACGACGAAACCACTTCGGTCATTTCGTTTTCGTCGATGAGTAGTTGTTGAAGCTTCTTCATTGGACATTTTGATTGTTTTTTTTTTGTTCGAAAACAAATTAATCCAAACGGAAGACACAAAATTTAAAACTTTGAACACTGAAAAACTTAATCAAGTTAACACGATCAATACAAACGATTGAATGAATCAATTAGAAGAAAAAATTAAAATAATTAACAAAGGATTTAATTGTTCAATTGTAACAATGGTTAAAAAAGGTTGGACAACAAAGGTAAATGTTTACATAAAAATAGTGTTTACTAAAAATTGATTACTAAATTAACTTAATTGTTAGGTGACTAAATTTGACAAATTTTGAGATATTGTTGCGGTTGATCTGTAATTGTATTGTTAACCAATAATGAGAGTGGTGATTTTTATATATATTTAGGAACAGGTCGTTGATTATTGTTAATTAGCTTCTCTGTTTACAACTGATCTTATGTATTGAATGACCAATGGATCTGAAAGGATGGACATATGATCAATTTTGTTGAACTGTTTATAAAATACTCGCTGTTTTTGTTGACCTTCCCAGCGAAGGCAACCCTTTAGGCTTTTTTCATTCACGGTTCCGTCTCCGTTTCCGAATGTAATTTTTGGCTGATGATCGGGAAATTTAACATTTCGATAGTCAAGAAACTCCATGGTGTCAATACCAGTTCCATGGAGACAATGAACTTCAACACCAGGAGGGGTTAAATCGTAAATTAAATTGTGAACATCTTTCCACATCTCAAATCCAATTGGATTGTTGATTAGATTGAAAAATTGCTCATAATTGGATGTAGTTACATTCATTTCACTTGTTGTCATGATAACTTCATCTGGGGACCAGAATTTATCGGAAGGCATGAGAAAAGCTAAACTGGGAAAAGTTTGCTCATCTTTACGAACTTTGAGAGCGGGGATCACGATTACCCCTAAATTGTCACCTGAGGTAAATGCTTTTAAAGCCTTAATTGCCCCACCCCAAGCACCGGCCAAACTGATTAGACTTCCAATATGAAGATCTTTCCAATCTTGACTTTGATTGTTGAGAAAGTACAAAGTAACTGGACATCCCATCGAATGACAGATTAGAACCAACCTCTGACCAGTTTTCTTGTAAGTTGATTCGATCATATCTTTAAAATTCTTGTAGTATTCATCCATCTCATCTGAATGAGATTCAAACAATTAGATGATTAATTTAATCATAATAATAACCAGAATAGAATCAACCTGATTAATTAGATGAATATTATACTTACTTGGAGCTTTTCTGAAATCATATGGAGCACCAAGAATATTTGATCCCCGGGAATATCCCATTTCCACCATGACTTTGGCCAACTGGTTGAAATAACCGGAAACTGACACTTGACTCGGATCAACATATTCAACCGTTGTGGTATTACCGAAACCAGGGACTCGAGTTACAACACCCGGTGGGTTTGAGGTCTTACGAGTTACATTGTCGTAAACTAGCCTCATATTGTCAACCCAACAATCAACCACGAAAGGAACCAAATCAGCAAGATTTAACCAGAGATTAAAATAATCTGAACTCTTTTTCTGGCAAAAATAATGAACCACCTCAGGTTTATCAATCTTTGCATCCAATTGACTTCCTCCATCACCAGGAACTTTAGAATAAATCAAATTGTGTTGATTAATCAATCATTCAATTGTATTGTAGTTCTAATAATAACATTGATTGAGTTTACAAATCAATGGATACACTTTACGATACTTGGATAGCCTTAGTAATCAATTTATTGTCATTATCTTGCTTGACTTTCATAATATTCTAGGTGATGTACTTTAGATTCAATTAGCATCCTAACAATTTAGTATTCTTCAAATTTTAATCACAATCTGGCTCTCAATTAGTAATAATTGTTATTAGTTGTCTATTTTAATCAGACATCATCATGTAAACGATTCTAAAATCATGTATGACAACAATTAATCAATCGGATGATTGTTTTAATCACCATGAGGTAATTGTTTAGCAAATTTATTGATCAGCAATAAAAAAATCTGATAATTTTATAAGTATTTGTGAACAATAAATGATTTAAAACAATAATTGTTTCAATGTAATCAGTTAATCATCAGATTTACTATTCCAAAAGTTCAATGTAATCTAAGGATTATTCCTAAGTGATTGTGATCAATTGTTTTCATTCATCATGGTGAATCTATTTAAGTCACTTTCTGGTACTTAATTGGTACGAAAATTGTTCAAAAATCAGACTGAATCCCTATCACGATTTGTATACAATTATTTGAGTTAAATAATAAATACAAAATCTACAAACAATTTTTATAATGAGAAGAGGTTTTCGAAAACAATTAAGGTATAATTCAGTTATCATTTACTTTGGTAGACTTACTCAAAACTATGGGTCTAAGATCAGCTGATGGTACGAGGTCATAGTGTAGTCCAGGTCCACGTGAAGGCCAAAGCCCATTCAGACCAACCGTATTTACTGGTCCACCTAATCTTCTGGTTTCTGGTGATTTACACCAACAATTGACGATTAAATTAATAATAACGACACAAAACAATGATGATTGTGATCTAATTGTACACCACATCATGAGGAACTATGGTTATCAAGGATAAGGAAAAAGAGACAATAATAATAACAAGAAGATGGAGAAAAGCAAAGAGAAAAACAAATTCCCTCCTTCAGAGAGTTTCCTTTGTGTATGATGTCCAGTGAACTAAAAGGTGTTGGTCAAGAGTAGAGAGAGAGAATAGATTGTCACAATTAGAAGGTTAATATAAAGTGATTAAGCTCTTTTATATTGGAAAAATTAAATAACTGATTGATTAAGTAATAGAATCTGACAATTAGTTTAAAATAGAAAGAAAAAAATATCGAAAGGTAAATAATCAGAACGAAACCTAAAATGAACTACAGAGAATCAGATAAAGATTTTTGTTTCTCTCTCTCTCTCTAAATTGTTGGTGTCTAATTGGATTAAATTAAATTATGATGGTTATGATGATGTATTCACAAGGAGAAATTAATTTAAAGTTAAACAGGAAAAAAGCAATTAAACAGAGACAAAGAATCAAGAGAGAGATGAAGAGAGAGAGATAAACTAAAGTGAGAATTCAATTCATATGGACTAATGGACGCGCCTTTTTCCATTGTTTCAACATATCCTTTTCTTAATTGCAACTAAACTGTTTCTCTACTCGTGTTAATTGTTTGCCATTTAATTGACCAAATTATCTTTAGATTCAATCCTTTTAATCAAATTGTAAATACTTATTTCCATTATCTAGACTTGTTATTAGCTGTTCATCATTGTCTGTCTTTGACTTTGATTATTATTAACTGATTGTATTTATAGTTAATCTTGATGAACTTTGTTAAATCAATTTTAAGATTAAGGGTTAATGAATTTACTTGATTATAGTAATAATTGTTCAAATAAATTGTTGATTGTTGATGACGTACAAACAAAAACTGTTGGCTCTCTGAACCTTTTAATTGAAATTGAAAAGTTTCTCAATTTTCATAGAAATTAACACTTAGATTAATATATTGATTAATTAGATTGAAGATAGACAATTTTTATAGATTCCTACTCATTAATTAACTAAATTTTGTCAACAATTTAAATGATTACTTTCTGGTTAACCAGAATCAAGAACCCATTTTTAGCGCCATCTATTAGTATAATTAGAAACTTGAGACAATTTAATTTGTTGTACAATTTAAATCAATTAACTTGACAGTTGTTTTTGTTAATTTTTCATCTTAATTGTAGAAAAAAAGAAACAATTAGAAAGACAAGATGTTTATTATGGTTAAATCTTTTAATTGTAAACTCTGTAACTGATTAGCTAATAAGTATTTCAATTATATACAATTGTTGATACAATCAATGTACTATCCAATAGTAAATTCATTTTGAAAACACCGTTAATCATGTTAATTGTTATGCTTAATTTGATGATTACTATTATTAGATTACTACTTGGTAAGGATCCAAAATTAAATTCTGGTTAAAAATATCCAGAAACCAGAAAACAACAGTAAATTCAACAACATTCAATAACGTGAACATTTTTCTGGTTTGTTGTTTATAATTAATGATTAAATGTTAACAGTTAAATTAATTGTGACTCGTGACAATTTGATTGGTGTTCTATTGGAAATTACGATCGATCAACATGATGATAACAATTGATGATCTTCCGGTTGAAGTGCTGCATCTTATTTTCATGAAACTACCTTGGGTTGAAGACTTTATCAGTGTCTCGAAAGGTTAATTGTCCAAGATGATTAGCAACAATTAAATTAAATCATTCTATTAATAATTTTATCTTATTTGATGACAGTTTGCTTGCTATGGGAAGATGTCGCTAACCAACGCATGGCCTGGGTCAAGTATCTAATCGGAGTCTACGATTACAGTGGAGGTAAAGTATTAGTTGATTGTTCAAAATTTTGATCATTAATTAATCTAATTAATTGATTTTCAATCATTCCAACAGAACCACAAAGTGTTTCTAATGATATTTTATATTATCGCCAAGGAGTAATGGCTTCTTATGCTCTCAAGTATCTGGTTCCTTATTTGCCCAATCTGAAGGTACGAATCTTTGAGACGATTTAATTGTTTTGTTGTTTTCCAAGTTAAATTTAATTTGATTTGATATTTAGATTCTAGAAGTTATCGATCCATACAAAATGGACCCTGAAACTCTTGGTACAATAGCAAAGGACAATTCAAACATAATCGGGATTCGTTATGATAGACGGATACCTGGACAGATTGACGATTGTCTTGGAGGAATCGAAATGATATCAACTAATTGTATCGCCGAGGCAATGGCTCCACTTTGTTCAAATTTGAAACAATTGTACATTCGATATTCAAATGAACGGACTTTGGCCATTGTATCACAACACGAGAAACTTGAGCGACTTCATATCCATGATTTTGTGGGTAAATTGATGATCGATTACATTTAAAACAGTAAAATTGTCTAACCAATTTGGTTAATTAGTAATCGTTGTCTTACAATTTAGGTGAAAATTTCCTTCAACATGCAGTTCAACCCTTTTATAATCTAATCATCTTGGAACTTGGATTCAAGCGACTCGATTATAAAAGTATCTGCGATCTGGATCGAGTTATAAGAATGTGCTGTAAATTGGAAAGTCTTTATTTAAGATTTGAAGATTTAGATCGATTTGAACTGGACGATGAAATGGACAATACGAGTAACCTTAATCTGAGAAATGTTGTCCTTCAATACACGGTAATTAACGCTAATTAAGTTGATCTAATTCGTCTGATGACAATGTTTCAATCGCAACTTTGACTAGTCTTTAGTTGTTATGATTAACTAAATTGATGGAAACTCTTTTAATCGTACCTTTGATTTCTAGGATAATCATTGGCCTGAAGACGCTGTTTTCCCGTTAATCTATCGTTTCGTTAATTGTGAACAATTAGCTATTCGTGACAATATGGGCTTACATGATAATAATGTTATCGATTTAATTTCCGAGTTACCAAATCTTGAATTACTCGATGTCAGGGGATGTCTTCATATTACTCAACAATCAGTTGATTCGGTTAAAAGATTATCTCGTTTCTTTAATCGTGAGATTAAATTTCTCTGGGGTGAACATGTTTACGAGAAATTAGACCAATATCGTGATTTAAGAGTCGCAATTGGATTTAATTTTAATTACAATCTATTTAATAGACGATTTGAACAATTACCACACTTTTTAGATAGAAATCAATCTAATATTAGATTATCACCAGAACTATCAGATTAATCACTAATCCAATTCATCCAATCTTTAAATCATTTTATTAATGATCAAAATTTCATTTCTTTTACCAATCAATAAATTGTCATCTTTTACTATTTAAATTGATTGTTTCTATCAACAATTTATCGATTGATTATTTTTTTCATAACAAAAAAATTCAAGACATTGAATTGAATCAGTAAAAGTTAATTGTATAATTAGAGTCTCATTGAGATTAAATTTATTGTTAATCAATGAGCCATGAATTAAGGCTTTCTGATCAATTGTTTATCCGAGTTAATTTTGTTTTCATCCAATGGACAATTAATTAACCATTTTAATCATTAAATAACCAATATGATGATTGAACAATCGGCATGACAACAATATGAATCTTTGATTGTGTCAATGAGCCACTTAATTAATGGTGAACAATTTAAAACTTGATTAATAACCATTGTATTTTTGGTTTTGATTAATTATTCAATCAATCAAGGTAACCAAGTTAAATCCAATTAAAAAGTCACAATTATTGTTACTCAGATTCATTGGTAACAATCAAATAATTATTAATCATAATGTTCATAGGGCCAGATAATTATGATTAGTGATTACTTTGATTATAACAATCAAAAGATTGTAATTGTAATATGAATAATTGAATCATGTTAAACATACTCATGATTTATTCATCTCTAGATATTGTAACAATTTATTAATTGTTGGTTAGGATTGAAAGGATTGACTTGAACAAGATAAACGAAAGTGCAAAAGTTTATTGTAATTGCTAAATTGTTAATGACAATAAGAAGGTGTAGTTACCATTAACCTTGATGATTAGGAAACAATTTATATCTTAATTGTTATTTCTTAAATGAAGATGATTGTAATCAGAAAAATAAACAGATAGACAATTAGATTGAAAAATTAGATATAAAAATCTTTGTGTTTACAATTTGTTTCTTGTTAACTAATCAAGTGAATCTTATCATTGGAGTGTCAAGTTAATCGTCAATGATTAACAATTAAATGATTCATATTCTTCCGGTGATATTAAAGTAATACGATAATCTATTAATTGTTGTTAAATTGTTTTCCTCTCAATATCAAGATAATTTGATAAGATATTTATATTATATCAACTATTCATTTGTTTCGTTCCAACGATTTCTATTCAAGTCTCAAGGTTAATTTTACGTTTTTCTTTGGCTCAATCAATTAATCGATTGAATTTTAATCATTGGAATCATTCATAAAAATCTATCAGGTTAATTTCATAATTTATTTTAATGAATCTCTCAAAATGATCAAATTGAGACTTTGCAAACAATCAGAATCATAGATTAATATCAGATTAACCTGATTGTTAACTTAACCATATCGTTACAATTTTTGACCTTTTAATTGTAAATTTAATTACCGTCTCGTGTTTTGATTGCATTTAAATCATTTACTTCTTGACCAACGAAAGTGTCAACTGTGATTACGGAAAAAAAATCATCACTCACAATATTTGACCTAAATTTAGTTACTTATATTATCATTCTTGATATTAATTGTTACAATTTAAACTTTGCTAAGTTTTTTCATTCACAATAATCAGTCGTAGTAAAAAACAAATATTGTTCATTTCACAATTAGAATGTTAATATTGAGCAAGAAAAATTTATCAATTAAATTGAAATAATTATCTTGTTCTAATCAATAAAATTTAATGATTACTCGTAAGGATCAGAGTTTCGATTTTGCCAGAGAATTGAAATTTCGAATCGATCAAGTTTACTTCGTTGATTTTGATCTCGAAATGTCCAATAGTCAGTTACGAAATTGTAAAAGTACAAAATATCAAAAGTTCGTGATCATGATTCTCATGTGAATCTCAAGCCCTTGAATTTTCACTTTCGATGAGATTGGAATAAAGTAACAAGAAAGGTTAGTGATTCGAGAGGAAAATCGATTTTAATTGTTACGAATTTAATACTATTGAACTTTCTGTTTCTACGTTTGTACATTTTACTCAATGAACTCGAAGATTTCAAGAAAAAAATATCATTCAGTTTATTGGGCGTCTCCTTTGATACAATTTAATCAATCAATAAGATAACAATCAAGATGAAGATGATCAAGATGATGATGATGATAGAGAAAAATTGATGATAAGATGATGATAATTCACCTCAAGTTGATTAGTTAATTCTTATCATTGTCTATCACGAGATGAGACGCACCCAATTTCTAGAAACTTTATGACTTGGAATCAAAATTAATTATCGTCAACAATTTACTAATAGTGATAATCATGATTCGCGATTCTAGTTGATTGTCAACGAAACAATTTAATAGTTTTTACATGATTGAACTTAATTCATTGATTACGAAAAAACTTTTCTTGGCAATATTGGTAATCTAGTTAAATCAATTGTTGATTTGCCAAATGATCAACTAATAATCATCTCATTGGCAATGTTGTTGATCAAATTAAAGTAATTAAAATTTTTTAAATCACAATAAGGTTCATAATATTAAGGTGAACATCGATCAAAGATTTAATTGTTCAATTAATTTGATTATCGATTGAGAAATGTAAAAGTTAATCAAATTGAATCAATCGAATTAATTTTATTCCAATTTGAATTACAAATTATTCCCTGATTGTATTTTAATTGTTGAGCTTGAACTAAATTTAGATTCTTGGACTAGGCAAATCAATAGACTTCCGGTTCCTGTAAATTTACATTAAATTACAATTAACTAATCATAAACTGGATAATTATAACTTTTATACTAAATTAAATAAACTGAAACCATAGTTAATCATTTGCTATTAATCAAAATAGAAACAAAATTATCAATTAATGTCAAGGTATAGAAGTTAATTGTGATTAGTATCAGGTTAATATCTTTGATCAAAAAGTTTACATTTTGATCACCAATCTAATCAACAATAAACTTGGAAATGAAAAAAATGTTAATCAACCGTTTAACCAGTAACTGGATTAGCACTAACGATAAGCTAATCAAACAATCAACTCCAAATGATGATCAACTATTAAGACAAATTGCAATCGAGAATCAATATTTTGAAAAGTTAATTGTTCATTTTGTATTAATTAGAGTTAGAACAATCAATAAGAATAATTTTATCGAGAAAAATTTGATTGTGATAGTTTTTTTCTTCTTCTAGATTGAATATTGAAACAACTTCATATCGAATTCAGTTAACCATGAAAATTTTATTCTATTCGTTGATTCGACTCTCTCTCTCTCTCACTCACTCACTCGATCCCCACCCACTTTCACCTGAATTCACCCACCCACCTATTCCTTCATTCACTCCACTCTCACTCTCATATTGATTCAAGAATCATTCCAGTAACAATCAACTAATCAACATCTTATTTACAATTGAAAGTGATGAGAATTCAATTGTAAACAATTATTTTTTTAATCAAGTTTAAGGCTATCAGTTGATTCCCTCCTCCCCAATCATCATCTTCATTTTAATATAATTAACTGATCATTTTGTTAATCATCATTTACTCTTGGAATCATCTCAATAGATCAACAATCAACCAAAGACAATTAATATTAATACAATTTCCCGCCTTCATCACAATCAACTTTCCAATTCTCATCAAATTTGCTTAATTATGTTACTTTATCATTGACAATCATCAAGTTTGTCATCGTTTTTAATTATTTGTGATAATTATGTTTCTCTATTACAATTTAGTGATAATTTTAACAATAACAATTAACAAATCAACTCATGTTTAGATTTTATCTTGTCTTCGGTGTTATTTATATTTGATTATCTCATTAGTACAAATTAGTAGTTCCTAAATTGTTTCATTCAATTGATATTTAATTAAATCATTTTATTCATTAATCATCTTTCCAAATTGTCAACAATTAAGGATACATAAAAAAGGTAAGATTTATTGATCGGTTTGATTGTATCCAGATAAAGGTTAAAAATATCCTAATCATAATTAGTAAATTGCAGTAAAAAAAACATCAGACAATCAATTTTAACGATAATTGTGATAATCAGAGCTGATGGGCTCAAGTTAATTGATTGTCAACACAATCAAATCAATTGAAACGATAACAATTAACCATCAACGAGACAATAATCAATAGCGTTCATTAATGCCATTCAGTTGATGATGCAATCTAATTGTCCAATGATAAAATTAACACAATCAATGATTTGTTTAAATTAACATCACCATCAACTCAATTCAAATTATTGATAATTTTTGATCATTCTAATCACTAATCATATGTTTATTTTAATTGTACAGTTAAACAACAACGTGAATGCCAACAACAGTTAATAGATTAGTCTGAGATTAATCGAAAGAGTTAATCATCTTAATCATGTTCTAATCATAATCAATAATCAGCAACAATCAACATTGAACAATCAGATACACAGGATGTGTTGGTAATCAACTTGAAATTAACAGCAACAGTGTAAACAACAGTTAATTGTGATTTTTTTCCCTCGAATCAACAACTAAATTAAACTACTCACATTATGTACAAACTTTGTGTACCATTGATTATCATCAGCTGCTATTTAACCGCTTCCGGATCCGGAGTACCAAGTTCAATTATTGGTGATCCCTTTCAATCAATTAAACAATCACTTGAATTAGATGCTGAAGTTTTAACTGCAGCAGCAATTGGATCGCATTCAAATTCAACCAAAAGATATGCAATTGCAGCATTTGATTTCGAGAAAGTTTCAAAACCTTATATTATTTGTCTTTGGATCATAATTGTTGGTGTTGCCAAAATTGGTGAGTTAATTAACTTTCCATAATCAATAGAAAATGAATGCTAATTGTTGGTGGAAGATGAAAAGATCACAATTTAGTTTATTGATTAACTATTAAACTTATTTTCCAATTTTATCGTTGATCTTGTTTGTCTTGCTCGTTGAATTTGATGAATTTCATCTGATTGCTGAATATCATGATGATTAGTTAATTGTTGGTCAATTGGATGGTTAATTTTGTGTTTTTTTTTGTTTTGACAAATTGGATTACAATTTAACCTTCAATTTCAGTTGATAGTTGACTAATTGTTTGATTGATTGGGTTGATTAACAACACGACAATTTATCATCTTTTTTTTGACTGTGGACAACTTTTCGTTTTGATTATCAGCATCAACAATCATGACGGGATTTAATTGTTACTATTGATACAAGATCAATATGATGATCAAGATTTAATTTGATAAGTTAAATTGTCACCACAATTGAAACAATTTAATTTAATTTCTTATTGGTTTTATACATCAGAAAAAAAGGATTTTTCCCCTTCTATTGTAATATTTTGATTCATCACCAGAAAACTTAATTAATGAACATGCTATTTAACTGATTGTAAACAATTAAAGTTTGATGAGTTTGTGTGAGTTGATTTCATGATTTATCTAATGAAAATTTTATTAATTGTTGAACATTTTTTAATTGTTATCATGAGTTGTTACTTGATGATTGTTGGTGTAATATAATTGAGATTTGTATTCATTGTTAATTGTTAAGAATTAAGAAAAGATGAAAATTATGAGAGGAAAATGAAAACTGAACAATTAACTGAATTAAATTGAATTTTCTCTTATCATTTCTTACAATTAAACTGAATTTAAATTGTCTCTTGATTCTTGACAAAAGTCATATTGAAACCAAGGCCAAGCAATTTACCAAATTACAATCAACTAATTAGAATCACTGATTATTATTCATAAGCTCTTTGTAAATTTCATCAACAAAGTAAATTAACCAAACTTAATTAGTAATGTTGATTAGCAATGACAGTCAAAAAAATTTATAATTCTAATAATTAATTGATAATGATTGTAACAAGTTTACTTGTAATTAGTTGATTGTTTTGATCATCAAAAGGACACTCAATCATTCACAACAATTGACAGTCAAATTGTGACATTAGTTAATTGTTTCTAATTGTAGATATATTTTTGGATTTCTTTTCATATTAAATTGTGTAATAAAAAAAGCGATTAATTATCATTGAGATTTTCTATCATTACTATTCATTGATGATTACAATTGACAATTAAAGTTACAATCAATGATTTCCTGGTTAGGCTTTCAAATATTTTTTACTGTTCAACAATTAAAACAATTAATTGTGATTATAATCCTGATCTCGTTACCGGGTTAGGAAAAAAAAGGATATGTGATTAGTTGAAGTTGTTAATTGTTACAATTAAAGTTAATCATAATGGTGATATTGATAAGAATACGTTAACAATTTAAAATTAGATTTACAAACTATTAATAAACTTCAACTGATTAACTTTTGAGGTTAAATTTTTCATTACTATTAACAAATTTGGTTCCTACTTTTTGATACAATTAATTATAATTGTGATTGTGTGCAACTTGTCAACAATTAGTTAAATTGTGAACAAAACAAATTCAGTTGTATGTTTAACCAGAAAGAAAATTTTTCTCAATGAAATAATTGATTATTGATTTATCATTGAAAACCAAATTGTGATTTATCATTAATTTTTTAACATTGATTTGATTTTATTGTTTACAATTTTCTAGGTTGATTAAGATGATTAACAAAAGAAAAGGTTTATAATGATTAGTTAATTGTTATTGTACCTTAATTATCATTATTTTTTTTCCAGTTATTTAGTCAATTGGTACGGAAGTTGTTAAACTAATTAATGAATAAATTTTAATACTATTAATATAAATGGTTCATTAAGTTTACTTACAATTTACTTAATAAATTGATTGTTTCCTATTGATTTGTTTAAGTTTTTTACCTGAGACCTTTTAGATTGAGTGATTAACTGATTTGTTTTTGTTATTAGAAGATAATTAAATTGATTTTAAATTGTTCAACACAAGGAGAGATGAAAAAAGTTGATCAGTAGTTTTTTCATTGATTTTTTCAAATCAATCAACCTTAAGAAAGGAATCAAATTAAATCAATGAACATCATCAACTATTATTTGTGAAAATGAATACAAAAAATTTCACTTCAATTTGAACGACAATTAAATAGATTGTCGAGTAATTTGAAAGAATGACAATAATTATATCGAATTGACAATTAAATGATTTAATTCTAATGCTTATTTACTTGATTTCTCCTCTTAGGATTCAATTTAACTCCTAAATTGTCATCAATATGTCCAGAGAGTGTGGTGTTGATGATTTTGGGAGTTCTAATTGGTTTGATCTTCTTTTATGGTGGAGTGTCCACTAATCAATCTCTACTGACCCCCGATGTATTTTTCTTCTACATGTTACCACCCATCGTAATGGACGCTGGTTATCATATGCCAAATAGACTTTTTTTTGATAATTTAAATTCAATTCTGATGTATGCAGTTCTTGGAACCATTTGGAACGCAGTTACTATTGGAGGTGCTCTTTATTGGGCAGCTACTTACGGCTATTTCGGTGTCCAGTTACCCTTACTGGACGCTCTTCTGTTCAGTTCAATTGTGTCCGCCGTTGATCCGGTGGCAGTTTTAGCCGTTTTTGAGGAGATCCATGTTAACGATGTCCTTTACATCCTAGTCTTTGGTGAATCTTTACTTAACGATGGAGTCACAGTTGTAAGTTTCAATCAAATTAAATCGATATTTTTATGCATCAATGAAAGTTGACCGGAAGTTGAAGAGGATCAGCAGAAAATAAATACAAATACTACAATTGTTGACCAGTAAAAATAATTGATAAACTTGACCATGAGGTTTAATGAAATCATGTTAAAATTGATGATCAATAAAACTTGATTATATATCTATTCAAATAGAGATAATCAAAAAGTCATGTCCAGTTTATCATAAGTCACGAAATTAATATTGTTCATCATTATCATAATTATTATCATGTTAATTATCATTTACGATGATTAATTCATTATCAAATCAATATCCATGTTTAGGATTCAGGTTAATATCATTTGAAAAGATTGACAACAACTAACAGCAATACAATGACAATCATAATTAAGAAAAAAGTTGACAAAAACCTCGACAATTAAAATCAATTGAAGTTTAAACTAATTAAAATATATATAAATAGTAACATAACCTGATTACCATATGATAATAATTACAATAATAAAGTAAATGATATCATTTCAATTTCTTGGTTAATATGATTTATGGATGAATAATGTTACCTATGTAATAAGATTCATATGAGAATAACGGTAAAGTTTATTAAATTTTTTTCTTCATTTTCTTTTCTCTCTCTCTCTCTCTCTTATTATATTAATATTTAAATTGTGTTCCCATGGAAACCCATGTTAATATCCCAATGGAAATATTATTTGGACGATAATATTTAAAACCATAGGTTCTTTATAAAATGTTTGAAGGTTACATTGAAATGGGAGCAAGTAATTTATTACCAATTGATTATATTAGTGGGATAACCTCATTTTTTGTCATCTCTTTGGGTGGAACCCTAATTGGTATATTCTGGGGAATCGCCGCTGCTTTTGTCTCAAGGTTCACCCACCATGTTAAAATAATCGAGCCAATATTTGTCTTCGTAATGTCCTATTTGGCCTACCTGACCGCTGAGATGTTTCATCTATCCGGTATCTTGGCGTAAGTGATTAGATTAACATTTACCTGTATTATTATCACCCGTTAATATGATTGATATAATATTAACTTTCTCTTTATTGTTTTCTATTCACTTCAATCGTCAATTAGATTAACCTTTTCAGGAATGACAATGAAAAATTATGTCAATGAAAACGTTAGTCAAACATCACAAACCACATTAAAATACGCGATGAAAATGCTGGCAAATGCTTCAGAATCCGTTATTTTTTTATTCCTTGGTGTTTGTACCGTAACTGATAGTCACAATTGGAATACCTGGTTTGTGGTAACCACAATTGTCACCTGTTTAATATTCAGAGCTTTAGGTGAGATTAACAATTAACTAATCTTATATAATAGTACCTCATGTACTCATTGCTTTGGCTTTTCCCTCAAGATTAATAGATAATCTCATCTCAGAATTTAATAATTAATTATTATCAAGCTTATTTTGTAACATTTACATGTTCAAATTATTCTGATTCAAACTGAGGATAATTGGCTAATCGGTATAACATTAATTAGCTCATTATCCAGATAATTAAGAAATTGATAATTAGATCATGAAATTGATGATAAGCCATAAGTGAAGTAATTATGTTTCTAATAGTCTTCAATTAGTATTCATGGTGAAATATATATATTAAGTGTTTCTAATAACAGGAAAATTTATTATCCATTAATTTTCATGATCAAATTTTCAAGGTAAAAGATTTTCAATAATCTGGAGATGTAATTTGACAAGGAAAATGTTATTTCCAATATGTAAACTCAATGTATTATTGTTTTTTTTCATTCTATTAATTTAATGATTTCTCTTGATTTTTTCTTCATTCTTTCAGGGGTAATATTTTTTACTAGTATTGCAAATAGATTTCGACTCCATAAATTAAGTGGAATGGAGCAATTTATCATGTCCTATGGAGGATTAAGAGGGGCAGTTGCATTTGCATTGGTTTTGTTAATCAATGAGAAATTAGTTCCTACCAAACGAATGATGGTCACCACTGTAATTGCTCTCGTCTATTTTACTGTCTTCTTACAGGGTAACTTTTATTTTCTAATCATTAAAATTGCTTGAAATTGAGTCAAAACAGTTGATGGATTATTGGATCATTTAAATTGAAGGGATAATCAAATGATTCGCTCGATTCTGATCAGTAATCTATCCACTTGATTAACTGTATCAATAGGATTAAGTTGATTACAACCAATTGTCTCAGAAATTCATTTGATGGTTATAGCCACTAAATTGTTTTTAATTTAGAAGAAAAATTTAAAAGATGAATTTAACAATGTGTTAATAACAATTAATTGATTTTCCTTCAAGGTATGACCATGGGTCCGTTGGTTAAAATATTGAAAGTGCCAAGAAGTAACAAATATGAGAAAACAATGAACGAGAGGATCCATTGTCGGGTAATAACTGAATCAATTTGCTAATTAAGACAATCAACTAATGAAAATTTGTCCGTTTTGCCAACAGTTAATGGATCACCTAATGGCTGGAATTGAGGATATTTCTGGTATGATGGTTGGTAATTATAAAATTAGAGACAAGTGAGTATTCAAATGATTAAAGGTCTCCAATCAAATTGAATTTTAATTGTTGTTAATTGTGTTTAGATTTCGAAATTTTGACAATCGTTACCTGAAACATTGGCTTCTTCGTGAGTCCCATGAACGTTCAGCTTCATCTCGAAAAATATTTGAAACAATCTCTCGATTAAATATGCAAGATGCAATTAACATGGTCAAGGATTCGAGTGTCCCTTCATTGTATCATCAAAATAATAATAACAATTTACCAACAACTAAATCATTATCATCACTGTTTCGTTCCTACACTCAGGCCAATCTTTCATCACCGACAAATGAACAAACTGATTCAGGTGAAATTAAATCAACTTATTTTACTAATCTTCCAATGGATCATAGTGATTCAATTCATTTTAATTTCGATGTTGGTAACATTGAATATAACCCATCGAAACGTGATCTTGTTGATTTTGAAATTCATCACGTCCTCTCAGATAATATGTTCAAACCAATTAAGCGAGTAAGTAATTTACATCGTATCAATGAGTTAACCATATTAATTTGTATCTATTTTATTCAATCCATTTTTCCAGTATCGTAAATACAGTAAAACCGATTTAGCCGATGTCTCTCCTCAAACTAATTTCCAACATCAAGCTAAATTAGAGGTTCAACATTTAGTTAATCAAACTCGACATCGACGTCGAGGTAAAAAAAAGAGCTCCAATAATGGTGCGAATATGAGTTCCAATAAGAGTCAATTGAGGCCAGTTAATCATCGACCGAATCAATTGCCTGTCCAGTCGAGATTCGGTAAGTTTATTAACTAATAAATTGTCTTTTGTGATCAAGTTAAACTCTAATTGTTGTGGTTAAATTTATTTGTTCTTAGTGAGAGCTTCAAGTTTCCCCTCAATGTACAATAGTCCAGAAGATGATGGAATCATTTTTGTTGCTCGATCAAATGTTCAAGGTGAAGATCGAATTGAAATTACAACATCGTCGGCACTTGAAACACCGACTACAACAACAGAAGCGACTTTACCATGGAGGAGGAAAAGCACCATCGATCCATTGGCTACAGTTAATGCATCAGGTTCGAGTTCATCGAATTCGGGTCCATTGAAACAATCAGAATTTCCTTCATGGATTGAGAATAAAGATTATATTTCCAATTATTCTTCTCCGAGTAATACAATTTTAAGAAGAATCGACAATCCAAAATATTGTGAAAAAAGGCCAACAGTTTACGAGATATTTACGATCACTGAGAATTTGGAAGATCATTCGAATGCAAGAGATGAAGTTGACAATCGATCAAATTCAAATGATAATATGAACATTTCTCCCCATCAAAACGACCATTTACCACATTCGTCGATATCTTCACCTTCATCGCCAATCTATTCACCCAACAATCAATCAACTACAACGATAACCACAATTACAGCTTCATCTCCACCTAATGTAGTTAATGCTCGGATTAATATGGGATTTCTTGATGATGACAATCAGAATACTTATCAACTATAAAGTTCCCTTGATTGTCCTGAAGACAATTTTCTGTTTTTTTCTCACTCTTAATACTATTTCAACTCTCATTACAAAAATTGCCTTAAAATTGTTATTTATCTTTATTATCAAGCCAATTACGACTTCGAGAGTGAAATTAAAATTGAAATAAATCATTAAATCAAGAATCGAAACCATCCATCTCTTTTTTCATTTACTATATATAAACAAGTAATTGCTTCTTTTATTCGTATTCAATATCTGAGAAAAATTAAACCAAATTATTTGGATAAAAATATTTTTTCGTTTTTCAATAATTAGAATTGAACTTTTTTCGTTCATTTTTGAATTGAGCGGTCAAACGGTTTCCATGGAAACGGAAAATGAACCAGAAAATTTCATTTGTTTTGATTTTCTGGTTAAGCGGGAAACAGATTTTTTGTTTCCTTTGTTTTCAATTACGTGAACATTTAAAGGTTGATTTTTAATTGTTATTCATTTATTGTTGATTACTTGCATTTACACTTTTGTTTAACTGGGAATTCAGATAAATTGTAAGTATTTCTATCTTGATTGTTATTGATACTTTGATTTACTATTATAAGATTAAGGCTTTTTTTACTTGTTGCTTTTGGATTTTAACTCTTGTTTTTTTTTATTGAAAATTAATGTCTCTTGGTATTTCATTTTTCTTGATTTAACGTGTATGATTATTTAGGATTTACATCAACATGGATGATGATTTAATTTGGGACGAAGAAATTGCTGAAGAAATTGAAGAAGATTCTCCAATTGATGTCGGTCCAGAAGCTTTGATTGAAGTGGAAGAAGACGCTTCTCATGTGAAATGGTCTCGTAATGATGCACCTTCACTCGATTCGTCAACTACTCCACTAATTTTCCAACAAATTGAAATAGATCATTACATTGGGGATCATAAAGAAGGTATGCCGGGTGTTGTTAACTCTGTCGGGCCCATAATGCGTGTTTATGGTATTACAATGGAAGGTTATTCGGTTATGGCTCATGTTCATGGGTTTACTCCTTACTTTTACATCGTGGCTCCTCCAGGATTTAAAGAGGAACAATTACCCAACATGCAAAAGAAATTAAAGACCTTAGCTCTTACCGATAAAAGAAATGACGCTATTAATGAGCCTATTCTACAATTGGAGCTTGTAAATAAAGCGAACATGTATGGTTATGGTAACAATGAGAAGATTCCATTCATCAAAATCACTGTTGCTGTTCCATCTCTTGTTGGTTCTGTTTCTCGAATTTTAGAAAGATCTGGAGGAATGTTCGGATTTCCAGCAGATATCCAGTGTTTCGAGAGTAACATTGACTTTGACATTCGTTTCATGGTTGATACCAAAGTTGTCGGCTGTAATTGGATTGAACTTCCAGTTGGTAAATATAAGGTTCGAGCTGATAAGTTGACAAAGCTTTCTCGTTGTCAATACGAGGTTGACATTGCTTGGAATGATTTTATTTCTTATGCACCCGAAGATGAATGGTCGAAAGTTGCTCCATTTAGAATCTTGTCTTTCGACATTGAATGTGCCGGTCGAAAAGGAATTTTCCCTGAACCAGAAAAAGATCCAGTCATCCAAATAGCGAACATGGTTATTCGTCAAGGTGAAAAGGAACCTTTTCTTCGAGTCATTTTTACTCTTGGCACTTGTGCTCCAATTGTGGGAACTGTTGTCATGTCTTACAAGAAGGAAGAAGATCTTTTAAAAGCTTGGGCTGAGTTTGTTCGAACTGTTGATCCCGATATTCTAACTGGTTACAATATTCAGAATTTCGATCTTTACTATTTAATCAACAGAGCTGCAACATTGAAAGTTAAAACATTCCCCTACCTTGGTCGCGTTAAAACATCAGTTTCTCGAGTAAAGAAAAAGATTCTACAATCAAAGCAGCTCGGAAAACGAGAAAATAAAGATATAAACATCGAGGGTCGAGTTCAATTTGATTTGTTGTTGGTTCTTCTGAGAGAATACAAACTGAGATCTTATACTTTGAACGCTGTTTCTTATCATTTTCTTACTGAACAAAAGGAAGATGTTCATCATTCCATAATTACTGATCTTCAAAATGGCGACGAATTGACTCGTCGTCGATTAGCAGTTTACTGTTGCAAAGATGCGCTTCTACCTTTACGTCTTCTCGAAAAACTCATGTGTATCATCAATCACATGGAAATGGCTCGTGTAACGGGTGTTCCTTTGAGTTTTCTTCTAGTTAGAGGACAACAGATTAAAGTAGTGTCTCAGCTTCTTCGACAAGCAGCCGATGAAGATCTTCTAATGCCCGCTATGAAACCAGAACAAGGAGATGATTTCGCTGGTGCTTTAGTCATTGAACCAATTCGAGGTTATTACGATGTTCCGATCGCAACTCTTGACTTTTCTTCCCTGTATCCTTCTATTATGATGGCTCACAATTTATGTTATACTTCACTACTTCGACCTTCACAATTGGCTAAGATGAATCCTGATGAGTACATAAAAACACCCGCAGGCGCTTATTTCGTCAAAAGTAAAGTTCGAAAGGGATTGTTACCTAGAATTTTGGAGCAACTATTAGGTGCTCGTGCTAAAGCAAAAGCTGATTTGAAGAAAGAAACTGATCCATTTAAGAAAAAAGTTCTCGATGGTCGTCAATTAGCTCTAAAGATTAGTGCCAATTCTGTCTACGGTTTCACCGGAGCTCAAGTCGGTAAATTGCCTTGTCTCGAGATCTCTCAATCCGTTACAGCTTTTGGTCGACAAATGATTGACCAAACCAAGAACATTGTCGAAAAACAATTCAATTTAGCTAATGGTTATGTCGCTGATTCTTTGGTTATTTATGGTGATACTGATTCAGTTATGGTGAAATTCGGAGTGTCAACAGTCGCAGAAGCCATGAAACTTGGTAAAGAAGCGGCTGATTTTGTGAGCGAACAATTTATCAAACCAATTAAACTAGAATTCGAAAAAGTTTATTATCCTTACCTGTTAATCAACAAGAAACGATATGCTGGCCTTTATTACACTCGACCAGATAAATTTGACAAAATGGATTGTAAAGGAATTGAAACAGTTCGTCGAGATAATTGTCGATTAGTGGCCAGTTTGATCAATACAAGTCTTCAGAAATTATTGATTGATCGTGATCCCGATGGAGCTGTTGCTTATGCTCAACAAGTAATTTCCGATCTTCTTTGTAATAAAGTGGACATTTCGAATCTTGTGATTACCAAAGAATTGACCAAAACAGATAAAGAATATGCCGCAAAACAAGCACATGTTGAATTAGCACATCGAATGGCCAAACGTGACGCTGGATCGGCGCCCAAATTGGGAGATCGTGTCCCTTATGTGATAATCAATGCTCCAAAAGGAACCGCTGCCTACATGAAATCGGAAGATCCTTTGTACGTGTTGGAGAACAACATTCCAATCGATACTCAATATTATCTGGACAATCAAATATCGAAACCATTGCTCAGAATTTTCGAGCCGATTCTTGGAGAAAAAGCAGAATCTGTCCTTCTCAAAGGAGATCACACTCGAACCAAGATCGTGGTCACTTCTAAAGTAGGAGCTCTTGCGATGTTCACTCAAAAGAGAAACAATTGTCTCGGATGTCGAACAATGTTGAGAGCAGAAGATGAGAAAGAATCACTTGTCGTGTGTAAACATTGTCGAGATCGAGAAGGCGAATTGTTCCAAGGAGAAATAATTAAAATGAATCAATTGGAAATAAAGTTCAATAAACTGTGGACTCAATGCCAGCGATGCCAAGGAAGCCTTTTAGAAGAGGTCATTTGCACGGCGAATGATTGTCCGATTTTCTATATGAGGAAAAAAATCCAAAAGGAAGCGACCGATCAGGATAAGATTATCCAAAGATTTGGTTACTATCAGTGGTAATTGTTGATCTACAATCTTAAGATTATATTTTATTAATCATCTCTCTTAATGGTCAAGCTTGACCCTTTGTAAACTATTTTATTCTCGTGTTTTCTCAATAAACGAGCTTCAACTTAGACCATTTTCCTTTGTTCTCTTCGCGCTTTAACCTCATCTGAAGTAAATTATTATCCGCTCTATAGTAATTCTGATTAACAACTAATAAGGATTATTCAAGTTGATATAAATGTAGTTTCTTTCATTTAGCCGATGGAATTCAAACAAAAATCAAATTTGGAAACTTGATTAATATTTAACTGAGATGTTACAGTGAGGGTGGAGAATCGGTTACGAAGCTGAGATCAATTTGATCTGATTGAAAAATTTAAACAAGAGTGTACCGATTGATTTTAAAGAGATTTGTTAACAATCAAATTTACTGTTGGATTAATTAATTTATTATTAAGACGAAGAGAGATAAAATTATTCACAATGAGTCAAAAGCTTTGGATATAAAAAACTCTTTTTCACATATAAGTATTGGCCCTGAAAAGGGCCGTTTTTTGGTTATATGAATTTTAGGGGTTACATGGGAGATGATGATGATGATGATGGATGAGTTTATTTAGATGAAGTGTATTTGGTGACAGCTTTGGTTCCTTCTGAAACGGCGTGTTTAGCCAATTCACCAGGAAGGAGAAGACGAACAGCAGTTTGAATCTCCCTTGATGTGATGGTTGATCGCTTGTTGTAGTGAGCAAGTCGACTGGCCTCAGCAGCAATTCTCTCGAAAATATCATTAACAAATGAATTCATGATTGACATGGCTTTCGATGAGATTCCAGTGTCAGGATGAACTTGTTTCAACACTTTGTAGATGTAGATGGAGAAAGATTCCTTCCTACGCTTCTTCTTCTTTTTCTTGTCGGTAGCTCGAACAGCTTTTTGGGCCTTACCGGCTTTTTTCACAGCTTTACCTGATGGTTGAGGAGGCATAATTATTGATTAGGAAAAGAAATTGATTTAAAATAAACTAAAGAAATTATCGAGAAATGAAACAATTACAAAGAATTGATAATCAAACAAACTTGAGAAGATGTCAAATGAAAAACTTGTCTTTAGTTTTATACTAATTCACCAAGTGTTTAACTCACCACTAACTCAACGAGGACTCACACGCATTCTCATTGGCTCATTTGATAGAAACTCTTTTCTTATTGGTTAGTGAGTTAAACACTTTACACTGTTAGTATATAAAGAAAATTGTTTTGTGTTGATTGTCTCATTTTCAGCTGTTTGAAATTTTGTTTCATTTCTTTTTTGACAATCAAATTTATTTTGTGTTTTCTTTTCTATTTTCTAATTTAAATCAACTTAATCAACTAATAATCTAAAATGTCTGGACGAGGTAAAGGAGGAAAAGTTAAATCAAAGGCAAAGTCTCGATCATCTCGAGCTGGTCTTCAATTCCCAGTTGGTCGAATTCATCGACTTCTCCGAAAGGGAAATTATGCTGAACGAGTTGGTGCTGGTGCTCCAGTCTATTTGGCTGCTGTTCTTGAATACTTGGGTGCTGAAGTATTGGAATTGGCTGGTAATGCTGCCAGAGATAACAAGAAAACTCGTATCATCCCTCGTCATCTTCAACTTGCCATCAGAAATGACGAAGAATTGAACAAACTTCTTGCTGGTGTGACCATTGCTCAAGGTGGTGTCTTGCCAAACATTCAAGCTGTTCTCTTACCAAAGAAGAGTGACAAGAAAGCTTAAATTAATATTCATTCATTCATCTTTCTTCATCTTCTCAGCTCTTCTCATCTATTTTCATCTCCCTCATCCCTTTCCTTTTTCATCATCATCATTATGTTTATCACATAACCAAAAAACGGCCCTTTTCAGGGCCAATTACATTTATGTGTAAAAAGAGTTTTTATCCTTATGCTTATATTGTTTCAGAATGTAAACAATTTGATAATCATCTTAATATTTTGTTTAATTGTAGTCAAAATAAAATACAAACTTAATCTTAATATTTACAACTGAATTGTTATTGTTTAAAACCAATTACTTTATAGTCTAATGATTCAAAATCAAACTGAATTCAAGCCATGAGTTAATCTACCGAAAATTTCATCTTTGTCCTGATCGATTGTGAGTTCATAAGCTCCGTTAGACATTAAACTGTTTAATCTCGAAAGAAACAATTTGGACAATGTTATTGGTCAATTGATTTAAGTAGAAAGAAAAAAATTAAAAAGATTAACAATAAAAGAAAAGATCAACTTGAGTTTGTTTGGTCAACCAAATTTCCAAAATAAGCGGTGATTGTTTTGGGTTTGTTGTTAATTAGATTTTGTTCAATTTCCACTGATTCATTTGGTTGAAGCAGAGAATTAATTTCATCTCTGTCAATGTTTCTCGGCAATAGAAATGCGATATTACATGAAACATGTTCTTTTGCTGCTGCGAATATTTCAAATCCATTTGGTCTCATATTGGACAAGGAATAAACTTTTTGAGACAAGTAGTTTGGTCCACCCCAAGGGGGAGACAAGAAAATACAATCAACAGGTAATTTAATGGTGGACAATATTTGGAAATAATCGCCGACGAGAAAAGCAATTTGATTGTCCACACCATAGATACACGAATTGTGTTTGGCCATTCGCACTTTGTTTCCATCGATATCACTTGCGATCACAAAGACATTTGGTGATTTCAAAGCGAATTGAATGACATTCCCTCCCACTCCACAAAAAGGATCCATGATAATGACCATTGACTTTTCTCCATCTCTCACACATTTACATGCGATGTGATTCCCGATCAATTCAGGAGTCACCGAATACCAAGATTCCGAGTCCATTTGGATTCCATCATCGAAACGAGAAAACAATCGATACCTTTGAGCCCAATACTTGCAGAGATTTTTATTGCTTTTCTTTTTCTTTTCTTTCTTTTGTCTCTTTGATTCTTCTTTTTTCTCTTCCTTCGATTTAAAGTCTCTCTTTGTAGTAGAAAAAGATGAAGGCAAACCCAAAGTCTCCATTAATTGTTTCTCCAAATCACTAATTTCGTCTCGAATTATTTCAATTTCATTCACTTCACATTCACTATTTGAAAGAGATTCGGACATTTGGTTTATCACATTGAGATAAATTGTTTAAAAGATAAATTGATTAAAAGAACTATTTAGTAAAATAGGTTAATAAAAATAATAGAAAAAAAATAAACAAAGAAAAAAAGCAAAAAAGAAAAGTGAATCATATGTTTAGAGAGAAAACGAATTTCCCGCTTTTCATTTGTGTTGAGAAAAAGAGAAAAGAAAATAAACCAATGAGACGAAACTCTTACTCTACGAGGACTCATTTTGAGAGAAACTTTTCTGGTGTTGATATTTAAGGGAAAAAGAACATTTTTAACTTTATCATTTGGTTTTTGAATTTCTCTCTCTTGACATTCAAGTTTAATTACTAATTCTCTCTTTTCCCTTTTTTCTCCTTGTTAATCATCTCAACTCTTCTACTTTGTGAAAACAATGGCTCGTACTAAGCAAACTGCTCGTAAATCAACCGGAGGTAAAGCTCCACGAAAACAATTGGCTACAAAGGCTGCCCGTAAATCAGCCCCTGCCACCGGTGGTGTTAAGAAGCCCCACAGATATCGACCTGGAACAGTTGCTCTTCGAGAGATCCGTCGTTACCAAAAGTCAACTGAGCTTTTGATCCGAAAGTTACCTTTCCAACGATTGGTTCGTGAAATTGCTCAAGATTTCAAGACTGATCTTCGTTTCCAATCATCAGCAGTTATGGCTCTTCAAGAAGCTTCTGAAGCTTATTTGGTTGGTCTGTTTGAAGACACTAATCTTTGCGCTATTCATGCCAAGAGAGTCACTATTATGCCAAAGGACATCCAATTGGCCAGAAGAATCCGAGGAGAACGAGCTTAAGTGTCTTATTTTTCTCTTTTTCATGGATCTCTCCCTCATCATCCCTGTCCCATTCCCCATGTCCTCTCATCATCATCCTCATCATGAATCATCCCTCATAATCCCACCACCACCACCATCATCATCATAATCATACCAAAAAACGGCCCTTTTCAGGGCCAATTACTTAATTTCGAAAAAGAGTTTTTTATGCTTTTGTTTTTACCCTTTAATATTACTTGACATTGATTCTCATTGAAAAGTCGATTTATATTTTAATTAATGATTGAAATTCCTTGACAAAACCATTTATTTATATTAAACATAATTCAATCGACTCTAAATTGTTCAATTTCATACAATTTACTTGAATAGAAAGGTTAACATGTGAGTTGACATTTATTCTCCCGCCAATGGATTGAATTGAAATTCGGTAACTATAGAAACAGAAAAGCAGAAAATCTGGTTTGTTTTCTATTTTGAGGTTAGAAGAAGAGTAGAAGATGAAAAAAAAGAATTTGTCTCAATCAAAGTTCGTTGACGTGTTGATGTTTTAATTGATCGAAATGATTATGGTCTCTTTATGCTCCAAGAAATTGTTTCTTCTTTCATCTCGTTCAATATTGTCGAGAATCTGTAGTCCCTCTTGTTCATCTTCATCTTGTTTCTCTTCTCTGGTGAGAGAAAAGGAAAAAGAAAAAGAAATTGTGTCTCCTTTGAAATTGGTGGAAAATGATCTTCGTAATTTGTATTCGGACATTCGGAAGGAATTGTGGACCGAGAAACCGGAACTGGAAGAAATCGCTTGTTATTATTTCGATGGTGAAGGGAAAGCGTTTCGACCCATGATCGTGGTGTTGGTGGCTCGAGCTCTCAACTACCATGTCTCTGGAAGATCAGATTTATTGGAATGTCAGAAAAACGTTGCAATGGCCACCGAAATGATTCACACCGCATCTTTGGTCCATGATGATGTGATCGACACAGCCGATGTCCGTCGGCAAAGCTTCAGTGAATGTTTTATGGGGCCAAAAGAAGGCCATTCTCGCTGGTGATTACATTTTGTCTCGATCATCTCAGATGTTGGCTCGTCTTCGCAATGAGCAAGTGATCTTTGTCCTTTCTCAAGTGCTGCTTGACCTGGTTCAAGGTGAATTCATGCAAATGGGATCAAAAGGAAAAGAAGACGATTCTCGAGAGAGATTCAGTGACTACATTCACAAGAGCTTCAAAAAAACAGCTTCGCTGATTGCGTACACTTGTAAAGCTGTTGCGCTGCTTTCGGGGGCAGACACGCGTTGCCAAGAAGCCGCTTTTCAGTATGGCCGAAACTTGGGAATAGCTTTTCAATTGGTGGACGATCTTTTGGATTTTGTTTCCAGTCAATCGGAACTCGGGAAACCAGCGGCAGCCGATCTGAGGCTGGGCCTCGCCACGGCTCCAGTTTTGTTTGCGAGTGAAAAGTTTCCCCAATTGAATGTGATGATAGAACGACGATTCTGTGAACCCAATGATGTCCAGGCCGCTTATGCCTTTGTCATGGAATCCGATGGACTACAATCAACCAGAATTCTGGCCAAACAACATGCAGACGAAGCTCTAAGATACATTGATCCATTTATCGATTGCCCGGAGAAAAGGGCGCTAATTGAACTCGCGAAAATGACACTTGAGAGGAAAAAATAATCTAATCAAATCATCGAAATGAAAACTGTGCCAAAAAAGATCCCGTTTTTTATCACCTAAATCTCCTGATTAACTGATTAATCGTTAAGTTCACATGAACACCACCAATGAAAATCTTTCGAAATCAAATTATTTTTCTAATCTACAAGTTAATCTCATTGTTTCTAATAGAAATTGCGAAACTTTTCAATTGTTATCAATCAGAAAACTAATCAACGATTGATCATTTTGTTTACATCTTTATAAACTAAATCCCGAATCCTTTTCTATTACCCTCATCCAAACTGGTTGCAATTAATTGTGATTCCAACAGTTAATGTTATTTTCATTGATTATTAAGATCTGATCAGGTCAAGGGCACTTATTTGATTAATAGTTACAAATGAGTTCACTTGAAATACTGGTTTCTAAATACAAGTTACCAATTTAAATTTAATAATAAGATGATCAATAAATAGTTTTATCCATTTTCATTAACTTAATCATTTGAATGAAAATATGATAATTTCAACGGTAATTAAGACATTTGATTCAGTTAAAGTAAATGACTAAAAGTTAATTATAAAAAAAGCCAATTTGGCTTCATCTTGATCATGTCTATTCAATGGCTTGTTAGTTAATTGTTGTTAATGAAACTCGAACAATCAAATTTTTATCAAGCGTCAAGGTAAAATTGATCATTTCAAGTATCAATCTAATCTCCCATGTAAAGTATTGAAAGAATTTAATAAATCAATTATTATCTATGAAATTGAATTGTTTTTGAAACGAAAATCAGTCAATCCAAAAGGGAAATTAAATCAATTTGGTAACATCAAGGGGCTTTTCCATTAATCGATAAACCGATTTAAACTTGGTTAATGTTGGTAAAATTCTGATTGTGAACAATTACCGAGTTTAATCATTTCAATTAACTTTTCTGTGGCTTCCAAAGTCATTTTCAAATAACTAACTAATAATCTAATCAGAGTGATGATCAGATAATCTCATTTAAAATATTGACCATAATCACCAATGATCATTAATCCTCTTGGTGTAACAAAATTAGTTGATGAAAAGCCTTAATTAGCGTAAATAATTACTTAGAATGGTAAAAATAAATTGTTTTTCTTGCAATAAAGTATTAATAATATCATCAGTGTTTTTTGGTCTTAATTTTTGATACAAAGATGGATTGCTTTTGATATGAGAAATAATCAAATTTAATTAGATATTTGGATTCTATCAAATTAATTGGATTTGATCAATTGCCCAGTTGTGAATCGATTGATAATCAAAGTAAAACAATTGTTTGATTGTTTTACTTGATTGAGATATTTAATTTCTTGGAAAATTAGCTGAACAATAGAGCGATTAAATCATGTAAAGGAGCTAATACCGGGTGATTACAAATGAGTGAACATTACGAGAATGTCGTTCAATAGAAAAAAAAACTCCAACGACTTGAAAAGTGCCGTGGTTCAAATATACTGATTGTTACAAAATTTTCGAAGCTCATTTTCATGGTCAAATCAGTATTTATGTCCGAAATCGCGATTCTGTACAACTCATAACGGAAAAATCTGAGAACTTTCGTGAATTTTTACTATCTTATGAATAAATTTATCAATGAATAATCTTAATTATGACCATGATAAGCTCAGTTATATTAGATAATAGGCCGAAATGACTAACACTGGAATGGAGACTTGTCCTGAATCACTCATTCAGTTTTGCAGGCCACTTCTCGCAAATCCCTTAGCCTAGAAAAAAGAGTCGAGTGTTTTGGGCTCAGCATGGAAATAACTTTCTTAAAATTGATGAAAACATCAAAAGTTCATGAGAATTTATGTCATTTTCTGTCACCCGATATTTTCTATGCAGAGATGAGCTTATCAAGTGTAATCAAGTCGTTCTCTAAACGTGACAATTAGAGTTGTTTACAATACCTGATGCATTAATATTATGATAAAACAATGCCAATTAAACTAGTTCATCTCTGTTCAGAATTGAGATGGAAACAATTATTAGATTAATAGATTAAGTTTGATGAAATTTTCGCAAAATTAATTGTACGAATTTATAAGTATATTTGCTTTTTAATTGTTAAAATTTAGTCATGATTATTGAAAAATAAGATTACAAGACGAAGAGTGTAAATTACTGAGGGTGGGGAATCGAGTCTAAGCACGGAAAGAATTGAGTGAGCGAGGGCAAGAGAGAGAGAGAGAGTGAGTGAGTGAGTGAGAAAATAATCATAGGTGATAGAAAGCTAATTAAATTGCAATTATAGTTTTAATTAATCAGATGATAATATTTTCTTTTTCTCATTTAATCTCGTTATCCGATATTATCGTTGATCTATTTGTATATAAAAGTCGAAAAATTTAATTGTTATTCGTTATTCACCTTTGAGAACGTTTGAATTTCACATTAATCAAGTTCCATTCAGATTAATCATCAATCGAAAAGTTGATTAGTTAATTTATTTAGTTTATTTTATTCCTATTTTCTATTTTACGTATTCCAAAATGTTTCCAGTCACTTTACCAGAATTTATTGAACTTTTTTCAAATCCATCAGTGTTTTTCATCGGGTTCATCATCTCTTGTATCATGTAAGTGATAAATTATGTTTTCTCTTACAATTACTCAACAATTTCTCATTCACAATTAGTTATAATGGTTGGAAGACAAGCTATTGGTATCGCAACGGTATTCCAGGGCCGAAGCCCCTTCCTTTAGTTGGTAATGTTCTAGACATTATGTTCAAATCAAGTTTCGAGAATGAATTAGATTATGTTAAACGTTATGGTAAAATCGTTGGGTAAGTTATTTAAATGTATCTTCTAATTAGATTGGGTATACATCAAGTACTATTAATACCTAAGTTGGACTTAATTTATTCAATTATCAGTGTCATGATGAACTGCCATAGAAAATAAGACCGAATTAGATTTTGAACATTCGTCTCTTTGGAAACAAAAAATTAAATCCTAATCCCGTTTACTTTTTCAATTCGTTTGCAAAGTTAATATTTTACCGTTAGAAAGTTAATTTTACCAGAAAACTTTCCTTGGAATTTTAAAAATTGAGATGATCAAGTTAATTTTCTCAATTTTTTCTGCAATTACCTCATGCAAATGAAATATTTCACATATTTCACATATCAATCACTGAAAAGGTAGTTTCCTTATCGACAATCAGCCAATCCCTTAAACAATCAAATTTTTTAAAAATGATTAAATAATTAGATGAGACACGAATCTATTAATAGACAAGTTTGAATGCACTTAGAATCATTATCAATTATAATCGAGCTACAATTAAAATATTACCAAAATCTTATATTTCTTGTATTTGTATTGATATTTGCCAACCTATTGATAAACATTAAAAAACATTTCCAAAAAAGTATCAACAATTAACAGTTACATTCAGTTGGATTAATCTATATATTTAATATCTTTATGAGTATTGTTTACAATTAAGTAAACAATTAATTGAAACGTTCAACTTTATGTTTCCTGCAAACAATTTCAGTTCAGTTCATAGTTTCAGACTAATATTATTGAACTTAATTAGAGGAAATCTGATTAGCATTATTGTTATAGTTGATAAGAACAATTTGAGATAAAGGTTTTCTATAGTTGGACAATTGTAGTGATTCTATTTGCAAAGACTTGAGGAAACTTATGATAAATAGAAACAAGAAACGTAATTGATTAGGGACTTTTTTTACTGTTATGTCCAAAGGTTATTCCTCGTGTTATCTAATGATCGCACCTAAAATGAGGGTAACTTATTTAATTGTTCTGGCATCGATTAGATGAAACTTGTAATTTGCCACAATTTCATGTAACCTGTAATCGAAAGATTGTCATGATTATTGACTTATTAGGGACTTTTTTCTCTAGAACTTCATATTCTGAGCATAGAGTTTTGGAATTTGAAAGTTTTAAACTTCTCTCGAAAATTATATCCAATGGAAAGACATGAAAACAGTCCTAACATGTAGTGGAACAAAGTTTAAGAAAAAGTTCGATCACAGGTTATCGAAGTTAAGTTAGGATTTTTCGTGTTTTAGAAAAGTTCTCATCTTTAGTTATTATCGATGGTAAGTTTCGATTAGAATAAAAGTTTTACAACACTTGAATAAAGGTCGAACACGATTCGTAAAGTTTCAATGGTCAATGAGAATTAGTAACTGTTACTTTGAGCTTTATATTGATAGTTAAATCGGGATTAAATGGTCAGTGAAAAGTTATCATTGATTGATGAATAATTAATTTGTCTAACATTAATGATTGGTTAAAGTAAAATATGATCAAATTTACCGTTATTTTTATTCACAGAGTTTATCATGGAACACAGCCTAATTTATTGATTGCTGATCCAGAGTTGATTAAGCAAATAACTGTCAAGGAATTTAGCTCATTCCCAGAGAGCTTCAGTTTCACTTATAAAACTCCGGTTGAAGAAAAGTTCCTTAGTAATCTTTATGGAGATGAATGGAAAAGAGTTCGATCCTTATTAACACCAACGTTTACCACTGGGAAATTGAAAAAAGTTTTCGAACTGATCGCAAATTGTACAAGAGAATGTATTGATAATCTCGACAATAATTCGAAAATTTCTAATAGCAAGACTTCAATTATCGATTTGAAACATTTTTGGGGTCGATATAATATGGATGTTACCGCTCGATGTTTTTTCGCTTTGGATCTTAAAGTTTACTCCGATAATCCAGTTGCTCTTACGGCTCAGGCAAAGTTTCACAAATTATTTTCCAGCAACAAGTTCACCGCATTGATTAACATGATCGCCCCCGAATGGTTTGTCAAATTAACGCGATCAGGATTCTTCTCAGTTGAAGGATTAACCTATCTTTCTGAACTTACTCAGGCGATTATCTCTGTTCGTAAATCTAAGTCAATTGGACCGAATGGAACTGAACAAAAGTTCAACGATTTCCTACAATTATTAGTTGAAGCTGAAGAAGAGAACGAGGAAAAAGTTAAACTGGAAGAAGATGAAGATATCGCTAGAAGTGATAATAATAATATTGAAAGAAAACGATTAACAATCGATGAGATTGTTTCGTCCGCTGTTATTTTTCTGATTGCAGGATATGAAACAACTTCGACCTTGTTGACTTGGACTACATATGAACTCGCCCGATATCCAGAGGTACAAGAAAAGTTGTATGAGGAAATAGATTCACTTGATGAGATCAATTATGAAACGATAAACAAATGCGTTTATCTTGAGGCGGTGATCAATGAATCCCTGCGATTACACCCACCGGTCATTCAGTTACCTCGAAAATGTCATTCTGATTATATTATACCTGGAACTGATGGTGCGATCCTACCCAAAGGATCTAGAGCATTTATCTCAATCTATGCCATTCATCATAACCCTGAAAATTATCCCGAACCTCATATATTCAAACCTGAAAGATTTTTACACGAAAATCGTGATTCAATCAAACCCTTTACCTTTTTACCTTTCGGTGCAGGTCCACGTCTCTGTATTGGAATGAGATTTGCCTTAATCAACGCTAAATTAGCACTGGTGATGTTTCTCAAGAATCACAAACTAATTAACAATCAATTTACCACTAAAAAAATCGATTACACTTTCCATACTGGAGTCTTGACAGCGAAAACAATTAATGTTGGAATTGAAAGAAGACTCAATTCAACGTGAAATTTGATCTTTTTTACTCCATTTTTCTTAAATCCATGATCACAATTAATTGTTAACAAGTCAATTTACTCAATTGTTATTGTATTTTCAATTCTAATTTAATTAATAAACATTTATACTTCATCAACAGATTAATTTCATGTAGCATTTGATGTTGCCATCTACCGACTAGTTTAAACACTTTCTGATTAATTTGATCTAAAATTGTTAATAAAATCAACAATTTAATCATGAATTTGATATAAAATTGACTTGATTACTTTAAATTTAATCAAATTTGATTGATGATTAAAACTTTCAGGCAGAAGTTGAACAATTTAATGTTGGTTAATGTTCAATATTGATTGTCAATTAAATTGTGATTTAATAATGATTTTAGTACCAGGAGAAAGATATTGTGTAATTGAATTTGATTTAGTTTAAATTTCATAAGCAATTTAGTTAATCAATGAAATTAAATGGTATCAAAGGGTATGAAACAATTAGCAAATAATGAACAAACAATGTTGATGTTAATGTTGATTGTAAGAGTTAGAAAAACAAATTGTGAAACTGAAAGTAAATCAAAAGGGAAACAACAGTTTATCAAATCAAATTTACTATAATTTAACAATCAACTGATCAAGTTAATTAAGGTGATTTAACCAAAAAAAAAGGGTCAATGATAGTTTATCAAATTAATGGGAGCATAAAAGTGACAGTTGATGACAAAAAGTTATTCAAGCGAATTGGATTAATAATAAGAAAATGATTAACTGACAACAATCGGGAAAAAAGTATCACTTTGATTGTTGACAAAAAGAGGAAAGGAGAACAGAATTAAGTTAATTGTGAAAGGCGAAAAAAGTTAAAGGTAACGACAATCAAGTAAACTACAAACAATTAAGAGTAAAGTGAAGTAGATATGAAATAGTTTGTTAATTTGAATTAACTTGTTACCATCATCTGTTTAGGATTACAATTAGTTTTGATCATCTTGGTGAATCAACTAAATTATTAATCAAATCACAATTATTATTACAATTGTTCATCAATAGTCCATTTGAGTTAACTAATTATGGGACGATTTGAGTTGACAATTAAATCAATGGATTTACTGAGATTACCTGTGATTGCGTTTGGATTAATCTTGATTTTACATCCACAGGATTTACAATTAGTTAATTGTGATCATAAGCCAATTGGTACCAATGGAAGTGAACCAGTGTTCTCACTCGTTGAGACAATTAATAAATTGTCACTTTCATTTCTACCAGAGAAAATTTTATCCACTGAAAATGTGATCTTTTCACCGTTAAGTATCATCATGGGTCTTGGTATGTTAGTTGAAGGTTCAACTGGACCAATTCAGGAACAATTAATTTCATTCTTGACTAATCAACAATTTAAGGATGATAATAAACTTGATCGATCACAATTATTGAAACAATTAAGGAGACAATTTAAAAATGTAAGTAGTCAACTATTTTTTTACCATAGTGATTGTAACTTTTTTATTATTATTTCAAGTGAAAACCTCCGATAATTGTTATGATTAACATTATCTCAATGACTTAATAACTAGTAATTAAATAATAACATCAAACAGTAACAAGTAGTAATCATGATGATTAACTAGTTCTGTTAATCAATAATAATCAATGACTATTGAAAACCATTGAAAAAAAGGGCCGATTGATTAATTGTAATGTTTTTCAATTAAAAACCATCACAATTAACAAGTTTATCCAATAATCTCTTGTTAATCAATTGAATCATTACTATTACTTTGATAATGTACAATAATTATAATCAATTTCCAATGATTAAGAATCAATCTAAAGACTAAAAGATGAAAACAATGAAAACAACAGATAAACAAATGAAAGGTGAACATTAAATTAATCAAATTGATTGAAAGGTTAATCAATTTACGAGAGGAATTAATTTTGTCCATTGAAATGGGTTAACCCAATTTAGATGTTAATCTTTCAATGATATTGATCCATATTGAAAGTGTTATTTCATTCACCATTTTCTCATCAACATGAATGGATCAATCAATGATTGACTTGATAATAATACCAAATGATAATAATGATTATATTTCTTGATTGTTGAGAGAGGGAGAGTTAATCATTGTAACATTACAAGAATATTAAGTTTACATAAGTCTCATCATGAGGTTACCATGGATTTCACTTTGGGTTGGACCTGAAAAACGAGATCATTATCTTCCTGGTAGATGAACATGATTATCTTTATGTTCAGACAATTTCATCAACTCTCAACAATCAGAGTGAAAATCTCATTGGGAATATGAAAATCGAAAATCATTTTCATGATAGAATATCATCTTTTTCATCTTCTTCCTCCCACTTTTTTACTCTACTCATTCATCTTCCTGGAGAGTTTAATCTCATTCTATCAATTTAAATTACTCCTAATTAACTTTAAATCATTTGGTTCAATCAACTGACGATTCATTGTTAATCATCAACCGATTGTAATCAATATTTTTTGAAAAACTTTCTTCTCAATGTTGAGACTGTTTGTTTTTTTTTCTCATTCTTTACTTGATCAATTTGTTGTATTTTGTATGTTCCAGTTAATTGTTGGGTGTCAATTACCTGAGTTTTCATCGTTAACTCTTGATTATTGTCAGTATATAATTTAGATTTTGAAAGTAGTTTATATTGTGTGTGTGTGTGTGAATATAACAATTACATTAAACTATAATTAAAGTTGACAAAAAGGTAAACATGAAGATGAAGGGAAATCTAAATGATTAATTACACCAAGATTTTCATGGTTTTTTTCATTGCTTCATAATCAACTGATTGTAATTTGAATTTTGTCAAAAGTTCATCATCATCACCACCATCATGATGTTTGGTGATTTATTTCATTGAGACTCTACTTTTTTTTTTACTTCTCAACTGTTAATTCATGTTGATTATCAGCTGATTGGGATTAACACTTTTCGAGCCAAAAATGATTAAGTTTTCAATGATGTTGATTAAACTTAAATTGAATAACAATCAAGTGAACTTTAAGTTTCTCTTGTTGATACAATTTCAAGTGATAATCATAAAGCTCAAATAGATACACGAATACACATGATAAAAGTTGATGACGATTTCAAGGGAGAGATTAAGATGATCGAAAAAGTGAAAGAATGATGATGATGAAGTTAAATTAAGATTTTCGAAGGGAATTAATTTACTTTTAGTTAACCTTGTCTTTTCCTCTTCTCTCCTTGGGATCAACCGTTGAGAATTTAGCAAATTGTTTACAATTAACTTGCGTACGCACTTTAAATTGTGATTATCAACAAACCAGAACCCAAATTAGATGCTTATAGTTAACGAGAAGATGATGATGATAATGACGATGAAATAAGATGAGAAAAGATAATAATCAAATTGACAGTTGCAAAGAAAAAGAAACCAAGATGATCAAGTTAATTCTTGTAAGGTTTTAATCATTTGATTATCTTCAACCAGAATTAATTGTTATCATATGTTTATCGGTAAACAATAACAGGTATTGACGAAAATGAGTTGATTGTACTAATCGTTGATTAGTTAATCACAATCAAATAGAGTCTCTAATAACTATCATCATCATCGTGATAATTTATTTTGCCAATTAATAGATGATTAAAATTGATTATCAATTAGCAAAGGTAACAATTAGTAGACTCGAGGAGATACATAATTGACATGAAAAGTTAATCTTACTTTTTTTTGATTGGATTAAATCAAATGACAATGAAAAGAATACAATTAAATCAATTGAATAATTAAACTAATTGTTAATCAATTTACATTTGATGGTATTTGTTATTGTTCAATAAGGTTTGATCTCGCTTTTTGTTTTCATTTAACTAATTAATTAAATTGTAATTTCGAGAGAGTTGATTGATCATTAAGATGATGATGATGATGATCAATAAATCAAATTAGATCAACAAACTGAAAACCTTTGTAAATAATTAATCAGGATGATAAGATGATTACTCAGGTAAAAAAAGGTGGAATAAATTAAGTTGATCAAAAATTAATGAACATTTAGTTTGACAACAATCAGAAATATTAATCATGATTAAATTTTGTTTTTCCATTCATTTATTACCAATGAGATATTTTTATCCAATTATAATACAATTTGTTTATAACAATTAAAAAATGATCAATCTATTTAGGGAGATTATGATTATTTCTGATTAGTTTAGGAAAATTAAATAACAAACATTTAATTTCTTACAATTAACAAATTATTTCATCTAAACTAAGGGATCAAATCATTAACCAAAAATTGGATCTACAAGTTTCCCTCAGGGTGATTAGTTTATATTGATGATAATTAACAATTTACTTTGTTTTTTTTGTTGATTTAATCAAATAGAAAAGAAAAAGAAATCAAATCAATCATTTAATTTGATTGCGATTGATCAAAGAGTAAGATAATTTATATTAATTACTCCTTGTAATTGTGATTCTGTTTATCAAAACAAAATTGATTTGCTGTTGCTGAATGATAATTAATTGTTTACTATAATTAAGTGAGGTCATTGATGTTAATTACTAAATTAAAAATTGGTTGATAATAATTATTATGGTTCCTATTGCTGATCATTATAACAATAAACATTTCTCATTTTAATTTACCTTTGGTACAAAGTTAATTGTTGATGATGACAATTAGTTGACTGATTATTTAGAAACAATTAAATTTGAATATTTTTTAATCTTATTAACTATTGTATTAAATTGATTGTATCCATTGATTTAAATCAATACAATCACATGAGGATGAAATCATAAGATAATAATTTCAACTCATGGTTAATGAGCTTATTTGAAATTAGATAATAATTATGATAATCATCATTAACTAATTGTTATCATCGATCCGCAGGTAATTGAACGAATCATAGACTAATTGTTATCTTTTCTTGTTCCTTTTTGTTTTTTTTTCTTCCATAATTAATTATTGTGTTGATGATCCAAATAATTGTGACCATTCAATTGTTATAGTTGATTGATAAGCCCCGAAGTTTAAATGACCCAATGGTTACCCAGGAAGATGGTGAATGGATTAATGAAATTGTTAATCTTGTCATGGTTACATCAGATTATCGGATTAAAGATGATTACAAGTCAACCCTTGAATCCTCATTTGATGGTTTGGTGGTTAATCGGGATTTTAAGTCTAGTAAAAGCAATTTGGTTGATGAAGTTAATCAATTGGTTGCCAATAAAACAAATAACATGATCAAAAAAGCTTTGGATGGTCCAATTGATCCGAATACAAAGTTACTCATATTAAATGCACTCTCATTTGAAGGAAATTGGGTTCATCCATTTCCAAAGTCACTTATCATTAGAAGGCCTTTCTTTGGAGTCGATATTGTATCTTCATCATCCTCATCATCGACAACAACTATGAAACCAACGTTTCTCTCATCAACTATCTTAAAAGCAAATTTATCGTCAACATCATCATTATCCTTGATTGGATCAAGTGTTAAAAATGTGACATCAGATCGGGTTCCTTTCATGACAACATCATTGAGAACCAATTTTGCTGAAATCAATGAGAAAGACATGAAAATAATTCAACTTGATTATTTTGGTAATGCATCAATGTTCATCTTGTTACCGAATCAAAGGGACTCATTGCGACATTTGGTTAGAAATTTAACTGTACAAGAAATTGATTCCTACATTGGCGGTAGATTGACACAAAGTGACATTGACATTGAGATACCGAAATTTACATTTGAAGTACAATATGATCTGATGGAAAGGTTGGAGGACCTTCGATTATCCATCAGAAGAGCAGATTACACAGGTATAGCGGAGAGGTTTCAAGAAGGAGGAACTAAAGTTGATAATAATGATGGCAACGAGAGCATTGGTAGTGGTGGTCATGGTGTTGTTAGTGCAAGTGATGCTGATGCTGAAGGTGGTGACAATGAAAGTAGTAAGAATAAGAAGAATAAGAAGAGTAAGAATGATAGTAAAGATAATAAGAGTAAGAGTGATATTGTTGATAGCCTTAAACGTAGAGGTGGTGGTGGTGCAAGCGGAGGCGAAAGTAGGAGTAGTAATGATAATATTAGAATTAGTAAAGGAAGTAATAGCAGTAGAAGTAGAAGCAGTAATAGTAGTAATAAAAAGGAGTTGTCAAGAGCACAGGTTCGAGATCAGGGTCATCTTAGCTTGAGTTCAGCGATTCACAAATCTATTATCAAAGTTGATGAGAAAGGTACCAAGGCTGCTGCTTTCACTGGTTTCGGGTTCCATCCTTTGTCAACTGTATCCGGGCAAGCACAATTTATTGCTGACCATCCTTTCCTCTTCTTTATTCGGGATAAATCAAAAGGAGTCAATATCTTCACTGGTGCAGTTAATAAGCTAACTGGTTGATGACAGAATGATTTCAATGCAATAGACACTTATGAGTCTGTCGTAACTTTGTCTTGAGTCGTGACTTAGGACGGTACTCAGCAAGGTAAGATAATTGCCGAGCATTAATAGCTCCCCTTCTCTTTTGACGAATTAAATCAATAGCATCTTCATACTGCATTCCTAATTCAATCAATGCTAATGCCACTAAAACGGGAGCCCTTCCAAGACCGGCAACACAGTGAACTGCAATACAGTTATTAGGATCTTCTCGAAACCTTGTCCTTAACAAGTCAAACCATTGCTCAACCACATGTTGGGGCGGTGGTGATCCATCATCAAATTGCCAATCATGTACATTGATGCCTTCCTTTTCTAATAAATCAGTCCTATAAGTTGGTTCACAGACACGTACAACATCTCGAATATTTCTTTTCTTGAGCTCCTGTTGAAAGATTGAATAAAGAGGAATTACATAGAGGAATAGAAAGAGACAGAAAGAGAGAGACAGAGAGAGAAAGAAAAAAAGAAAGATGAGTGGAAAAGAGATAGAGAGGAACAGGGAAAGGCAGAAAAATAGAGAAAGAAAATGGAAGCAGAGTAAAAATAGATCCCAAATAGATTATGAGGAACGAGAAACAGAAAACAATGGACATGAGAAAATTATATTTCCATGTTGAAGACACACCAAAAAAAAAGGGAAGAGAGAGAAAAAGAAAGAGTATAGAAGAAGAAAATAATTTCCTATGATCTTTTCTTTTTAAACAGGTCAGGGATGAAAAGGGAATGTAAGGAAATGTAAGTTTAGGTTTCAAGTACTTGAAATGATCCTCAGAATAAGGAGAGATGGATTAGTAATAAGAAAAGAGGGCTAAAAGGGAAGAAGAGAAACAAAGATAAGTGAAAAGAATAGAATAAAAATAAGGAAAGGTAGACATCGAAAAAAAATGAACAAGAGACAGAGACAGACAGAGAAAAAGAAAGACAGGGAGGAATGAAAATTAATGAAGAAAAAAAATAAAATGGTTACTTACCTCTATGAAATTGTTTAATGTATTATCAGTTGGCCTATCCATGATCAAGAATCTCATGTCTTTGTAGCTTATGTCCGATGGTCCAGGTCGAACCAAGGGTGAGATAATTGAAGAAATGCTATCTTTCTGCTTCATGGTGAATAGCAGAAAAGAAGGGAAGTTAATTCAATCACAAATTTTGGTGGAAACAAAAAATTATATTTTACTGAGAATTTGATTTCGAGTCAACAATCACATTTAATTCAGCTCAAGTGATTCTCTCAGTGAATCTCTTATCATATCATTTTCAAAGAATCGATGAGAGAAAACACCAGATGGCGTTCGAGTCACATGGAGAGCCACCTGACGGCGTTGGGGAGATTTGATTGAGACAATTTCTATTAATTGTTTCAACAATTAACTAATTGTGTTTCTTGGATGTTCAGCTTTGTCTTGGTCTTTGATTCTTGTTTATCGCTTCATTTTCTATTGGTTTTTATTGTCTTTTCTCTATGTTTTAATCGAATGGTTTTCTATTCTCTCTTTTTCATTTCCTTAGATTTTCCATCTTTCATTTTCCTAATTGCTATCGAAATTGAAGATAATTCTTAATCATTAACAAGTGATTAAGAAGTTGTTAGATGAGATCAAAGATTGGTGATGAAGAAGCCAAGAGGAAAAAGTAAAAATTAAGATAAAGTAATTAACTTTAGGTTGGTGACTTTTTTTCCTTTATCCGATTGTTAATTGTTACATAATTTAATTTTCCTTTGCTTGAGCATCTCTACTGATTAATGTTTCATTTTTCATCATAAATGTGATTTATTGTTGTTAATCTGAGAAGAAACAAATTTAAATGTCTGATAGTCAATGGAATTAGAAAGTTGATTAATCAAATGAAAGGGAAAACAATACCAATTAAATGAGAGGAATTAAATTTCTGATCAGTTACATTATCTGGAGTCAGTCAACTAAAAGCTTTTTCAAAATCTCTGTGGTTGTTGAACAATTAACAATCACTTTATTGATTCAATCAATTGGATTGTTGGTTAGACTCAACCTTGGACACTTTAAAGCAAAGTGTTTATTCAAGGCCGATCAGATCATAGGAGAGAAAAAAAGAGAAAGAATTAAGAGGAAATCTTGATTAATCAAATTATCTTTGACTAGGTTAATGAATGTTTGCTTGATACTCTAATCATTTAGTAGAAAATTTAATGATTAATCATTAGAGTGGAAAGAGGATCAGAGAGTGAAGAGAATTAAATAACTTTTTTTCTGGAAAAATGACCTAAGTTTATTGTCTATCAGAAATAGGAAACAAGGAAGATTAATTTACAAGCCTTTATGAAGATAGTTTCTGATTGGTATTTACACAGAGGAAGAAATTGAATAAGTTAACTGTGATGATTGAACGAAGATTGTACACATGATAAGTTGATGGGTGATTGACTGTTGATTGTTGACTTTTTTTTGCAGTAGTTTTCTAATAGAGAAGTGATGGTTTTCTTCCTGGCCAAGCTTCTTTAACGTATTTCTTTTTATTAGGTACACTTGATTCACCTAAATTGTCATTATGATCAACGGAAACTATTGGTTTATTGACGATAAGTTCAGGAATATGTTCAGGTGATGAAGTGAGATTAACATCAGGAGCTGAATTAGGTAAAGGTATTCCAAGTTTGAAAGAAAGAGAAGGTGAATAAAGTTGATTACGAGAAGATGAATGATGAGATGTTGAAGCGATTTGAGGTTTCAGAATGTGATGAGATTTAACTTCATTTCGATTGATTCCCAATGGTGAATCGAGTTTCATCTTCTTATTTGGAATCACAGTTGTTTGCACCAAATTACGAAATTTACCGACACTTGGATCAACATCTTCTGGATTAATTATCTCTTCTTCTTCTTTGAATCGAACCAAAATAGTTCGAGGACCAGCTCGAAGTTTATCCTCGTTTTCTTTGATTCCCATCATGCTGATTCTCTTGTTTTGCACAGTATTGAATTCAGTCAAGTTCTGAAAAGAAAAGAAAAGAAATGAAAACATAAAAAATGCTCAACTTCTCAAAGTAGGAAGAAAATTTCAAGACAAATATTGCTTACATCCAATTCTAACTCTGAATCTGGTAAATTGTGATGTCCATAGTCGGTATTTTCCACATTCGGATCTCCTTCAAGATTATTTAAGTTACTTGAATTGGGTTTCTCTCGAAGAGAATAATATCTTGTCGAAGCACCAAAATGAAAAGTCGCATTGAGAGGCAATTGAGTCGGTTTATTTGATTCAAGACGAACGGTACCAATGAACGATCCATGGGCTGAAAAGAGAAAAAGTTTCATTAATACTCTGTGAGTTAGAAAGGGGCGAAACTAAAGAGTCTGAATTTACTGTATTCGAAAATCTCTTTAAAAGCACCAAGAGAGAGAGAGAGAGAGAGAGAGAGAGAGAGAGACTAACAAGGAATAATACATTCAAATTCTCAACTAAAACTTTACGATTTCGAAATAAGATTTTAATCGATACATTTCCAGATTTTCATGCCAAATTCATAAACGAAAATAAACTTACTACTACCAAGATCGACAAGAAAAGCTCTATTCAGATGCTTGTGATAAACCAAAGCTGCATGAATACGAGAACAAGATTGATGGTCAATACAAATTTCATTGAGAGTTGGATTTCGCCCGAAATGGTAACATTTTTTTTCATCGATCATCAGTTTCTAAAATGAATAAGGAACAAAAGATTAGAGATTAATTTCATGTATCAAAAGCCAATACCACGAGAACTAAGCTCTTTAATTAGTTCTGTTTTGACCACTTTAGATTAAGACCCTTTTCAAGCTTGAAACAAGAATAAAGATCAAAATAATCTAGCATTAAATCTTGAAATTGATGTAATGTTTTCTATGCATTTCGAAAGGCCCAATAATAGGCCATCGAAAACACCAATTACCAAGGATATGCAGAATGAGAAGAATTAAATACCCAAGGAAAATGTGTCGACTAACCTGAATCAATTTACCATCTTTGTAAACATCCAAATGATAACCTGAAGGAGGTTTTCCTGCCCTGAGGAAAATAAGATGAAATTAATTCACTTGTAAAAAGATCAATGTTTTCATCGGGAAAAAGACTCACCAGTTAGGAACTTGATAATGGCTAGATGTTAATGGAATAACTTCAGTTGTTGACATGCTTTAAATTATCAATTAAACATGATAAATAAAAGTGAAACAATTAAATAAAACCAACTTCAAGTAAAAACAATCATTTCAAATGATAACAAACAAAAAGGTAAACAATCAACCAGAATCTTAAGAAGAAGCGCCAAAATTGAAACAAAGAGAAAATTTAATTTCTAATTTTTGTTTTCTAACCAAATTATAATCAATTTAATTGATTTAAATATTTTGAATGGAACAGTTTAATGGACGAGTCAAGTCACTGCCTAATCATTGAGATGATTTCATTGCTAATTAGCAAATCAAAATTGTTCTTCTTGTGGGACAATCGACTTTGATCAAGACTAAAGATTCAAGCGAATTAATTTTGATCGATCAGAGTAAATATTGAGACAATCTATTGATTCAACAATTCTTGAGTTGACTAACTTATAGAATTTGTAGTAAATTGGCTGATAGAGAAATATTTCGATTGAACCTTTACAAGTATCGAAAACTTGGTTTGTTTGGTTTTCTAAGGCGGCAAACCGAATGTTCCTTTGTTTCTTTGAGCGCTTTTTTCTTTTCCTGTTGACCAATGAAATCGACCTTCAGTTACTTGATTTGATTTACCTTAACTCATGAGGCCTTTGGTCAAACTAAGGAAATTAGGAGATTAACTGTTAGATTTGGAGAATAGATTCCGAGTTTATCAATTAAGAGGAATAATTAGGTTTGAAATTTTTTTTAAGAGAAAAGATTGTCTTAATTTAATAAGATGAAATAAAATTATTCACAATGAGTCAAAAGCTTTGGATATAAAAAAACTCTTTTTCACATATAAGTATTGGCCCTGAAAAGGGCCGTTTTTGGTTATATGAATTTTAGGGGTTACATGGGATGATGATGATGATGATGGTGATGATGGATGAGTTTATTTAGATGAAGTGTATTTGGTGACAGCTTTGGTTCCTTCTGAAACGGCGTGTTTAGCCAATTCACCAGGAAGGAGAAGACGAACAGCAGTTTGAATCTCCCTTGATGTGATGGTTGATCGCTTGTTGTAGTGAGCAAGTCGACTGGCCTCAGCAGCAATTCTCTCGAAAATATCATTAACAAATGAATTCATGATTGACATGGCTTTCGATGAGATTCCAGTGTCAGGATGAACTTGTTTCAACACTTTGTAGATGTAGATGGAGAAAGATTCCTTCCTACGCTTCTTCTTCTTTTTCTTGTCGGTAGCTCGAACAGCTTTTTGGGCCTTACCGGCTTTTTTCACAGCTTTACCTGATGGTTGAGGAGGCATAATTATTAATTAGGAAAAGAAATTGATTTAAAATTAACTAAAGAAATTATCGAGAAATGAAACAATTACAAAGAATTGATAATCAACAAACTTGAGAAGATGTCAAATGAAAAACTTGTCTTTAGTTTTATACTAATTCACCAAGTGTTTAACTCACCACTAACTCAACGAGGACTCACACGCATTCTCATTGGCTCATTTGATAGAAACTCTTTTCTTATTGGTTAGTGAGTTAAACACTTTACACTGTTAGTATATAAAGAAAATTGTTTTGTGTTGATTGTCTCATTTTCAGCTGTTTGAAATTTTGTTTCATTTCTTATTTGACAATCAAATTTATTTTGTGTTTTCTTCTCTAATTTTCTAATTTAAATCAACTTAATCAACTAATAATCTAAAATGTCTGGACGAGGTAAAGGAGGAAAAGTTAAATCAAAGGCAAAGTCTCGATCATCTCGAGCTGGTCTTCAATTCCCAGTTGGTCGAATTCATCGACTTCTCCGAAAGGGAAATTATGCTGAACGAGTTGGTGCTGGTGCTCCAGTCTATTTGGCTGCTGTTCTTGAATACTTGGGTGCTGAAGTATTGGAATTGGCTGGTAATGCTGCCAGAGATAACAAGAAAACTCGTATCATCCCTCGTCATCTTCAACTTGCCATCAGAAATGACGAAGAATTGAACAAACTTCTTGCTGGTGTGACCATTGCTCAAGGTGGTGTCTTGCCAAACATTCAAGCTGTTCTCTTACCAAAGAAGAGTGACAAGAAAGCTTAAATTAATTTCATTCATTCATTTTTCTTCATCTTCTCATCTCTTTTCATCTCCCTCATCCCTTTCCTTTTTCATCATCATCATTATGTTTATCACATAACCAAAAAACGGCCCTTTTCAGGGCCAATTACATTTATGTGTAAAAAGAGTTTTTATCCTTATGCTTATATTGTTTCAGAATGTAAACAATTTGATAATCATCTTAATATTTTGTTTAATTGTAGTCAAAATAAAATACAAACTTAATCTTAATATTTACAACTGAATTGTTATTGTTTAAAACCAATTACTTTATAGTCTAATGATTCAAAATCAAACTGAATTCAAGCCATGAGTTAATCTACCGAAAATTTCATCTTTGTCCTGATCGATTGTGAGTTCATAAGCTCCGTTAGACATTAAACTGTTTAATCTCGAAAGAAACAATTTGGACAATGTTATTGGTCAATTGATTTAAGTAGAAAGAAAAAAATTAAAAAGATTAACAATAAAAGAAAAGATCAACTTGAGTTTGTTTGGTCAACCAAATTGCCAAAATAAGCGGTGATTGTTTTGGGTTTGTTGTTAATTAGATTTTGTTCAATTTCCACTGATTCATTTGGTTGAAGCAGAGAATTAATTTCATCTCTGTCAATGTTTCTCGGCAATAGAAATGCGATATTACATGAAACATGTTCTTTTGCTGCTGCGAATATTTCAAATCCATTTGGTCTCATATTGGACAAGGAATAAACTTTTTGAGACAAGTAGTTTGGTCCACCCCAAGGGGGAGACAAGAAAATACAATCAACAGGTAATTTAATGGTGGACAATATTTGGAAATAATCGCCGACGAGAAAAGCAATTTGATTGTCCACACCATAGATACACGAATTGTGTTTGGCCATTCGCACTTTGTTTCCATCGATATCACTTGCGATCACAAAGACATTTGGTGATTTCAAAGCGAATTGAATGACATTCCCTCCCACTCCACAAAAAGGATCCATGATAATGACCATTGACTTTTCTCCATCTCTCACACATTTACATGCGATGTGATTCCCGATCAATTCAGGAGTCACCGAATACCAAGATTCCGAGTCCATTTGGATTCCATCATCGAAACGAGAAAACAATCGATACCTTTGAGCCCAATACTTGCAGAGATTTTTATTGCTTTTCTTTTTTTTATTGGTCTTTGCTTCTTTTTTCTCTTCCTTCGATTTAAAGTGTCTCTTTGTAGTAGAAAAAGATGAAGGCAAACCCAAAGTCTCCATTAATTGTTTCTCCAAATCACTAATTTCGTCTCGAATTATTTCAATTTCATTCACTTCACATTCACTATTTGAAAGAGATTCGGACATTTGGTTTATCACATTGAGATAAATTGTTTAAAAGATAAATTGATTAATAGAACTAAAAAAGTAAAATAGGTTAATGAAAATAATGGAAAAAAAATAAACAAAGAAAAAAAAGAAAAAAAAAGCAAAAAAGAAAAGTGAATCATATGTTTAGAGAGAAAACGAATTTCCCGCTTTTCATTTGTGTTGAGAAAAAGAGAAAAGAAAATAAACCAATGAGACGAAACTCTTACTCTACGAGGACTCATTTTGAGAGAAACTTTTCTGGTGTTGATATTTAAGGGAAAAAGAACATTTTTAACTTTATCATTTGGTTTTTGAATTTCTCTCTCTTGACATTCAAGTTTAATTACTAATTTTCCTTCTCTTACTTTTCAATCAACTCTTCTACTTTGTGAAAACAATGGCTCGTACTAAGCAAACTGCTCGTAAATCAACCGGAGGTAAAGCTCCACGAAAACAATTGGCTACAAAGGCTGCCCGTAAATCAGCCCCTGCCACCGGTGGTGTTAAGAAGCCCCACAGATATCGACCTGGAACAGTTGCTCTTCGAGAGATCCGTCGTTACCAAAAGTCAACTGAGCTTTTGATCCGAAAGTTACCTTTCCAACGATTGGTTCGTGAAATTGCTCAAGATTTCAAGACTGATCTTCGTTTCCAATCATCAGCAGTTATGGCTCTTCAAGAAGCTTCTGAAGCTTATTTGGTTGGTCTGTTTGAAGACACTAATCTTTGCGCTATTCACGCCAAGAGAGTCACTATTATGCCAAAGGACATCCAATTGGCCAGGCGAATCCGAGGAGAACGAGCTTAAGTGTCTTATTTTTCTCTTTTTCATGGATCTCTCCCTCATCATCAATGTCCCATTCCCCATGTCCCTTCTTCATCATCATCTTGAATCATTCCTCATAATCCCACCACCACCATCATCATCATCATAATCATACCAAAAAACGGCCCTTTTCAGGGCCAATTACTTAATTTCGAAAAAGAGTTTTTTATGCTTTTGTTTTTACCCTTTATTACTTGACATTGATTCTCATTGAAAAGTCGATTTATATTTTAATTAATGATTGAAATTCCTTGACAAAACCATTTATTTATATTAAACATAATTCAATCGACTCTAAATTGTTCAATTTCATACAATTTACTTGAATAGAAAGGTTAACATGTGAGTTGACATTTATTCTCCCGCCAATGGATTGAATTGAAATTCGGTAACTATAGAAACAGAAAAGCAGAAAATCTGGTTTGTTTTCTATTTTGAGGTTAGAAGAAGATGAGAAGATGAAAAAAAAGAATTTGTCTCAATCAAAGTTCGTTGACGTGTTGATGTTTTAATTGATCGAAATGATTATGGTCTCTTTATGCTCCAAGAAATTGTTTCTTCTTTCATCTCGTTCAATATTGTCGAGAATCTGTAGTCCCTCTTGTTCATCTTCATCTTGTTTCTCTTCTCTGGTGAGAGAAAAGGAAAAAGAAAAAGAAATTGTGTCTCCTTTGAAATTGGTGGAAAATGATCTTCGTAATTTGTATTCGGACATTCGGAAGGAATTGTGGACCGAGAAACCGGAACTGGAAGAAATCGCTTGTTATTATTTCGATGGTGAAGGGAAAGCGTTTCGACCCATGATCGTGGTGTTGGTGGCTCGAGCTCTCAACTACCATGTCTCTGGAAGATCAGATTTATTGGAATGTCAGAAAAACGTTGCAATGGCCACCGAAATGATTCACACCGCATCTTTGGTCCATGATGATGTGATCGACACAGCCGATGTCCGTCGTGGCAAAGCTTCAGTGAATGTTTTATGGGGCCAAAAGAAGGCCATTCTCGCTGGTGATTACATTTTGTCTCGATCATCTCAGATGTTGGCTCGTCTTCGCAATGAGCAAGTGATCTTTGTCCTTTCTCAAGTGCTGCTTGACCTGGTTCAAGGTGAATTCATGCAAATGGGATCAAAAGGAAAAGAAGACGATTCTCGAGAGAGATTCAGTGACTACATTCACAAGAGCTTCAAAAAAACAGCTTCGCTGATTGCGTACACTTGTAAAGCTGTTGCGCTGCTTTCGGGGGCAGACACGCGTTGCCAAGAAGCCGCTTTTCAGTATGGCCGAAACTTGGGAATAGCTTTTCAATTGGTGGACGATCTTTTGGATTTTGTTTCCAGTCAATCGGAACTCGGGAAACCAGCGGCAGCCGATCTGAGGCTGGGCCTCGCCACGGCTCCAGTTTTGTTTGCGAGTGAAAAGTTTCCCCAATTGAATGTGATGATAGAACGACGATTCTGTGAACCCAATGATGTCCAGGCCGCTTATGCCTTTGTCATGGAATCCGATGGACTACAATCAACCAGAATTCTGGCCAAACAACATGCAGACGAAGCTCTAAGATACATTGATCCATTTATCGATTGCCCGGAGAAAAGGGCGCTAATTGAACTCGCGAAAATGACACTTGAGAGGAAAAAATAATCTAATCAAATCATCGAAATGAAAACTGTGCCAAAAAAGATCCCGTTTTTTATCACCTAAATCTCCTGATTAACTGATTAATCGTTAAGTTCACATGAACACCACCAATGAAAATCTTTCGAAATCAAATTATTTTTCTAATCTACAAGTTACTTAATTTCAGTTCGGCTATACAACTGAATCAAATTGTTATCATTCAAGACTAATTAATGTTAAATCCTACTTATAATGTTGTTAATTTTTTAGCGTAATGTTAACATAGAAATAAATTTCAAAGAATTAAAATTATCTTGTCAATTTTATTTACTTTCAAGATTTGATGAGGTTAAATTGCTTTCGATGCAAAATGATTTCCAAATCATAAAAACCTCTCATTTCTCAATTAATAACAAGCTTATTAACAATTTTTACCTGATTCTCTTTCTACTTTTGTAAGCTAATAACTCTGATTGGAAATTAAGACTTAAATTAATCAGGCTTAATATCGGTGTATTTAGATTAACGATGAAGTCTTTTCAATCGCCAGGTTCCCAAAGTTTCTTTATATTTGTAACGATCTGTAAGAGAAAAGTAAACGAGTGAGTAAATTTTTCAAGAAGGTGAATATTCATGTAAATATTACCAATTGGATGAAAATACTCAGGTCGTGATTGAATATAAAGCATCAATCTCCCTTGTTCCATTGCCGCTTTTTTGGTCACATAAACACCAGTGAAATAAGCACCGACAAAACCGACGAGAGCTCCAATAATGTGTCTATGAATTTGCGAAAACACTGGTCTTCCAGCTCCATATTGGGCAACCATAGCAATTGATACTCCAGCGATAACACCAGCACCAGAGGCGTTGATTAATCTATCGATGGGTTTACGGTGATCGTCGAACTTTGTGAAAACATCAAGTGGATGATATCGAGGCCCTAATCTGGCCATATTGTAATGGGCCTCTTTCCAATTTGGACAATAAGGATAATCATCCTCTTTGTAATGATAACCAGAGACATGGAGATGAAAAGATTTCAAATGAAGGATAAAAAATATTGATAATAAAAAACCACAATTAACAAGAAGAAACGAAAATCAACCCAATCAAATCGATCATCAAAAACATAACTTACCAATGGTATTTTCGGTTTGTGAATCCATTGACCAGAAATTCTAATGAACTAATAGTTAATTAATTATTAAACCAAAACTAATTACTCAATAACAAATAAGAAAACATGAAAATTGTAAACATTCAATGTCGCAAATGGAGTTCATGTCCTCGATAAAAGAGGTCGTTAGTTGACTGAAGTTCTTCACTCGCCATCTGTTGGCGGAGAAAATCATCATTCCGATTACCTAACTTTTTTCGCTCCTGATAATTTCAAATTTAATTAATACTACCTGTGAATTAAAAATCTAATTTTGTGTTATTATTGTACATCTTATTACACGGACCAAGTTGATACCAAAATTATGATATTTCAACAGTTACTTTAGTTGTTTTTTGTTATTCTTAAAACTCAGACTCTTATTGCGTTGTAATAACTTCAACCATTTTTGATTTCTTGGTAAGTTTTGCTTGGTAACTTGATTCCACTTAAAACGATCGAAATTCTAATATTATTTCCTACTTTTCTCCTTTTCTCTTTTTTTCATGACAAATCTAATGAGTGAATCAACTTTGGAACTTATCTTCACGGACAACTCAATTGACCATAAAATTACATGAATATTAAATGCCATACATTAAATGCCATACTACATGAAGATACAAAGGATCACTATTAATTCTTTCCAGGTAATCGAAACTAACTAATGAATAAATTGTAATTTTGTAAATCGAACGGATAGTTCACAAAGCGAAATGTGGCTGTAATGTATAAAATTCACCAGGAATAAAGAATTACCTTGCGGCTTAAGAATTGGAATCAGTTTCCTATTTTAATGTTTATTTTTCTTTTTTTTTTCTTTCATTTGTTTTTTTGTTCTTTTTTTCTTTCCTTAACTATGGATCAATTTAATTACATCAAATTAATTGAATTCCATTACATACTGGAAGGTTTTACTGCCCTTTATAAGAACGAAAGTGACAAAAGTTCAAAAGGAATAATGTATCGGACTGCTGATCAAATTCTACACGAGATTTTCCAGTCATGTGTACGGACTGTGGTAAGAGAAGAGACGAAAATCAAATTGTCCAGAAAATGGAGAGAAATCGCTCTGGAAAGATGTTGTTTAGATGTTTCCATATTCAATGATGTTCACAATGAGATAACTTGTTCTTTGGACGAATTTATTACCAAAAAGTACATTGAAGAAAGATACACTAACCAATGGATGCAGAATAAACAAAGAGAAGCTGATTACGCGGCTATGGTATCTTCTTCTAATTCTATTAATTCTATTAATTCAATTAATTCTACTAATTCTGCCACTACTTCTTCTTCTACTTCTACTTCCACTACTACTACTACTGGTATTAATAATAATAATAATAATATGGGGATGGTTTGTCCATCTCTCGTATCTTTATCGACTGTATCATCATCAGTTCCTATCAATATGATCAATGGCTCCTTAGGATCAGAAGCTTCCACAAAAGTGCAACTAATTCAATCGAATAACATCAATAGTAACAATAACAATAGTAATATTATTCCTATTCTTGCGAATGGTGCTTCCTGTTATTCTGTACCTTCAACAACCGTTAAACCTCCTTCACGCAATTATCAATCTATGTTATCACTTGACTCTGGTTTCCAATCTGAGACCAGTAAAAATACTCCTTTTTCTATGGATGGATCAATAGTTAATGAAAGTGAAGTAAGCAGTAAATCAAGTAGCTCAAAGAATCAAAGGAGTAAAAGTAAACAAGAGAAAACCAGAGATAAATTTGCTTTATTACCAAAAGAACTTTTGGAAAATGAATGTTCCTCTGGAGGTGACACCGTTTTAACGCGACACATCAAAAAGACATTTCCATCTAATATGATGTTTAATGAAGAGCAAATCAAACAAGCACAAAGAAATTATCCTCAACATCTTCGTCCAAATTCAAAGACATCATCAAATCATTCTGAAGCTTCTGTTCATAAACATCTTCCCAATACACCTTCAGCCGAGCCCGTTGTCCAAGTGCTTATGGATAAGCTGGAAAGTTTACTTATTTCTCGTTGAATTAAATTAATCAACTGCCTTACAATTTATAAACAATTTCTAATTGTTCGACATGCCTTAAATTTTCTCACCTTGATTGTGTGACAGAAAAATAAGGTGAACATTTTTATCGCTCATTGACCAAAAGTAGTTTTACAAAATGAACAATAAACTGTAAAAATTATTCTTTAGATACAAAATTTTTTTTTTGTTCGACTAGACCAATTCTAAGAGAGAATTCTTTTAGAATTCAGTTGATCGATTTGTTTGGACTAAAATTCCTCTGATTTTCTAAATTATTCTCATCCTTTTTTTATAAAACGAGTTCGAAAATTGTTTAACTGGAACAAAATTTGATCAGTCAAACTTGAAACTTTCGGAATTTCAAAATTAAACCAGTAAAAGCAAAACTTTTCAGGAACCGGAACTCGAATCAAATCAGTTGTAAGATGAATATTTGGAATCAAAAATTGATAAACAATTTATTCAAATGTATAATTTGTTACTTTCTTATAAGTCTCTTGATAATCTTTTTTCATGTGAGAGGTTAAATTATTTGGTGCTTGTTGAAAGAAGAGCACAAAGAGCACCGGAAAGGGTAACAGAGAACACATAATTTACTGTTGGACTGAAAGATCCAAGTAAATAGAAAGATGAGACAATTACTAAAGCCAAGAAAAGAGCATTATTGTAGAAAATGGCGAAAGTTGTTGCCTCAAAATCAGCCACCTCATTCTGTTTCCAGAGGACACGTTCATCTCTCTCTTTCTTGGTCATTTTCTTGTCATCGGATATTTGTCTGATAACTTCTCGAGTAACAGCTTCACCTCGTTTAGATGCAATTTTGAATTTAAGAATATACTTAACATGCTTATAAGCATAAGCAATAAGCCAAGTTGTTAATGCAGTAACCAAAACAAAAATGAACGCTGAAGAGTAAAGGTCCATCTGATGGATTCTCCAAAATAGCCCTAAACCAAATGAGATAATATCAACCAGAAGAAAAGAAACAAACAAAAAAGAAAATCAGAGATTAATAAAAATAGAACAAAAAACAAAAAAAAGACGAATAAGATGATTAAAAGAGATTAAGAAAGAATCAACTAAAATACTTACACACTGATGTGGCCGAAACAATGAGAGCATTACCATAGAAAAGAGCAGAGCTTTTTGTTGAAACGTTTCGACTAAAGTCATGGAGAAGAAGCTCTTCTTCACGAGAATATCCCTTCTTAGCAGCGGTCGACATAATTAACTAATTGTTACCAATTAATGAAAATAACAAAACAAAATTTAAAACACAATTAAATTTAAAAGGTTTACACCGGGATCGATATCAAATACGTGGCTCTCTTTAAGTGTCCTCTCTTTTGCTCCTCCATCACTTTTACTTACCTTTTTCTCAATAGATGTCACTTGTTGTTCTTTTCCAATTAATTTTCCAATTAACTTAATTTAGAAATTAAATTCACTTGTACACTACTATTGAACGATTGATGAATTGTGTCAATTTTCAAATTTTAATAAATTAATTCTCGCGAAATGAGAATTAACTGTGAAACTTGTGAGAGAAGATTAAATTGTTAAGAGAGAAGAAAATTTGAAAAATAAAATCGCCGTTACCATGGCAACAATGGTATGAATTTAGTAACCGCCAAAAAATGTTAACTTGTTGCTTTCTTTTTGTTTGGTGAATGGTTTAAGTGTCAATCTTTTTAATTGATTGTTTTGTGATTATTTTTTTATTTTGTCTTTATTTTAATTGTCAACAAATTAACTTATTGATTGTGGTTTTCTTGTCTTGGATTGTGAAACAATTTTCTTCTCTTGTTTTTGTCCATCTTTTTTGGAAAAAGATTTTCTATTCTTGGAACCAACAAAATGGCAACTTCTCATCGTAAATCTCGTATTCCTGCTTTATCAAGCTCTAATTGTAAATCAGTTACTAAACCAAATTATCATTTGTCTGGTTTTGATGTTTCATCTCATGGTTCATCGGCTTACGAGACAAGTTATCGTTATGGTCAGTATAGTACTCAAAGGAAAAGTAATACCAGTTGTTTTAAGGCTAATAAGTATGCGGCCAATTTTACTGGTCCTTATAAAGGAGCAAAGGGATTATTTCACCAATCGCCCAAATCTGATAGGTAATTTTGACTCTATTCATCTTTTATCTTTTTCTTTTTAACTTTCTCTTTGATTAATTTTGTGATCCATGTGTATTTTTTTTATCCACAGAACAAAAGTTTATCCATCTTCAGCTGCAGCTTCTGGTCGGAGGAGTAGTATCATTGGTGATCGATGTCGGCAAAAAGACACCAGACAAGTCGCAGATCCTAAATATCAACAAACTTGTACAACCAAATTAATCCAATTCTTGACCGAAAATCATTATCCAAGTCAGATTTCACCCAAGTTTCTTAAATCTCCTTCTAAACAAGATGTAATCAAAGTTTTTGAGGTGAGTTAAAATGATCAACTTTCTTTAATGGCCTTTAAGTTAACCATTTTTCCTCCATTTTTTCCCTTTAGTTTCTTTTTTCTCATCTTGATCCCAGTATTGAAGTTACACCGATTGATGCTCGAGTCCCTGAATTGATGGCTCAATTTGGTTATCCATACTTCATCACTAAATCCTCACTCATCTCATTCTCTGGTCGTCAAGCTATTGGTAATCTTCTTGGAATGTTTGAATTCCTTGTTGATAATATTCAGTATTTGCAGACAGTTGATTCAAGGGAACTTATTTATCCATCTGTCACGTCCGATGATGCTGAGATTAAGACTTCATTATTACAGATTGTCTCAGATGACGTTGACCTAGATGAGGCTTTCGAAGAGTTGGCAGTTAAGATATATGGAACTGACGATGAATTGGGAGCTTTGGAATGTGAATTGAAGAAATTGGACGACGAGTTAAAAAATTTAGAAAAAGAGAATGATTATCGAAAAATGTTACCCGTGAAGAAAATGGAATATGTCAAGTCCACCGATGAATACGTCTCGTACAACAACTACATGCAAGATTATATTTTGCAAACCGAAAAAGATGCCATAAAGTTGAAAGCCGAAATTGTTGATCTCGAAAACGAATTGGCTATGAACTCAGAGAAATTACATGAAATGAATCAAAAAGTCAACGATCAACCTTATGATATCGCCGAGATGCAATTGGCTCGAGACAGGCAACGCCAATTTGACAAAGAAATCAACGACGATACAAAAGCCATTAAACAAATCAAACTGTCAATTCATACAGATTTGAATGAAATTTCATTGACGAAAGATCAACTCATCAAGAAATATTATGGCTACGCATCCGAAGTTAATTCACTTCTAATGAGTGTGAATACACAAGCAAACAAGAATTATGTACCTTGGGTCATTGAAAAACTTCATTCACCTGAACTGCAAGATATTCTTGATCAGTTATCTAACCCTGAATCGCTTACCAAAAGTAGTGAATTGAAAAAACGATTCGTTGATTTAATCAATGAACTAAACAGATACCTTATTGAGGTGAATGTCGACTTACAAGCAAAATCGGTTAAAGTGCAACAAAAAGGTAAACAATTGGAATTAATTGAAACAGAGAAAAGATTGGAGCTCAAGAATCTTCAAGAAAAACTCGCTCAAGCCGAACAAGAGCTTCAGAGATACAAACAATATTGCCATGAAGAGTCCAAGTTCTTGAACGAAAAATTTGCCCACTTAAGGAAAAGTTTAGCCGAGAAAGAGCAAAGTGTCAAAGATTGTGCTAAAGCAAACGAAACTCGCATCGCCCAATTACGCGCTGAGTAAGTGTATTAACCTTTTTTCCAATTTTACGTTATCTTTTTCGATAATTACTAAAATGATGATCAACTTTATCTTTTCTTTAGGCTATCTCAACAAATTGTTAAAAACAAGGAGTTGAATGAACAAAATGCGGCCAAATTACAAAAACGAAGAGAAAATGAGACCAAAATATTGAATTCCATTGAAAAATCATTAATCCAAATCAATGACATGGAAAAGAAACATGTTGACACTATGAAAACCGCAGTAGAAGCTGCGAAAGCTGTTCGAGGGAGAATCCAGCGTAAAGTTGAAGAGGCGAAAAAGAATAGCAAAAGTTCATCCGATAAAACTCAGGATTTATCTAAAGGAGATAAATCTGAAGTTTCTTCAGTAACACTCTCTCATTCAAAAGAAAACATTCACATTAACTAATCGTTTTAATCGTTCATAGAAAAACATTTATCATCTCATTAGTTTAACCTTTTTGTTTAATGTACTTTATTTAACCAAATTCTCTTTCACTCCCTCTCGACATTTATTGTACTCTATGGATTTTTTTTAATTATTTCGCAAATTCCAATTTCATATAATTCCAAATCCATAAATTTTCATGTAAAGTTTTCATCGCAGGTACTTAATGTGACTCTAATTGTCACCGTAAACTCTATGTAGCAACTCTTACTCATCGGTTGCTTTTTCTTGTAGTTAAATGACCAGTGAATTAAATATCAACAATTAACAGCGAAAAAGAAATTTAATCAAAAATTTATTTCAAAATACAATCAAAACCAAATGGCTTGTGACTTTGTTTATTTTTCGTCGCAGTGAATCTTTGATATCATCACCAATTTAAACAAATTGTTTATACAAATTGATTAACTTAAAGTATTTCGGTTCTTAGATTGTTGTTTGCTAGTTTTCTGCAAGCCGACAATTAATTCGCAGCTTGGAACACAAAGAATATCAAGATAATAGTATTGATATTAAAAAATCAAATGAGCTAATTGGGAATGATGGTAAAGGCGGTGGGTTAAAAATCAGTTTCTCGGTGGTCAATAGGATATTGGAAATGTTGTTGAGCAGTTTTTGTGAATTACCACCGAAAGGAATCGGTGGAGAATCAACGAGATGATCGAAGATTTTCCAATTTATCCAAAAGCACTTGAAGTGTTGGCGCGTGTCCTGGCGAATTAGGAAGATGTCCACTTACTTCGGGCTGTATTGTCTTTGGACGGAGTTGGTGAGGGTAATTTCTTTGTGATTGCTTAACTTGTTCCTCATTGAACATATCCATTGCGGCAGGAAATGTCTTCTTGATGTGTCGCGTTAAAACAGTATCACCTCCAGAGGAACATTCATTTTCCAAAAGTTCTTTTGGTAATAAAGCAAATTTATCTCTGGTTTTCTCTTGTTTACTTTTACTCCTTTGGGTCTTTGAGCTACTCGATTTTCCACTTACCTCGCTTTCATTAACTATTGATCCATCCATAGAAAAAGGAGCATTTTTACTGGTCTCGGATATGAAACCAGAGTCAAGTGTTAACATAGATTGATAAATGCGTGAAGGAGGTTTAACGGTTGTTGAAGGTACAGAATAACAGGAAGCACCATTCGCAAGAATAGGAATAATATTACTATTGTTATTGTTACTATTGATGTTATTCGATTGAATTAGTTGCACTTTTGTGGAAGCTTCTGATCCTAAGGAGCCATTGATCATATTGATAGGAACTGATGATGATACAGTCGATAAAGATACGAGAGATGGACAAACCATCCCCATGTTATTATTATTATTAATACCAGTAGTAGTAGTGGTGGAAGTAGAAGTAGAAGAAGAAGTAGTGGCAGAATTAGTAGAATTAATTGAATTAATAGAATTAATAGAATTAGAAGAAGATACCATAGCCGCGTAATCAGCTTCTCTTTGTTTATTCTGCATCCATTGGTTAGTGTATCTTTCTTCAATGTACTTTTTGGTAATAAATTCGTCCAAAGAACAAGTTATCTCATTGTGAACATCATTGAATATGGAAACATCTAAACAACATCTTTCCAGAGCGATTTCTCTCCATTTTCTGGACAATTTGATTTTCGTCTCTTCTCTTACCACAGTCCGTACACATGACTGGAAAATCTCGTGTAGAATTTGATCAGCAGTCCGATACATTATTCCTTTTGAACTTTTGTCACTTTCGTTCTTATAAAGGGCAGTAAAACCTTCCAGTATGTAATGGAATTCAATTAATTTGATGTAATTAAATTGATCCATAGTTAAGGAAAGAAAAAAAGAACAAAAAAACAAATGAAAGAAAAAAGAAAAACTAAAAAATAAACATTAAAATAGGAAACTGATTCCAATTCTTAAGCCGCAAGGTAATTCTTTATTAACACCCCCTGGTGAATGTTTTATACATTACAGCCACATTAGTGGTCGCCCGGAGGCTGCGAACTATCCGTTCGATTTACAAAAAAAAAAATTACAATTTATTCATTAGTTAGTTTCCTTCGATTACCTGGAAAGAAATTGGTTAGTGATCAAGCTTTGTATCTTTGGATATTGATGTAAGCATTAATGTATGGCATTTAAGTATGGTAATAAAATATGGTCAATTGAGTTGTCCGTGAAGATAAGTTCCAAAGTTGATTCACTCATTAGATTTGTCATGAAAAAAAGAGAAAAGGAGAAAAGTAGGAAATAATATTAGAATTTCGATCGTTTTAAGTGGAATCAAGTTACCAAGCAAAACTTACCAAGAAATCAAAAATGGTTGAAGTTATTACAACGCAATAAGAGTCTGAGTTTTAAGAATAACAAAAAACAACTAAAGTAACTGTTGAAATATCATAATTTTGGTATCAACTTGGTCCGTGTAATAAGATGTACAATAATAACACAAAATTAGATTTTTAATTCACAGGTAGTATTAATTAAATTTGAAATTATCAGGAGCGAAAAAAGTTAGGTAATCGGAATGATGATTTTCTCCGCCAACAGATGGCGAGTGAAGAACTTCAGTCAACTAACGACCTCTTTTATCGAGGACACACACCAATCGAATCTCCTTGTCGTCAACAAGGAGATTCTTATTATTAAATGATTTTCTTTATTGTTGAAATTGTGTAAGTGTTGTGTGTATATTTAGTGACTGTATTATTTTCTTTTTTTGTTGTTTTATACACCAGCCTGTGTTTCTCTCTATTCTTTTCTAAATAATTAAACAACACTCACTTAATCTAGAAAATAGACTTAGTTAATTAATCAATTATATTCAAATTTAACCATGGAGTTAAGAGTAGGAAATAAATACAGGCTTGGCCGTAAAATTGGATCAGGCTCTTTTGGTGATATTTATCTCGGTATGTATTCATTTCTCTCAACATCTTTTCCATTATTTTCTATTTTATTTCTCAATTTGGATTCTCTCTGGTCTATTTTTTCCTCAATATTGTTCAATTTTTTTTGTAAATATTCTTTTTGTCTCCAATTACTAATCCTTTGTTTTTCTCTTCTCTCTTGTTCCCTTTTTTGTTTCTCTCTTTCTCTCTTTTCCTCTCTTTCTCTTTTTGCTTCTGACTATCATCATGTGCCTTTTTTCCTCTTTCTTCTTTCTTTTTTTCTCTTCTACCTTCAAATGGCTTACTTTGGTTGTTTTCTTTCTCACTATTTTTTTGTCTTCTCTTCTTTCTCTCTCTCTCTCTCTCTCTCTTTCTCTCTCTCTCTCTTTCTCTCTTTCTCTCTTTCTCTCTTTCTCTCTTTCTCTCTTTCTCTCTTTCTCTCTTTCTCTCTCTCTCTCTCTCTCTCTCTCATTGTATCTCTTTCTTCTCTTTCTTTATCTATTCTGTGTTGACGGTTACGTCAATGGTCACCTGTAGGTACCAATATAGCAACTGGAGAAGAAGTTGCTATCAAATTAGAATGCCTTAAGACAAAGCATCCCCAGCTACATATTGAAAGTAAAATATATCGGATGATGTATGGAGGAGGTAAGTAATTACAATTTATTCTTCATCTTATTTTCATTTAGAGGCCATTGCCCAAGAGAAATGTTTCTCTAGCCTTACCAGTTCCTTCTGTCAAGGCTAAACACCTCTTTTTCTCTCCTTATTTTGTTCTCTCTCTCTCTCTCTCTCTCTCTCTCTCTCTCTCTCTCTCTCTCTCTCTCTCTCTTTTCTGTCTTTCTCCTACTCTCTTGTTCTTTCTGTATCTCTTTCTCTGTTCAATTTGGTTATACATCAAGTTATTATTTGACACTTGGCACTGGAAAACATGGAGAGCGAAAGAGAGAAAAAGAGAAACAAGATTCAATGATAAACATAACAATGGGAGGCAGGCTTTGACTTCACCTAAAGAATAATTCATTTTATAGTCAATTATTTATTCCTCTATTTTCACATATATTTTTTGAAATATTTTTTATCTCAATTTTGATTACCTTTTTTTATTCTATCTTCCTATATTTTTGATTATCAAATAGTCGGAATACCATCTATCAAATGGTGTGGCTCAGAAGGTGATTATAATGTCATGGTTATGGAATTATTAGGTCCAAGTTTAGAAGATTTGTTCAACTTTTGTAATCGAAAATTTAGTTTAAAGACTGTACTACTGCTCGCGGATCAATTGGTGAGTTTTTTGATGATATTCCCCTTCACTTGACCCTGCTCTCTTTCTATCCCATTTTCCATCATCTTAATCATCTTCAACCTTATATTTCATTTTCCTTATATTCTTATTTTACCCTATCAGTTGTTTCTGTTCTGCCCATTATTATTTACTGAACTTAGTTGAGTTGCAGTTGGTTGAAATTATAATGATGATTGGAGAAGAAGGAGGATTGAAATGAAAGGAAGAGAAAGAAAGAGAAATAAAGAAAGAAGGAAGGAAGGAAGGAAGGAAGAGAAAGAAAAAAGGGAGATAAATTGCATGTAGTAGTTTTTACCATCCCAGGCAGAAAATGCTGAAGATAATTCGTTGAAGTACTTCCTGAAATCTCCTCTCCTTCAGTAACTCGTGCCAATCTCCAGCCTGTACCGCTATTCTTTCATCAACATGAATGGCGAGGGGCACAAAATATAGATATATAGTGAGTGAGTGAGTCAATGAGTGAGAGCTAAAGAAGATGATTTTTCCTCTCATTTCCTGTTTTATTTGTTGATGCCTTGTTTGCTTTTTTCTCTCACTTCTCTTACCCTTATGCGTTCTTGTTTACATGATTATCACCTAACAACTTACAAATTGTTCTCTTTTCTCTCTCTCTCTCTCTCTCTCTTTCTCTCTCCTCATTAGATCCATAGAATAGAATTTATCCATGCTAAAAGTTTTATTCACAGAGATATCAAGCCTGATAACTTCCTCATGGGCCTCGGGAAGAAGGGAAATCTTGTATATATTATCGACTTTGGCCTTGCCAAGAAATATCGCGACAGTAGATCCCTTCAACACATCCCTTACCGTGAAAATAAAAATCTGACTGGAACTGCCCGTTATGCTAGTATCAATACACATTTAGGAATTGGTAAGAATAACTCATACTCTCATGGAATGATGATTAGTGCCAGGAAAAAAAAAGACTTAGCTAAGCTTTTGCTAATCCAGTTCAAGTTTATCTTCATCACCAACATAAGAAGCATTCATAAACTATTCTCAGTCATACTTTATAACATGAAACTTCTAACCTAGTTTAAGCTTACTTTTTTTCTTTTGAACTATTTACTGTCGTACTTAATTAATTATCCATTTAATAATTATCATAGTAACTTCATAACTCAATTTACTAATTAACTGTCGATTTTTATTTATCTTTCCTTCTAATGATCAGAACAAAGTCGACGGGATGATCTTGAATCTCTTGGTTATGTCCTTATGTATTTTAATAGGGGTAGCCTTCCCTGGCAAGGCTTAAGAGCGGCCACCAAACGCCAAAAGTATGAGCGAATAAGTGAGAAAAAGTTAACTACACCCGTTGAAGAGCTCTGTCGAGGATTCCCGTCCGAGTTTGCTACATACCTAAACTACTGCAGAAATCTCAAATTTGAAGATAAGCCAGATTATTCCTATCTAAGGCAACTGTTAAGGCAATTGTTTCATAGACAAGGATTCACTTACGATTACATCTTTGATTGGAATCTGCTTAAATTTGTAAGTTTTAATCAAGTGCAGTAATTAACTTATTATGCACTTTCTCAGTATCATTTTGGCTTTAAAGCTTAACTTGATTTAAATTTTAACGCTTTTTTTTCTTCTTTCTTTAATCAATTTCGTCAATGAATTACCATCCAGGGTAAAAATCGTCCTCAAAATGTTAAAGAAGAACAAGGTGAACCTGGCATCGTCACTGGCGGTGTTGATGTTGAGGGTGGAGGAGGTGGCGATGGTACAGCCGGAAGTAATGTTGGCGTTGGAGTGGGTGGTATTCGAGGTAGGTTCGATTTCAATGGTAGGCCTCCTTGCGAAGGTGTTCGAGGTGATTTTAATGCTAAGGGTACTGTTGATGGTGCTCGAGGTAACTTCAATCCTAGGGTCGAAAATCTTCGAGGTGACTTTAATGGTAGGGGCCCTGTTGATGGTGCCCGAGGCAACTTCGGTCCAAGGGGTGACTTTAACGCTAAGGGCACAGGTGAAGGTGTAATTGGAACTAGTAATCCTGAAATTGATCGTCGCCTATCATCATTACAACAACCTATTCTCCATGATCCTGAAAATAGAAATATACCACTTGACCTTCGACCCATCCCAATGGTTTACAATTCTAGAGGATTCGATGCCGGTCCATTACCAATACCCAGCGGAAGCAACTCATCAGTACCAACATTCATTCCTCCTTCAAATGGCTCTGGGATGATAGGAGCATCAGCAGGTGAAATGGGGGCAACTGCACCTCTCACCAAAAGGAATTTGCGTACAAGTACAATTTTTGATTAAATTTAACTATTTTACACCAAAAATAAGGAAACTACCAATTACTAAAAAAACACAAAATCACAAAATCTTAAAGCAAAAAAACTCAACAAATTTCATGTCAATTTCTACTTCGATTAACAAATTACTATCAATTTTCCGTCTCTTAGATCATTTGAGTTTTCTTGCTTGAATTTTGCAATAATCATCACCTTTCAATTAACTTAGCCCTTTTTAAATCAATTCATCATCATCATAATGAGATAATCATTATCATCATTACACTATTATCGTGCCTAGTCAGTCAATCATCAAAACATAAACATGAAAGATTGAAAAAAAAAGTTGAAGAAAAAATTAACCCGATTTAAAAGTAGTAAATAAGAGCAAAATATACTTGGATATACACTTATATCAATTAACTAAATTACTAATAATCTCAATTAATTGCTCGATGTATTATAAATGCATCTTGGAAAATAATTATCACAAGAAAAAACTCTCGCGGTCTCAATAGACTCTTGACTATTCATAATGATAACTAAATCGTAACCATTAATTTTTCACAATTAATCGGATCTCTAATTTCTTAATCATCATCAATAACATCATCTTATTATTGATCATAAATTCTAGTCTCTTTGTTTTTCCATCAGTTTCATTTACAATCTAATCTCTGAATTAGTTGTTCTTAATTATTATCATTGTTTCCTAATCATCTCTCTTGATTTACCTTTTTATTCATTTGATTTTTTTCTTTCTATTCTTTTTTTTTTCTCTCACTTCTCTCAACTATCTCTCATCAATCAATTAGGACAGAAGAATATTTGATTTCTATCGATTGACGGAATTATGACGATTAACTGTTAGGAATTGGTAAAGTTTTCTGGTAACCCTGATGCGAGAGAAAAAAGAGGAAAACAATTTAATGAAGATGAAGATTAACAATTAACAAAGAATCAAATTAACCACCAACAATCATCAACTCAACACAAAAAATCACAAACAATTAAACAATTAAACAATTCTAACCTCAAAAGTTCAGCCTAACATCTGATTGTAAATAATATGAAAACAAAGAGACAAAGACAACGAAAGTAACGATGATAACAACTGATGATGATAACGAACAGGAAAAGGTTGACCTGACCTCATAATTGACACAGGAAAATGTCCATATAAAAGTGACCATCATGAAACACAAGGTAATCACTTGAAAAACTCAAGTTACACATGATGAAATTTAAATTGTACATTTGAGCAATTTAAATATTTTATGCTTTTCATAGCAATTAACTTACACTAATCAACTAGACTTGCACACAACATTTTCCAGCAAAACTTGTTTTATTAATAATATTTTTTTTTTATATCAACGAAGGTTAAAATCAAAGTCAAACTATATGATTATTAATTGAATAGTAATCGTTAGTGTTGTGTTGAAATCAATGAATTGTGATGAGTATTTTTTTGCTCACCAAGGTTCATTATATTGTTAAAATGAAACAAGATTGACTAAGGACAATTAACTTTAGTTTGACCTTCGTTGATAAATATTATTAACAACGATAATTATAGTAGGATAATATTTATGATAATAATCAACAGCATTTCGCCAACTATGATAATATTTTTTTTTCCATAACAATTTGATTAATAATAATTTTTCCATAATTTTTTTCTTATTCAATTTGTTTATATTTTTATCACAGTTAAGAAGATATTGAAAACTCACAACAACAACAACAACAATGGACAAGGAAGGAAAAGGAAACAAAATGTTGGAATTGGAAAATATTGAGAACGCAAAATGATGAGATGATTTGATGATGATAAACTTTTGATGATATTTTTATGCCGATTGTAAACAATTTTGGTTAATTAGGATGGTTAATTTCAATTTGAATTGTCTGTTAAGTGTAACTCATGTTGATCCAGTTTTGACTTTTACAATATTCACCCTGAAAAACATTCATAATGACACAGATATTCAACATGTCAACCTTGGAATCGAGCCAATTATAAATAAAAATGTAAATAACATCGACAATAACAACAACCATGGGGTTGCCTTTCGTCATCAGTATCATCATCATCATCATCATCTCTATCGTCATCATCTTCATCTTCATCGTCTACTCAACATTTTATCATCAACAAAAAAAACTGACAACTTGAAATACCTTTAGAAATGACCTTCTTTGTCCTTTTGTTATTGTTGACATGAAATAACCACATCAACAACAAACTAATAATGATAATCTGAATGAACAAATTATTTCAAGGTCAGCGTTACTTTTACTGTCTTCATCATCAGCATCTTCATCTTGATGGATTACATCATCACCATCATCAACAAAATGTTTATCATCAAGCAACAAGAATAAAAGAAACCAAACAAAAGAAAGTATATATAAAGAGTAAGAAAATAGGGAACCACGAAAATGTCCAAACCTAAATTGACCCAATTTCAACCAGAAATCACCAAAGTTTCAAATTTGGTCCAATTCATTTCTATTTCATCATCATCTCCATCATCACCCATAACAATATCATTCACCGGGAAAACAAAAATATGAACACACAACCAACATTCAACCAAGGAAACATCAATTAAAAAATGAGGATCAACAATCAATTGATGAACAAACTACAATTCAATATCTCAATTAATTATTACAACAAAAAAGAATCAATTTTTCTGTTAATTAATTGTTACAACAAGTGACTCTCTTTTCAAATTGATTGTAATTTAGTTTTTTTTTCTCTCTCTCTCCTCACTTGTTATCAACAATTAATCAACAACAATTAGTTTTGTAGGACAAAACTGTTCATGAACAAAAATCCTTTTTTTTCTGATTGTTGTTACCTCAGTATCCTTGTTGTTGATTATTAACCTTGTCCTAGAAAACAAAACAAATTGAATTAATTAATCAACTTGAATATGAAAACAATTAATATCTCGAGCCAAAATGCAACCAAATCAATTCTTGCTGTAATTAAATTTCAATTTGTAATAATTTGATACAATGTAATAATAATAATTTCAATCTATTGTATACTCACTGTTGATTATTATTACAATTAACCTGCAATTTGATCACAAATAATTATTATAAAAAAATAGTAAAAAACAATGTTACAAGAATATCTTAATTATGATTATAACAATTATTTAATTGATCAACTAAATACTGAGAATAGTTAATTATTATACCAAATGAGACAGTCAATTGTAACTCCAAGGCAATCAACTTTAATTCAGTTCCTTATTGCTAATTTATACATTAATCGTTAATTGTTATTATTTTTGTTTTCTCATAACAATTAAGCTTTAAATTAGGTTTCATAATAATAATAATGTTTCAGTTAATTACTCTCATCTAATATTTAGACTTTTTGAAAACAATTTAATTGGCTAATTTGATTTTCATCATTGAAATTGTTTACATCATTTCAACAACCAAATTAACTTTCAAAGTTCAAGTTTAATTGTGATTAAATTGATTCTCATGATGGTTTTATGGTTAACACTCATATTCATTGTTTCAAATTACAATCAATTCAAATGATGACAATCAAAATTGTTCACCCAGTGAAATATGAAACTGAATTAAAGCCAATTAGTAACAACTATTTATAGCAAAATCATTGATTACAATCCGATTGTTGTTATTATTTTGTTTCGTATCATGTTTACTAAATGGATTAATTAATTGATTCACTTGAGGATAATTGGTTGAAAAAAATGATCGTTAATTGTTACTTTTAGCTTAGTTTAGATACCGATTGATAGACAATTAATCTTTTTTCTCTCTCATTAATTAAGGATCAGATCGATAACTAAATTAATCTTAATTTCATCAAAAGGGATTCCTAAATTTTGTTCAAAATCTACAGGTAACTCACCTTGATAATCTGATTGAAATACGATGATAATTTAACATGTACGTCAAATAAACTAAATTAATTACGTCAACAATTAGAAGATCACCAATCTAATTGTTTTAATTAGTAGCAATTTAATTGTAACCATCATCAGCAAAAGTGTTTAAAGATGATTCAATGAAGCAAAATTAGTAAGTAATCAATTAAGTACAACAATTTGATTAACTTTTGCAAATTAAATTTTAAATTTAACTCATCAATTGATTAATTAGCAAGCCAATCATTTGGTTAATTACTTTTACATAACCTTTTACCATGTGAGTACAAACCTAATTATCAATGAAAATTAGTAATTAGCTTCTAACTTATTAGATTTGAATAAATTTCATTCAAAAAGTAATGAAAATGGCCAATAATTATTCAATTGATTAATTCATGATCAACACTAATGATCATCAATTGATTATGAAAATTGTTGATATTAATGATAATACGATGATGTAATCATTTATTTGCTTAATTGTTATTCAAAGGGACATTGGATATGGTCAATGTTGATGATAATAACTCTGTAGCTTTAATATTAAACTGACCAATTGAAAAAAACATCAATGACCATGAACCAGGGGATGAGAACAGGAATGAAACTGAATTCAAGGTTATCATATGTAACGGTCAAAGGAGATGAGAAGATAACTCATCCTAAATTTGATCATGGAAAAGATGATGATCGTCATGATGATGATGATGATTGGAACGTGATTATTGAGAGAGAGAGAGAGAAAAAAATGTCAACTAATCGATAAATGCAAGAGTAGAAAGATAAATTTCTTGAGGAAAAAAAGAGAATAAAAAATACATGATAAGCGAAATTTTCTCCCTCTCATGATAATATTCATGAACATTCAGTATCATGAATCGTTAGGTTTTCTTGTGAAAAATTTTGAGAAAAAACGAGAGAAAAAAATCATTAAATCGATTGTTATTACGACAATTAATCTAACTGACCGAATTTAATTGTAAACAATCAATGGAAAACATTAATGTAAAGATTATCCTTAAAATGTAATTAGATGATAATATGAAATCGATTGATTTACTTTGATCAAAACTAATCAACGATTTGAGGAAATATCAAGAAAAAAAACAAAGTTAATTAAGATGCAATCTGATTAAAAAAAACCTTTTGTGATTCTAATGGTTGATTAAGTTAATCAATCATTTTAATGGTGATGATGATAATGATGATTGTTATGTTTAAAATATGAAACACTAATTGTTATCGGAAACAATATGATTAGTTGTGTTGGTGATGATTAATTGATTAGCTGTCATTTGATGCAAATCTTTTAAGGTAAAAACCAATGGGTTTTATTTGCTCTTAGGTTAGTAAACTGGTTTAACTGATTGTCTGAGGTAATTGTGATGACTAATAACCTTTACAATTAACTTTAATCAACACAATTTTTGCATCAATTACCAGCAAGGTATTTGATGGTTGATATGAAATTTTGGATCTAATTCAAAAAGTTTTTTCGAGAGAAAAGTTTTCGAGTTTATTTTAGGTTAAAAATCATCTCTTGACGCACTAAACACTATTAAAGTCTCATCATCTTAATCATGGTGATGATAATTTATCATCATCTTGACAATTATTTGTTAATTGTTTGCCTTAATCATCGCGATACATTTAGAAATTGAAAATGGACCTTGAAAGGTAAATTGTAATGATTTGCAATTGCAACTACTGATTTAACATGTTAGTTGATCATTTACTTTGATTTTTACTCCTGATTATTGATGAAACAATTAAGTTTAGGGTTGAAGGTCACTAATTGTTAGTTAGCTTCATTTTAATCATCTGAATTATTAATCAAATCACCGGCACACCCAAAAGTGTTAACCAAAGTAAGATTATCATGATTGAGAATCATTAATAAGCAACAATGAACAAGAAAAAGTTAATCAAATCTAATAATCCACCAGACAATCAATTGATTCTTAATTGTATTTCATTCAATTAATTTAGTGACCATTAATTAGAATGGGTCAATCAACTAAACCTCCAAGTTAATTGGAGTGATAAAAATTATCAAGTGGACATTGATCACAAAGCTTAATTGTTAATTGTTTTTGATAAAAGAAAATGGAAACTTTAATCTTAATTGTTCATATAATTGATTCTTTAATTATAATTAAATATTATACTTTGTTTTCATTAAATATTTCATAATACAATCAAATGCATTTGACAATTTAATTATGATCAGCAGCATATTAGAAGTTAATTGTTGTAAAATAAATTTACAGGCAAATGTGACATTGCTTAAGTTTCTGTGGTTAATTAAATTGCATCAATTTAAACCACAATTAAATCATCGTTTTGAATATAATCATCACCATCATCATAAACATTTACATAATAATTAATTTTCTCAAACTAAATTAAGTTAATTTTCATGTCTACCAAATGAGCATAAATAACAACAATTTAGTTAAATACAAATTTAGAGTCAAACTTTGGTAATAACAATTAAATCATTGTTTTACTTATTGTTATTATATCAATACCTAATCAATAGGTCTACAATTTAACAGTAATTAACTTTTTCTCAGCCAAATTATCAATGGAGATACAAAATAGTTAATTATTGTTGTCAAATATTAATTGTAATTAATATGAGACAAACAGACAAACACCAATACAATGTATTGAAAAGTCTGATTACTTTTTTTTTCATATTTACTTTGTTTTGATTGCAAATAATCAATATAATCTATTGGATATAATTAACTTTTATCATGTAATTGGATGTTGATGATGATCAGTTAATATGTATTGATTATCATCACCAAGATGACGATAATTTCATGATGATTTAAAGGAATAAGGGAATTGAAAGTTACCTTGAAGGTTCACAGAGAGACAGAGATAGAATATAATTAGGAGAAAAAGGAAAAGAAATTGACAAAATTTCTGCTAATTGTGATGTTAATTAACGACAATTTAGATATAGAAAATTAAGCACAACAATAAATTCATCTATTGTTTGTGGCGAAATTAATATTTGGCTCGGACTAAGCGAGAAAATTGAACAAAATGGAAACTTTCTGAGAAAATGTTATATAATATTTACAACGAATGAAAATGTTGCAATGATGAGAGATTAAGTTAATCATTTCCTGAATAGAAACATTTTCATGTTTTCATGGGAAAAAGGAAAAGGATAACAAGCTAATCATGATGATGAAGAATAGAGATTAATTGAGAGGGAGAAGGAAGAAAAGAATAAGAAAAAGAAAAAGTATTATCACAATTGTAGTTTTTCTTTTCTCTTTTCTTCTTCATCTTCATCTTCTTCTTCTTTCTTTGCATCATTTTCATCTGTAATCAGAAACGATAACTGAATCATCCTCATCATCATAATCATCTTGTTGTTTGTTTAAAGTGATTCGTCAATCATCATGTTCTCATCAGGAAGAGGTGGCCTTTTCTCATCAACGTCAACAGTGGGAACGCTCAATGAAGAGGTTGATGGTGATCTTTCAATGGTTTCCTTCATTGAATGAGTAGATGATGATGATGATGATAATTTAACAGTCGTTCCATTTGCAATTGGTGTTTCTACCGATTTACTTATTGTTGTTGATGGTGAGATCATCATTGGTGAATCATCTTCGTTTGACCTTTTCATTGATGAATTACAAGCATCATTATTGTCGATGTCACAAACAATCAACGTTGGACCATCAGAAAACTTGATCCGACCAAATTTTGATGTTATATCATTTTCACTGTAACCTGATTGATTTGATGAGCTATTTGATGAGTAACTTGAAGGAGCTTGAGACATGGTTACCGAGGCCATAATAGTGATTATTGAGAAATGGATAATGGATTAGTGAGGTTAGCGTCTTATTTTATGTAAACAATTGATATACTTTGATGATGATATTGATTTGAGTTATTAACCAAGAAGAAGATGAGTAAACAAAACCAATAGAGAGTAATTCAATTAGAGATATGGTTATGATAATGATGATGAAATCTTTACCATGGATTAGGTGAGTGGATTAATGAACAGGTTAACGATTGAGCTTTTCAATTGACAATATGGATTAGGAATGTTGTTGATTTTGATGGAAAATGTTTGGCAATAAGTCACAAAATTATCATCGGTTATTAATTGTTTTCGTTGTATCTCCTTGTGGTTCGAGGTGTCCAAGGTATCGAAAGAGTCACAGTAATGTTAATTGCGATTGAAATTGTTGTAGAAATTGTCAACTGTTGGGAAATTTAAATTAAATGGGAGAAAACAATCAACCAAAATGCTTAATGGTTGAGACAAAATGAGAAACAAATTGTAAACAAACAAGAGAAACTGTTGAGATTAGATTGAGAATAGAAATAGATTATGATATTTACTTAATTACTGTTGTTGATTAAACTTGCAAAGTCAAACTGAATTTAAGAAGACAATTAATATCACTATTTATAAATAAGTAGAAAAAAAATCACCAAATATCAGAGAGAGAGAGAGAGAGAGAGAGATGAAAAATCATCAGAATAAAGTGTCAGAGTTACTTTGGTTACCAAGGGTGGAAGAAGATGAGGATGATAAGGGAGCAAAAGGAAATGTCGACAGAGAAGAAGAAAGATAAATATTGAGACAGAAAAATAGAAAGATGAAAAAGAGAGAATGAATGAAAAAGAAAGAGAAGAGAAAGAGAAAGAGAGAAGATGACAAGATGATTAGTTTACAGAATTGAAATTCTGAAAGGAAACCAAATTAACAATTAGATAATCTTTCACTTTTCCTGTCTGAGAAAAAGTAAACAATTAATGGTGATAATTAATAATCGATTAATTTACCGGAGATTCAATTGAATTTTCCAATTGTAAACAATGTTCATCATTCAATTTGGTGATTAATCTGATTGATCTCAGTGATTGATATTCATTGAAAGAGTTACTTTTCTTGTTCCAAGGAAGTTAAATTGTGATGTATAACTTGATTACTTATAATTATCATTAGTTAATTAACCAGAAGTTGACAAGTTCCATGATTTAATAGAACTTTTTTTTTTAAAAAAAGAAAACCTTGTCTTCTCATTTACGTCAAACATAATTAGTTAATCAGTTGGTTAAAGGTACAAATTGGGAAAAGAAATTAAATCTTTGAGTCTGTTGACATTTTCAATCAATTTCGAGAATTTTTTTCTGGTTAATTTTTTATTCACAAAACCAATCAAAGTTAAATCAGCTCATTGGCCTTAAATTGTTCACATATTAATAGTTTAAGTCTCTTGATCATCATCTCAACGAAAAGGTTAATTGTTGTTGATTAGATTTGGTAAATTGATGCTCTTTGATTGTGGTTGATGAACTTTAACCGAGAAAATATTTTGTTTACATTAATGGAAATTGAGAAGAAAAAAATTACAATTTATATACTAATTGTGACGTCTATTTGTTCATGACAATTAAATTTAAATTTCTTCTCCTCATCTAATTTGAATGACGTTTTAAATTTTTCCATATTACATTCAAATGGAACTAATCAAGATTAAGATTAGTTGAAGATTATCCAACAAGTTAATCCAACATCAACAATAAGATCAATCTATGAGATTATATTTATTGTAGAAAAAGTTATGGACCTAAATTTAGTTTTAATTTAATTGTCAACATGAAAACTATGGTAAAAATATGACAGAGAAAATGATTACAAGTTAATTAGAGATTATTAATAACCATTAATTGGGTTACAATTGTCGTCAATGGGAAAATAACGGTAATATTGAAGCTCAAGGAAACAAAGCAAAAAAACCTCAATGATTATTGAGGTAGAGATGAAGATGAGATTGTAGTTGATGATGATGATGATGATTGACTGTAGGTACTCATAGTAATCATGATGAGAAATCATTTCCATGAATGGTAAACAATAACAGCGTCATAATCATCATTTGAGATCAATTGAACTCTCAATGTGAGTTTTCATCTTTTTTTCAATTGAGAATTAGAAAAGACAAAAGAAAAATGATTTTCTATTATTTTTTTCTCTTTCTTTTCTTTCTTTAAGAGGGTCATTTTATACGTCAATTACTTACTCATTCAAGTTACTTGCTCATTAAATCGTAACCTTGATTTAATTTGAAGGATAATATTATTTACTATTATAAGATGCTAAGTTAATCACAGTTATAAATATACTCTGGTGATCATGATCATTGATCAAATTTTTGGGAATTTTTTTTTACTTTGGTCAAAAAGTTCTAATCACATCTCATAGATGGCGCTCGTTGTTCTTACAATTAAAGTTACGATTTTAATTGAGTTTCTTCAATTTTTATGACTTTTAATTGTGTTTTAGGCAGAAAAATGAGAGAAATTGATAAAAATGGGATCCTAGTCTATCATTAAGTCAATTTTTCCAAGATAATCAAGGTTGAAGCTGAGTTTTCATCATAATTTCCAAGATAATCAATGACAATAAAACCAAATTAGCAATTATAATGAGAACTAGTTTATAATAGTTAATTGTTTGTTGGTATAATTATGTAGTCTAAGAGTTTAATTGGTTACATTTTATCATTTTGTTTTTCGTATGATACATGTAAGGTTTTTATTATTTTGATTCGATTATTCAATCGAAGGGATTTTCTTCATTTTCTGATTATCGAAAAAGTTTCTCGAACTTTTAATCGGGTTAAATATTCATTTATCAATAAATGGAAATGATTGTCACTCATGTAATTTGTTTTCTTTTATCAAAAACTTTCAGTTCTTCTTGAGTTAATCATGTTAATCTTTCAATTATCATAGATTGTTATGAGATTACATGTGAAGATTTTTTTCTCCTTATTAAATCAATTTCCATGTGTAAATAAATTCACTGAAATAATAATAAAGAGAAGAAAAAATTTTCACCTTAATATTATGATTCTAAGTTTTTACATGATAATAGATCAATGATTCAGAGGCTGAGCAAATGTTCAAACTGAATCATAATAATAGGGATCAGGAATATCGATCCAATGAAATGGATCGATAAAGAAAAAGAAAGAGAAACTTCATGATATTATCATCATCATCATCATCTTCTTCTTCTTCTTCCTCATCATCATCATCAAGGTTTCATTTTATCAATGCCCATGCACATGAATTTATCTCCATGCGCCTGGAAAAGATTCAGGAACAAGAGAAAAAAAAATGTTCATTGTGATGTAATGTTCAGTGTTCCTTTATCCCAATTCTGAGGATTCTGAGTTTTCTGAGTGATTCCAATGTGATTCATACCCTGAAAAAAGTAAACAGGGAATAATTCAAGTTACTGTAAACAAATAAAAACAACAAAACAAAAGGTGAAACTGGATTAACATTAGAAATCAAGTGAATGTTTCTCATTGTGTGTGTTAATTGTGAAGCAAATTCAATCAGGATTATGGATAAATGAGTTTAATCAGTTAATTTCTGTCTAATTATGTGGTCACCGGTTCAAACAATTGGAAGGGTGATTGAAGATGATTTCGCTAATTGTGAAGAAGCTCCTAATTCACGAAATAAACACGCGATGTGTACCACTGCCAATGGACACATTTACCTTATGGGAGGTCGAAGTAGTAATCGACCTTTGAAAGATCTTTGGAAACTTGATCCAGGTAAGAATGACAATCAATTCTAATCACAATAGAAATCATTTAGTAAACAATTAATTATATTACACATATGATGTTTACGTTTCAAGTAACGTGATAGTTAATTGTTGTTGCAGCATTTTTAGTGCACAAGAAATGGTTCAAACCGGTATGAGTTTCACTTTGATCCAGTTTGACAATATTGCAAAAGGCAAACTTTTGATTATGATACCGACTAATTAGATTAATTAATTAGAGATATATCAATCGAGAATTGCCTGATAAACTACAATTGTTTCACTTTTTCATTTTTCAGGTCAAAATACATGGGAGGAAGTTAAATGCTGGGGTGATCAACCTCCTAATCTTCAGGAGCATACAATGATTTCTTGGAAGGTAAAACCAATTCAAATCACTCACTAATCACTGACTAGTTACTTAATCTAATCAATTGTCTTATCTCATCATTTACAATTAAATTAAAAAGGACAAACTGTATGTTTTTGGAGGTGAAGTTGGTTTCTCAAGTTCAACTGAAACTCCTCTTTGGATACTTCATTTAGGTGAGTTGATTGATTTGATTTGATTCAATTGTGAGAAACTAGATTATGATTAAGACTCATTTGCATGATAAATATATCATTTGATTGGTTCAAACCTGCCTTACAATTAAAACTGTTGATTCATGATAATTTTCATGACAATACAAATCGATAGATAATCAACTTTCAAATGAACCTCAATCATGTTTAGATTAACAAACTCAAAAGGATCCCAAATGTTATCTGACAATTTAATCATGATGGTTTGAAATGATATTCATCAGTTACATCATGGTAACTATTAAATTATTAATTATGTCAGGAAAACAATAGAAATTAATTAACTCATAGTAAACAAAAAACAATTGACATTTGAATATCCTTGCAATAATTAAATGATTTAATCAGTGATTAACACTCATATTTACAATGGTGTATCAAGGTAACGGTTAATTTTTATGAAAATAAATTCTGTTGATTATTATCAATCCTATCACAGGAAATTTACCTTAATCACCCTGGTTACTATTTTGAGAAATGATTGAAGTTAATTGAGGTAAAAGTTTGATGAATGGTTAACAATTTATCAGACAAACAATTAGATTTAATTTAGTTTTCATTTCATTTTGAAAACTTTTCTTCATGTAAATAATTAAGTGAAAACAATTGAACTGAATATGAATTTTTCTTGTCTTTATTACTACTCAACTCATGATGATTTATATTCACTTACAAATTAATTTAACTGAATCATTTCACTGATTATATTATAATCTAATTGTGATTTCAATAAGATGACTCAGACTTAGATGATTTATCATCATGATATATATTTATTATCATCTTGATTCATTTCCGATGATTTTTTTTGTTGCCTTTGGATTCTGTTCATTGATTTCACCAAAGTAAATGATTTGAAACAATCAATTGATGATCTGGAGTAAATTCAACAACAATGATGATGATGAAGATGAAGATAATGATGAATCAAAAGAAGATAAGAGAAGACATTTTCTCTAGCATTCTCTATTTTGAAATTATCTTCTGGGAATCATTTGGATTTGACAGTAATAATATAATACTATTATCATGAATTACTCAAGGATCTTCATGGTAACTCAGGGTAATCTGTTCAATTGAATTTACTTTTTTTGTTTCAAATTTTTCTGTTTCTTCCTGTTTACTTTTCTATTATCATTATTATTATTTTCAATCAACCATAATGGTTAAGATAATAAGTTGAATCAATTGGATGAAACAATTAGATTCAATTTAAATGGGAACCAGAACAATCAACATGATTGGAGATTTTCATTTACCAGAGTTAATTGTTGTTACTACAGAATACAAATTACTTTGACTTGAAGGCAAAATGTTTCCTAATGTTTTGGTTAATTATTTCAGTTAATTGTCACCATTAAGTTGATCATTTGAATAATAAATTACTTGTGAATCAATTAGTTGCCAATTTTCATTTTCTTGCTAATGGTTAACATCAGTTGTAATCTAATTAAAAGGTTAATCATTTTAATTGATTACTATCAAATATGTACTGGTTAGTTTTAGTTAATTTGATTAACTTTACTGCCAATTTTATGATTACAAAGTTTTTTAAATGGTCACAATTAGTTGATTGTGATATTATTATGATGGTTGAAAATCAATTTGATCGTTTATAATATTAAACTAATTGTCTATTATTGAAAAGTATTACTATTATTTGATATCAGGAAACAATAAATCAAAATGATGAGAAAGACAAACAATCAAATTTGATTGATGATGATGATGATCAGTTGTTGATAAAAGTTTAATTAAATCATTTTCCTAACTGTTTATTATTGAATAACATCAAATGAGGTGGTGAAACTGATTAACTGAATCCCTGGTGATGGTTAAACAATCAATTGAAACACTAGCTAATTAATTAATTGAAACTTTTTCAACACAAATTCAATTGTACAATTAAAAATCAGGGAAACATGAAAAAAGTTCAACAACTTGATTAACTTTGGAGGAAACAAACTTTCCTAACCAATCAATTGGATCGATATCATTTTTAGGCTAAGTAAAAATGGAAGTAGACAAATTTATCGATCACAATTAAAACTAATTATCTATTGAAAATAAATTGCTGGCAAGACTAAACTACAATCGAAAATGACTAACAATTAGTTAGTAATTAAATTGATCAATAAACGAATAAAAAAAGACTTGAAACTGGATCAAAGACATTGAGGATACGAACAATTTATCAACATTTACTTTCTCTTGTTATCGATTCTTTTTATCATCTCTCTTTTTTCACATCATTATCTTCATCATCATCATCATCATCATCATCATCATCATCTTATCCATCACCTTGCAAATCTCCTCTATCATCTTCATCATTTTCTCTCTTTACTTTCTTTATCCTCATCATCTTTTATAAGGATGAAGATAAACTCCCAGGCTCCTTGTTAATATATTCTAGATTGTTGTTCATTTGATTGTTTGATGAACAATTTAATCAGACTTTCCAGAACTCTCATCATTATCATCTTCCTCTCATGATATAAACATTTTCCTCTTATTTTATCATCATGATAAAACATTGAGACTTTGATGTGTTCATGTTCATTTTTTTCAATGGCTTTTGTATTATTTTCCTACAAATTATATCATGACTTTAATCACAATTAATTGTCTATCAAGTTTTCCTAATCGTGTTAATCAATAAGCATCAGTAGATAACTATTTAACTCAATCATCATCCAAATTAACTCGCTGTCAACAAAAATTAATAACTTGACGTTTACCAAATTAAATTAAATCTTATAATCATAAAATTCATCAGCTAAACCATTTCAATTAACAAAACTGCCTCAAGGTAAAAGTTTCATCAAAGTCCAAGTTAACTATTCATTACAATTAGAAAATCATTTGTAAAATTATCTTGAACAATTAATCCCCTCTAAGGTTTGATAATGAGTAGATACTATTTTTCAATTGATAATTAAATCAACCAACACAATAGATTTCTATTATCAAGTATGTGATGATAGTTAACAATCAACTGAATCAAGGTGTTGTCCAACAATTAGCAATGTAAATCCAATCAGAAACAGATACACACCCAAAAAGTAATAATTTAGATTAGCTAATATCTAATCACTTGGTTCCTGGTTTAATTGCTATTCTCAAATTGTATTTGATTGTAAATGCATCAATGGTCACTACTCATGTAACAATAACCTGAGATTATCTGATGATAAAAGGTGATTAATTAGTGAAGAAAAACAATTACAATGATAATTGTCATGACAATGTTTATAATCAATATTGAAATTAGATACAATGTCTCTGATTGTTGTTTGAATTTCCAATCTGATGTCCAGTGCCCTCGAACTGGTGTTTTACTAATAAACGGGAAGATAATTACGAGTGAGATCAACAACTTTTTTGGCATTCGGACGCTTTATCACATTTTGATCTATTAATCGCTGGACAAAAATGATCTCATTTCGTTTCAAATAGTTCTTAGCATCATCGGGTAGTTCAAAAAAGATTTTAGTATTGTATTTTTTATAAAACTTTGATAACTTTTTATGAGTCTGAACGGGCTTGTAGCACATGACAAAGTAAATCAGTCCAAGTTGATAAATATCGTTCTTCTGAAGATCACTGAACTTAGTTTTTCTTGAGGTCGATCTAGGAGGGATAAGTATCGATTTTCTAAGAGAAAGTCCACCAATCTTTATACGATCTTTTCCATATAAGAAGATGTTATCAAAATTGAGGTTCATATGAACGATCTGTTGCTCATGTATGTAAATCAAACCCAAAACTATTTGGATAAACAATTGTCGACGACGATGATATTCAAATAGTTCCCCGTTTACGATCAAATCCTGAAGATTTTCATCTTTGTAACATTCCATTTGAATGCAAAGAGTCTGAGTTCCGAAGTTCGTATCAGATGATGTATCCAGACCTTCATTTGATTCAATTGAATTTTCACTCTGCTCTTTTTCAATCCATACACCGTAATAACTTATGCATCAAGATAAAAAAGAATGCTAGTTAAATATCGAGCAAATGTTAGAAATATCAACGTACTTACCTAACCACATACAAATTGTCAAGTTCGACAAGTCGACTGGCCTCTTTGAAACTTTTATCTGATGTTATTCGGACTTTCTTGATAACATAACGGTTATGATTACGTTTAGAAAGACCTTTGAAAATATTATCTGTTATAAACGATAAAACTTCAAAGTCACTTAAACGAGAACCCTCAATGAAATGAGTGATAGCCAATATCTTCTCGAGACTCTCGATTTGCTTTTCCAGTTTCCTATTGGTTATTTTGAGACTCTACAGGAAAAAAAGTATATTTTGTCTTAACTCTTTGAGAATTGATTGAATTTATACTTACGGAGATTTGGGTTTCAGTAATTTTTTGCTTCTTCTTCAGTTCATCCAAATCTTTGGTTAAATTATCAATAATTGACGAGTAGTTGACATTATTATCCATAGTTAAAACACATTCAATTAAAACACTTTTCAGCTAATAATAACTAAGGAAAATAACCCTTTAGTATTGGTATAATTCATGGAAAGGTAAATATTGATTAGATTCAATTCAAAACAATACAATCTTATTAGTTACAATCATAACACACCTCAAGGTTAATCAATTGACTCTTTACCCTGCAACTTAAAAGTAACCAGAGACCAGAAAATTAACCCAATTATTATCACTTTAATTTGGTGATACCAACAATTAGCAATCAAAAGACAAAATAGATTGTAAAAATAACTAAAGTAAATTATCAATAACTAACTTTTCACCTTTACAATAAATGGTAAATTTTATTGATTAGATAAAAATTTTAACAATTGAATTAGTATCTTCTTTGGGTTTGTATTGATAATCAAATCATTTAACACAATAGATTGCTATTATCAAGTATGTGATGATAGTTAACAATCAACTGAATCAAGGTATTATCCAATAATTAGCAATGTAAATCCAATCAGAAACAGATACACACCCAAAAAGTAATAATTAAGATTAGCTAATATCTAATCACTTGGTTCCTGGTTTAATTGCTATTCTCAAATTGTATTTGATTGTAAATGCATCAATGGTCACTACTCATGTAACTTAGATTTACAATAACCTGAGATTATCTGATGATGGAAGGTGATTAATTAGTAAAGAAAAACAATTACAACGATAATTGTCATGGAAATGTTTATAATCAATACTGAAAATAGATACAATGTCTCTGATCATTTGAATTTCCAATCTGATAATTAAATGGTAAGATAAGTTAGAGCGAGATCAACAACTTTTTTGACATACGGACGCTTTTTTACATTTTGATTTATCAATTGCTCGACAAAAGTTATCTCATTTCGTTTCAAATGGTTCTTAGCATCATCGGGTAATTCAAAAAAAAATTTAGTGTATTTTTTATAAAACTTTGATAACTTCTTATGAGTTTGAACGGGCTTGTAGCACATGACAAAGTAAATCAGTCCAAGTTGATAAATATCGTTCTTCTGAAGAAGGCCGAACCTAGCTTTTATTGGGGCCGATTTATCGGGAATAAGTATCGACTTTCCAAGACAAAGTCCACCAATCTTTATACGATCCTCTCCATCCAAGAAAATATTATCAAAATTGAGATTCATATGAACGATCTTTTGCTCATGGATGTAAATCAAACCCAAAACTATTTGGATAAACAAGTGTCGACGACGAGGATAATCATCTAGTTCACCATTTACGATTAAATCCTGAAGATTTTCATCTTTGTAACATTCCATTTGAATGTAAAGAGTCTGAGTTCCGAAGTTCGTATCAGATGATGTATCCAGACCTTCATTTGATTCAATTGAATTTTCACTCTGCTCTTTTTCAATCCATACACCGTAATAACTTATGCATCAAGATAAAAAAAGGATGCTAGTTAAATATCGAGCAAATGTTAGAAATATCAACGTACTTACCTAACCACATACAAATTGTCAAGTTCGACAAGTCGACTGGCCTCTTTGAAACTTTTATCTGATGTTATTTGGATTTTCTTAATAACATAACGGTTATGATTATGCTTAGAAAAGGCTTTGAAAACATTATCCGTTATAAACGATAAATCTTCTAAGTCAGTTAAACCAGAACCTTCAACGAAATGAGTGATAGTCGATAGCTTCTCAAGCTTTTCGATCTGAACTACAATTCTATTAATTGTTTTTAGTTTCTATAGGAAAAAAGGATATAAATTGTCATTAATTCATTGAGAATTGATTGAATTTGTACTTACGGCGATTTTAGTTTCAGCGTTTTTAAGCTTCTTCTTCAGTTCATCCAAATCTTTAGTTAAATTTTCAACAATCGACGAGGTTTTGACATTATCCATAGTTAAAAAGATTCAATTAAACACTTTTCAGCTAATAATTACTAAGGAAAACAACCCTTTATTATTGGTATAATTCATGAAAAGGTAAATATTGATTAGATTAAATTTAAAGCAATACAATCTGATTACAGTCAACTGCCAGATGATGATACTCTCTCTAGAAATAGCTCAAAATTAACAAATTCATTAGCAAATCCAACTTCTATTTATTAATTATCGAGACACTTGATGGGCTTTTCTCACCAATTTATCCTTGTGAATGGCCAATACTAAATTTAATTATTTTCAAAAATTTTCAAAAAATGATCTATTAACAAAAGTAAACAGTTAAAAGTACAGCTCGACTGCCTTGGTTACAATAGAGACGCTATTTTAAGAGAGTCTCATCAGTTGACTGTTGTTACAATAATCAACTCATCTCAATATTATTTGCAATCAATTGACTATTTACCTTGCAACTCAAGTGTCAGAGACCAGAAAATTAACCCAATCACCATCACTCTAATTTGATGATACCAACAATTGTGTAACAATTATCAAACAACAGACAAAATTGATCATAAAAATTAAAGTAGATTATCAATACATTTAATTAACTTTTCACCTTTACGGTAGATGGTAAATTTTATTGATTAGAGAAAAGTTTTACCAATTGAATTAATATTTTCTTTGGGTGTGTACTTTGGGTTTTACTTTTAATAATCAATACGAGACTAAATCAAGAATCAATAAAGTTAATTGTTACATGAAATTGAGTCTCAAACAAACAAATTCTGAAAGTTGATAATTTTTAGAATATCAAATTGATAACTTTCTAATAAACAAAATCATCTTAATTGCAGGTACATGCATTTGGAGACAAGGTAATTCTGGACCAACTCGATCTAAACCCGGAACTGTGATGCAACCTTCAGGTCGTCGAGCTCATTCAGCAGTTATTTATAAAGATTCAATGCATATCTATGGTGGTTATCAGGATCTACGAGGGTCATCATCTGAATTATGGTCATTCAATTTGAGTAAGTTCCATTTACCGTTATCCTTTTCTTAGCACATTAGTTAGCAATACTTACGATTACAAGTAATTTATGAGACAGTTAATTGTTGATAGTTATTAAGTTGTACTTCTTTATGAATAACCTTTAACAAGGTTAAACTTTTCACAATGACAATTGTATATAAGATAAATTGTTATTATTTACCGCTAATTAAGTTAATCTACAACATAAATTGTCTAACATACTAAATTAATCAACTTCGAGTCAACAATTAAAAATTGTTGCGACAATTTGTTGTAATCACCATGTTTCATGTATTATTTTGTATTATTTAGATTACAATTAGATTATCCTTTCTTACCTTAATTGTTAGTTTATTATTATTTGAATTACAACCTAACAAGATCATCGGATTAGTTTAGTGTCAGGATTATCATTTGTAATAATAAATGTTACATCGTATCCTTAAATCTGCTCTGATCACACAATTAGTTAAATTGTCAACTATGAGAAGCTAAAATTTACAGTTTAAGTAATTAATAATAGAGCACAATTAATCAATCAGTTGTCAGACATTTTCTCAATATTTATAATCAAAGAAAAGGTTAATTATATGATTGAAATCAATTAACCCACTCGTGATTGTTTAATAGTATCAATGATTATTTATTACCTTAATCACGAGTCACAATTAGTCAAATAAATTAGATGATATTTATGGCAATATAATTATTAATTGCTGAAACTGTATCAGTTAATCATGTAAGATGAATAAGCACAATTTAAGTTAATCATAAGCTAGTACAACAGTTTAAAAGAAGCAATCAAAAATTAGTATCCTGGTTAATCAAAATGAAAAACTTCAACCAATTAAATTGATCAACAATCAAAACTGATTGCAATTTGTTGTAACCCCAAGTGCAACGAAAATCTAATCCTGTGGATTATTTAATTGTATCAAATGAACAAACTTAATCCATGTTAATATGATAAACGTATTTAAAAGTGATTAGCAAAGGTAATCAACTTTTAATCAAATCTAATGAGGCTATTGACATTAAAATCATTCAAAATTGATTATATATTTTTTGTTCATTCTCATTGGAAAGGCAAAGTTCACCTTTAATTGATCTGTCCAGTAGTTGGTCAGTTAACATGATTATTGAACCATATTAATGAATTGAATTGACATTTGATTCCCAAAGCAAAGGGATTTTTACTTATGTTCACTAACATGAGAAAAAAAGAGTCACCATGAAATTGTGATGATCATCAGAGTATCACCATGATATTAACAAGAATGTAATAGCCGATGAAAACTCCTTTGAGTAAAATTAATGTCCACCCAAGCTTAAAGATGACCATTCAATTTGATCGGAAGAAAAGTTCAGCAAATGTTTCATTCATCGATACAAAATAACCATGAAAGAGAAAAAAATATAATTCTAGTTACATCATAATCGATATTATGTCATTATTACCACTTCCTTGTTTATCATGTCGACTACGTGGTTGAGATCAGTTCATCTTTTCCAATAATAATAAATCAAAATTTAAAAATTCGAACTCAATTTCGAATTTTCTTTTTTCATTAAACTGAAATCGCTTTCATTTTTCATTTGACATTAGATTATTAGTTTCTTCTTCTTCTTCTTTGCCATATTATTCATTCTGTCAGAATGTCAACTTTCAATTCTGATCACATTCTGAATCTAGAAAATTCTGTGTTCAAAATCATCGAATCGAAATTCAATCATAAGGAATGATAATCAATGGGCTGAGAATGACAATCAACGCCTTCTTGATTATCGCCACCATTTAGATTAATTTGATTCTGTCATTTACAAGAAAAAAGCGTTTGAAACAATTTATTGATCCACTTGATTATCTTGATGATTATGCAAATTATCAAGAGTAATAATCATTAGAATTTAGTTGAATTCAAATGAGCACTCAGTTTAGTATTTCCATAGTTTATCATGAGTAATTTGAAACAAGGTCAGTTTCTGGTCATCATCATGACATAATTTTTCATCTTGATTGTTAATTGTAATCATTTGATTTCTGGTTTAACACAATCAAAGAGTAACCAAAAAAAACAGTTAAGTGATTTTTTCTTGCACCAAAAGTAACAATTCATCATTAACTGAACCGTTAACAGGCCAGAAACTGAATCAAAATTCAGTAACATGAGATAGTCATGAGATTACAGACCATTTAACAATAAAGAATCAAGTAAACAACAAAATAAAAACTTTTTCCAATTCAGTGAAACAATTTGAAAACACTAAATTGTAACCATAACAGTTAATATTTAACAGTTAACTTAGAATTAGATTATCATTTATAATCAATTGAAATTGTGATAATCAAATTAAAGATTAACAATCTTGAAATGGAAAAGTTAATCAGATAGATGAGTTTCTGTTATGATAAAAGTTTCTCAACATTTTGCTCGTAGTAGTTTCATGAAACTATCATGATACCAATGGAGATTCTTGAATCTGTTTTGATTAGCTTTCTATTCACCACCATGTTTCCTCTGGAATATTTTTTAATATTTTATCATGTAATCAACAAGAATATAAATATAAATGAATCGTTTTCCATTGCTGGTTAAACATGAGAATCGAGACAGAAAAAAGTGTGATAATATTTTCGAGCCTTGGAAACAATTTATCATATAAACGATGAAAACAAATGAAAAAAAAAGTTCTGGATTCTGATTGATCATCAGTCATCCTGAAACTTTTCATCCTTGTTTAAACATGGAAATAAGTTATCAGTTTTTTTGCTATTGTTGCTATTTTAATATCAACATATATTTTAAATCATTGAACATGGTTAGTAACAAGTAACGGTAATTTAAATGTGTCACAATCAATTCAAATATTTACACAATCAGCTGAACTTTTTGAGTTGTGATCATCCATTCAGGTAAAGGTAAAGAAGACGATTAAGTGATTAAGGTTGGAAAGGATAAACATTTTCATTTACATATAAATCCTATTCAAATTAATCATGTTGACATTGATAATCTGGTCGAGAAATTGATTAATCTGATTGGATTTAGGTTTTAATCAATTATTATCATCACCATGAATCAAAGATGTAAGGATTAATCAATCAAATCTCAATTTGGTGATGATAATAATAAATAATCGAGTCAGTGATAACATTTTCATTTTCTCATCCTATTAACCATCAGAATCCTATCACAATCAAAGTGAATCAGTTAATAATAATCAATATCAAGACATAGTTGATAGATAATTAATCAAACATGATGAATGAAATTCAGACATAATCATATCAAAGATGAGTTTTTGTTTCAAAGGTTAAATTGTTCACATAAATTGGTGTTTTTAGACTTGGGAAATTTTAAATTAATTGAAAACAATTAATCAATTGCAATTGATTAATTTGGTGATGATAATGAAAAGGTTTGTTTGCTAAATTGTTTGGGTTAAATAATGGATACTCTGAGTTTCTCAAATATCTCATTTTGCTGTTTTATGTTATTGTTGTGGACACATTAAGATGCTCGGAACGTATTATGATGATGATGATGATGATAAAAAAGAGGAGTGAAAGATGAGATGATGATGGGAATGAATTAAGGATGATAATGGGAGAGGTTAAGTTGTGAAAAATAAGAAAAGGAAGAGGAAAAAAAATATAAGATGAAGACTTTTGGTCAATATGCTGGAAGAAGAGGAGGAACCATTGAGAGATCAGGGAGGAATATCAAATATTATGTAAGTCTTATTGATGATGATGGAAGATAATGATGAAGATATCGGTGTTTTAGTCAGCATCATGTACATCTTTCATCATCATCATGAATGATGATTGGAATATGATGAAGAGCATAAAGGTAGAAAAAAGAAATATTTAAGAAAAAAAAGTAAAGATGTGATTCAGTGTATTCGAGGATGAAGATATTGCAAGTGCACAATCTCATTGGATCAATGAGAGGATGAAGATGAAAGTGAACAGGAAGATGATACATACAGAGGATGATGATAATTCTCATCATTTTTTCTCTCTCTCCGAAAGATGAGGAGGAAAATAATAATTCAATGTATTTCAAGGTGCAATTCAACTGTTCCCCTGCAATTGTAAATCTCTGGCGGTTTTTTCTTCTTCACTATAAAGTTATTCTCTTCATCTGTTATCATCATCATCTTTTCCTCCTCTTACTTTCGCTTCTCATCTTCATCATCATCATCCGAGCGAATACAAATACATCTCTCTCTCTCTCTCTCTCTCGCTCTTTATTTCATCTTCAAACCTTTTTAATAAACTAAATGGAAACAATATGTTAATGGCCTTTTTTTGTTCCTAATATCATTCAGTTGTGTTGATTGTGAATCATGATGATAATGATGATGAAGAATAAGAGAAAAAGAAACTATTCTTGAAAGATTAAATCAGAAGAATTTGAAAGATGAAGGAAAAAGAATGAGATTCATGGGAATGTTTGATACACAATTTTCTATTCGAGAGATTAGAATAGGAATTAAATTATATCAAAGACAAGAGATTTTTCTATTTTCTTGTTGGTCTGAAAAAAGAAAATAAAATCAATTTCAAAGAGATTTTTAACCCTGAAACGATCGGTACAATTTTCCATACATTCAGAGGGTTAGAAAATCTTTCACAATTAAATCTCTGGATAAGATAATCATTAGGCAACAGAATAGGAGCCTTGAGGCTTATATAAGATGGAAGAGAGAAAAGGAGAAAGGAAGACTGGAAAAGAGGAATTGAAGCTGAAATCAAACAAGAACAGGGAAGTGAAATGATTGGGAGTTTGATGTTATATGGAAAAATATGGAGGTTGACAAGAAGAGGGAGTGGGGAGGAAAAGGAAGGAGGAAGAGAGAAAGAAGGTGAGAAGAATAAAAAGAAGATGAAAGAGAGAGAAAAGTGTGGATGGATCATCGCCAAAATTATATCTTTGGGTATAGAATTTTATACATCTAAAGAAAACGATAAATGACAAAGAGAGAAAATCATCATTAGAAAGAATGAAAAGAGCAAAATGATAGAGAAAAAGAGAAGCTTGAGAGAGAGAGAGAGAGAGGAAAAGACTAAAGAATGATTCAGATGATGGAGAAAAAGAGAAGCCTTGAAATGAAGCTCTTCCATTTTTCCTCGGCAGAAAAGGAAGAGGAAAAAATCACTTGGTAATCACTATTTTCAGGTTACTCTGGTTAAATTAGTCTAAATATAACCTTTGCCTTCATCATCTTTGCCTGGGTTAACATTGATACAGTCAAATTGGGTTGAATGTAGTAATCAAATCAGTTCTTTTGATATCTAATAGTTGATAGTATTTGTTATCAACTGAATAGCCAATGGAAAACATAATAATAATAATGTTATCAATGGTATTATTGATTGTATAATAATAATCATCTCCTTTCATGGTCATGAAGCTGAAACGATAAGAGAGAAAGAGAGAGGAAAAGAAAATCTAAAATAAATGAATATGATTGCGATTTGGAAATATTAATGATGACTAACAAAATTGTTAACAATTTACCTTTAATTATGATTAACAGATTTGGAGCAATGGCATCTAGTTAGCTGTTCACTTCGATGTTCTGAACAACCTTCACCAAGACATTCACATTCAGCGATAGTTCATGAAAACTGCATGTGGATCTACGGAGGAATGACTGATCTCCAAGAGAAAGGTGATTTCTGGAAATGGAATTTCGGTAAGAATCAACTTAATGAACATCTATTAATATATTCTAGAGATAAATAATTTAATTCAATTACTTATCTAAAGGTTTTTGATTAAAAAGAAAAGAGAATATAAGAAAAACAAAAAGTTCAATCGATTCCAATTTCCATTGAGAATAAAATGTTCACGAAAACCAAAATGATTCCTTGTTGTTATTCACCATGAAACGAAAAGAAAGATTTAAGTGGAAATAGTTAATCGACAATTTAACGTTAACACAAGATCATTAATCTTTAAGGAAAAGAAAGTTATGAATTAAAAAGAAATAAGAAGAAAATAATAATAATATTAGAGAACTAGAATGAGAATATAATAGTAAATAACTAATGATCATCATGATGGAAAAGACAAAGAAAATGTTAATGGTAAATAGAGAGTATAATTGGGTAATTGCAATATATCAATTCTTTAACTGATATGATCAATAATCTTTCTTCTTGTTAGATTAAACTTATTGTTACTGATTAACTGTTAATACTTTTGATTAGCATCATTAGAGATTTACAAGTTTGTAATAATCAAAGGAAACAATCAGTTAATCACAAGAGAGACATTGTGATCTCAAGGTGATGGAAACAGTTACTTACCTTTTATAATGTGAAACCAATTGGATTATTTGGTCAATTTATTGATCATAATCAACCAATTCACTTGTTTCATTTTGATTTGATTTAGTTAATAACAAGGAATCAACGAGAAAATGTAATAATGATAATAAAACGTTCAGTTAATTGTATAGTTACTATTAAACCGGAACATGTAATCATCAAGTGAACATTAATTTTGCCACTGCCATGTTAACCCTTTCATCCAGTTTGTGCTTTAGTTTTTATATGGAAAAGCATTTAACTTGTTATACCTATTGGAATATTTTTAATTATCTTTTCAGTTATAATTAGTTTTTAATCTATTGTTTTGTTTTTCGTTTCTCTCTCTCTACAGAATTGTCTCAATGGAGTAAAGTTAAATGTAGTAAAGGACCAGGTAATCTTCATAGTCACAGTGCGATCAAAGCTTTTGGTTGTATGTTTATTTTTGGTGGTGAAAAAAATGGTCAATTGTTACAAGACTTGTGGCGATTTCATTTTGGTAATTAGACTGATTGTTTCTTCACCTGATTTGTTATTTACATCACTGTTTTTATTGTTCGTTTTTTTTATTAGGTACAAATTGCTGGGAGAAGATTAATATTGTAGGTTTAATGCCAAATCCTCGTTGTCGTCATACTGCTGTTGCTAATCCCTGTGCGGAAATTGATGATTGGGATAAAGAGGAACACAAAAGTATCGGTCGAACACAATCAAAGTCAAGTTATGCTTTAAGTAAATCAACGTCCAAATCAAGTAATTTAATGCCACCCAAATCAATCTCAATGTGCTTTGGCTCCAATCAAATTCAGGAGACTCCTTTACATGAACCCAATAATCTTAATAAGTCAAAGGGTAACAGTGATACCAACGCCAACACCTCAAACAACAACAACAACAACAACAATAGTAATCATACCAACAATTCAAGCAAAAATAATCTAAATCAAAGTAGCACCAAAAACAATAACAATCGAAATAAAATTAAATCAGCTAAATTTCGAGTTCATCCGATGAAATTATGTTCCAAGGAAAGTTTCACAATATCGGACGATGAAGATGGTCAAGAGGGTCAAGATGAAAATGATGAAAATGGAGCAAATAATGGACAAAATAAACAGAATAAAATGAGGTAAGAAATTGGAAAAATATTCTATTCTTTTCTCTTCCTATTCTATCAATTGTATTTATCTTCTATTCTGATAATTGTTTTAAATTAATGAGAATCGAGAGAGATTAAGAGTTAAATAGAACAAAGTTTCTACTGAATCTCCATCTCACGAGAATAGTTGCCTTAGGAATCATCGATTTTCTCATCCTCTGTCTCTTGGAGACAATTAAATTATTGTCTAACGATTAATGATTAAGATCTGATGGTGAATTCGTTGAGAAACAAAAAGTCAACATTTATCGACTTTACCAAGGCCAAAATCTTGAGAAATTTTTTGTAGTTCAGTCAACGATAATGGTCAATGGTCTTTACTTTATTTTTCCTTGACCCTGATAAGTTTTACTACACTGTACTTTTCTTTTCTTGATCAATAAGGAATCGTATTCGTGTATTTATCATTGTAATCTCTCAGATTTCATCTCATGTTACTGATGTTATTGTAAATCATCATGACGATCATCATAGTAACATTCAATTCAGTACAATTATCATGATGAAATTTGAAACGTTTCCACTTTCCCTTTAATGATTGTCACCATGAAAATGATAACGAAATCAGATAATCTCAACATTTACCCCTGAAAGGATTAGATAATCTCTTCACTCTGATGATCATAATCTATTCATATTCTGATGAAAAATCATTTGAGAAAATCAAATTTACAGTTATAATGAAAATAAAAAAAAACTCAAAACAACCTTATATGGAACCTTGATTTTTATGGTTCCATGGATTAACGATTAATTCTGATTCATGGTCGAAAAAGATTCAAGCTGAGTCTTGTTATCACATGAAAAATCATTAAAGTAACTGCATGAAAATCACAAAGGCAAAAAGCGAAGGATAGAAACATGATGTTCATGTATCGTAGTAATTAAAGATAATTATTATCGTCATTAATTATCCCAGCTTATTATCATCATCATCATTAGCATCATTCCAATGGAAACATTTTCACCTTTAACGATTAATTTATTGATGATGATGAAGAAGATGAAATGAGAAGAAAAGGAAAAATAAGAAACCGATAAATCCCATGAAAACTCAGAGATGAACAAAGAAAGAAACAGTTATCTTATTATCCATTGATTTTAACATGATATCCTCAGAGAACTGATTTACATAATCATCTTATGTCACCCAAAGTTTTCTCAGTGTAAATATTATTGTCGATGATTCTTCATGCTGTTTTCTTGTTGTGGTGTTTTATTCATAAAGTGTATCTTATTCATCGTTTGTATTACTCAGTGTTAGACAAAACTAAAGGAGATACATGATGAAATTATCTGAGTAAATATACAGAACCACAGGAAAAAAAAAGTTTTTCATTTCCCTGGTGAATTCTGAAAGAGATGTAACAAGAATCCTTCCTGAACCTTTTACCATTACACTTTACAGGTAGTCAAATTTGAGAAATGCTCAAATGTTATAGATTAGCTTTTTGTTTTTCGCTGGAAAAATTGAGCTTTACAATTGATTGCGATGTTTGAAATTACACCTTGCGAATGAAAGTTTAAGGTTGTGATAAAAGATGAGGATGATTATCAAGATACAAGATAAGTTGCTAACTGAATTATGTTCCCAGGGAGTGAATGAATAACATGGAGAGGGGAAGATGAAGAAAGAAGAGGAAATTGTATCTTCTAAGAGTATTATCACTCACATCTTCTTCCTCATCTTCATCCTCATCATCTTGAAATCACTATGATAATGATTCTGTTGATGATGATGAGTTTTTTTCCCTTTTGATGAGATTACATGTTCTCTTTCCTTACCTGCCTCCATGTTGAGTAAATTGATTGTTGAAGAGATTCAATAATAAATATATACTCCACAGATATCACCATGTAACCATGATGAATCCAGGTAACAGAAATGTAATAACATCAAGAATGAAGGGAAGGAAACATTGAAAAAGAGTAAGAATCAAGTTGTTACCATTAGGTAGTAGATGAATTTACCTGTGGATCCTATGGAGTCAATAAAAATAAACTTGGAGTTTGTTTATTGTACAAATGAAGATTTATGAGATTACATGGGAACGTGAACTTTTTTCACGATTTTATTACTTATTTTGACATGGAAGACAAGGAATATAATTCAGGATCCTCGTGGATATTTGAAAAAATAAAATTGAACATTAACATCATTTACCATTGAACTTTGCCTGAAGGCTTTTGCTCATCATATTATAATCATGAGGAAAAATCATTCAGATTTTGGAAACTTTGTTGAAGAAGAAGAAAAAAAAAGTTACAATCTTGTTGAAATCAAGTTGATTCTGTTGGTTAAGGAAATGATCCGGTAAATATAACATGATAAATGTTCATCTTCATGAAGTATCTTCTTGAGTAGAAAATATATCAAATATTGATATGATTTTATAGAGGAATCAAAGAGAATGGTTTAACTAATGGGAACATGATGATCACCATTAACTTCATGAACATTCAAGTTGAAAATTCTGGTGAAGGGAAAGTGAAGGAGAAAAACTTTTCCATCACTTTTTTTAAGGGATTTACATGGTTCTTGGTGATGAGTAACATCTTGTTCCTATCATTGAGTTTTAATGGTATGGGAAAGATGAACCATCAGAATCAATTTAAAAGCAATTTATTTACACCAAACTAATGATCTTGTGTCATTTCTGATGCTCAGTAATTGTAACAACTACGAAACAATTCAATCCTTAATAAATTTTGTCTCTCAATGTTTACAGAAGCTCATTGATTGTTATCAAATGTTGAATAATAAAAATGAAGGTTAATTGTGTTTACATTTTCCAAATTTCAATCGATTCAATTCTCAATTTTTGATCAACTATCTCTTGATTGTTTACCTTTCAAGCTGCAAAACTAAATTCGACAAATAATCAATCGATTAAATCGATAAATCAATCTACATATGACAGAGAATAAGATCTTTTTTTTAATAAAAAGAAACTCGATTCTTTCTAATTACCTTAATCTACTTTTAATTTTCGATTGTTCATAATTTTGATCTATTTTCTTATTGCTTGTTTTTCTTTCTCTCCAGGAAATCGTTGAAGGACAAAATATCTTCGAGTCGATTGGTTCGTAGTATATCATCAAGTAGTTACAATATTTTACACAATCAGGCCAATGGTTATTCTGAGAATGGTAATAATAAAATTCAAGTGGAAAATTTAACTCAACAATCAAGTATTGATGGAAAATCAATACTCAATGGAAACAAGAGAATCAATAACATGAATAATTTCCATCAGAATTCAGTGGGTGAAGAGGATGATGATTTGGTTGACGATGATGATGAAGATGAAGAAGTGGCTGTGGTGGATAAGGATGATGCTCATAGTGGTGATGAATTTGAATGTGACCTCGACCTTTTACAAATGTGTAAAAGTCAAAGTTCTGAGCCCGTTTTAGAGACTCATCATGATTTTGTTGTTCGAAAACGAATCGAAGGAGTTTTAAGATATGGTACAAAAGTTCGACCCAAATCTGAAGTATTAGAAGGTCTTTTTCACCTTGAATCTTTATTAGAACATGGTGAATATGATATTCCACCTTCATCATCAAATGGTGGTAATGGTAATGTTTGCTGTTCGGATGTGGGCTGTTCAATTCGAGGTGGACATCGAAATAAGATGATAAATAAACGTCACACTGTAAGTGAATCGATGAGTTATTATTCACTTTGTTTTCCGTCTCCACCTTTTGCCCGTCGAATCGAATCGCCGGTGGAAACATCAGCTGATACTCCAAATGGAAGTTCAATCAATGATGATGAAGATACAAGTTCAACTTCCGTAACCACAAATCATGATAATGGATCAACAACAAGTCACTCAATCAGTAAAGATGATTACAATAAGATAATGATCGATGGCGATTCAATGATAATCGAGACTCATTATCGAGAGCCAATTTATGATAATCATCAGCTTCGTCCAACATCAAATCAACAGCAACAGCAACAACAACAACAACAACCATCATCATCTTCAAATACAACAAACAATTTAAATCAATCAGAATCTATTCACTTTGATGATCATTTTTACAAAGCTTTAGCATCACCCGCCGATGCTATCGCAAGGACAAGCGGCTATAACTCATCGGCCACTTTGTACACACCAAGTATAGAGAGTCAAGGTTTACCTCATTCAGTTTCCCACTCTTCGGGTTATCATTCATTCACCGAAGATTCATTTGACCCACCCTCCTCGTCTTCTGTATACAATCCTTTCCATCAACATCCTCATCATCCACCTCCACTTCCTCCTCATCATTACCAACAACAACAACAACAACAACATGGACCACAACATCACCCAACGATATCAACTTCTACTTCGACATCATTTGTACCACGACGAATATCTCGTCTTCCTCGTGACAATTCATCATTCGAATTGAAACAATTATCATCTCTGCCTTTCCCCAAACAACCAGCATCAACCACAATCGACACTTCAACTGGTTTCAATGTTCGATTGAGTAAAGATATTCGATCGCGTGCCCGTGAACGAGCTTCTCTTCGTGGACAATCGTGCAATCAAAATCCAACCACAATCAATTCAACATCAACTTCCACCACCAATGGTTCAAATTTCAACGATAATTTAACGCCAACCGGTGAAAAACTTAACGATAACAATCAAGAACTCTGGCAAAAAGCCAATGTGATAAAAGAAGATGCAATTTCCAGTTCACCAAATTCCCGGAAATGGTCATCTCACTCTCCATCTCGGAGTAAAGTTAATCATCACCAACTTTGCATGTTTGTCTTTGGAGGCAAAGAATTGACCAATGGTCAACACATGTATAAACAGCCAATTTCAGTCTGGAAATTTTACATTTGAATTATAATCAATTAGATTAATTAACTGAAACAATGAATCAATCATAATCTATTCATCTGATCATCTCTCTCTCTCTCTCTCTCTCTCTCTCTCTCTCTCTCTCTCTCTCTCTCTATTCAATTAGCTAATTAAAAAAAAAGTAAACTGCCAATTAATTCCTACGGAATTAAACTTAAGATATAAATGGAAACATGCAAAGTTTTCGTGTCCACTACTCAATTTTACTGGACATCAAAATAATTCTCATAATTTTCTTCTTCTTCTTCGTAATTAACTGTGCATTCCAACAATTAAAATAACCTACAAAGACAATTTAATCACATCAAAATCTGGAACATATTCACATCATAATCACACAACTTTATCAACTAATTTTTTGGAAGAAACTTTTTTTCAATCGTATATATTATTATGTATACAATATATATTAATATAATTAATTATCTACAATTATAATGATCATTTTGATTATTCTTAATCAACACACAATTAAAATGTATACTCACCTTTTCTAGTCAGATTCTTGAAAAATCTGAGGTGAAAATTAATTTTTAACGAAAAATAAAACAATAGAAACATTGAATATCTAAATTGAAAACAATTAATAAAACATCAACAATTAACTCGCTTTCAAATATAATATAATCTTCTAATACTTTACAATCAATATGAAACTCAATTAAACTGTGATTAGATTGATGAGACAATCGAGTTAACATTTCCTTCATTTTAAATTTACTATTAATTGTGATTGATGCTTGATGATTGATCATAATTAACTCTCCAGGTTGATTACTCAAATTTTTCGAGTTTTAATTGATTGGAAATTTTTGATTGTCAAATGTTCAAAAGAGTCCAACATTTCGTATCCTTTGAATTTGAGTTACAGTTTCATCATCAATTTAGATTGCGAAGATGTTTAGATTTGTAATTAATGTTTTTAATTTCTCATTTTCTGGTTGTAACAATGATGATTATGAATGATGAATGATGTTGGTGGTAAAGGAATCAAAATATGTGTCCAGTCAAATTATTATACAAATTGTCGTGTTGATTAGATGAGAATGGAATTAGATTATCAGTGGAGTGACTATTTTCCAGAGCAACAAATTTTTGGATCTTCTTGTGGTCAGTTAAAGGGAAGGAAAATTAGAAATATTAGACAATTGAGTGAAGGCTAAACAGCGTAAGGTTATGACATTGGAAAGGGTCAGATTTTTGTACAAGAACTTTTTCTTTTTACATAAATTAAGCATAAGGCATCCAATTGCTACTATCTTCTGGCATTAAATGTCCTGTACAGAGTAAAATTACATCAATAATCCACCAGATACCAGCTCCTCCCAATGTAAGTAGTTTACCAACAGCGGTTCCCGTATGACCTAAACAAAAACGATCCATTCCTAGGAATCCCAATAGAATAGAGTAAAGCAATGTAGTAACAAAATAGTGTCCAGTGTACCTTTTAGAAGCAAAAGAGAAAAGAAAAAAAAACATTAGAAAATAGTCTCAAAGATACTTAAAGGTTTAGATTGTTAGGATAACTTTTGAATAGGGAAAAATAGGAAAACATCATGATCATGATTATATTACATACTTTATGCACGGAAATCCATCTTTCATGAAGGTTCTATTACCATAACAACCTATTCCAGGTAAAACTGTACAATTTACTTTGGTTCGGTTAACCTCTTCGTAACTTTGTCCACCAAATTTCAAGCATCCATATTTTAATTCTTCATAAGCTGTTTTGTTCCCTTTCAGATCCAATGGAGCTTCACATTCTAAGAAATCAAGATCTCTATGGGAAAAGAAAAGAAAATCAAGTCGTTAGATTAAAATTACTTAAAATAGAACACACATATTAGTTAAATAAACAGTTGAACATACAATCATTAACGATGTAATTAATTGAATAAAAAAAACAATTAAGGTTAATAAAAGCGTTTAGATATAAACAAGAGTTTAAAGATACTTACAGATTTTCACAAGGAACATGAATTGAGAAAACATAATTGGTAAACCAAAGAAAGTAAATCAATGAGATCCTAAAGGATGTGATGGACAACCACTTAAAAGACATAAATTAACTCATTAAATTAATAACCAAAAATTAACTCAATCAAAAAAATAAGAGGAAAACATTTAATCAGTTGAATTAAAATTTCTCTCAATTGTAAACAAACAAATTGGATTAACCAGAAAATCCCAATACCAAATTAGTTCCATCGGAGAAAAAGAGATGGCGTTACAATCGAATATCTCAACGAAACAATTTTTTCATTTTCTTAATTGTTTATTAAATTAAAAGGTAATCATTTAATTTAGATTAATTATTGATCACTAATCTTCAGTGGATCTGCATAGTCAGTGGAAAAATCGCAAGGTCTTGTATCGGTCGAGTTTTATGATTGATAGAAAATCGAAAAAATTAAAATTTTGATCATATTAGTTTTCAATGTAATCGAATTGTGATTAGAATTTGATTTAGATTATTCAATTGGTGAAAAGAGAAGAGATTAATTGAATGGAATCAAGTTGGTTAAATATTTTTTTCACTGAAAGCGAATCGTTTCTTTTATTATCTTTTTTTTTAAAGCTTCATATTCAAGCCAATGGAGAAATTGAGAAAAAGGAAAAGGAAAAGGAAAAGTGTGAGAGAAAAAGATAAAGAAAGAGTGAAAACATTGTGGAAGTTAAGGGTTGAGAGAGTTGGGAAAGATTCGAAAAAAGTAGGGAACCAGAAGAAAAAAAGTAGAGAGCAAATAGAAGAAAAAAAAAGGTGTTGGACTCTAAGTGATTAATCTCGACTAATCAAGATTCTTCACAAAAGAAAAAGGAATTATTTAGTGTTATTATTATTCAAGAGAAGAAAAGAGATAGAAGAGTCTTGGGTTCTTTTGTTGTTGTTGTTGTTTCTTTATGACCATTGATTGGAAACATTTCGATTATCAGAAATGTTCTTAGGTTTGTTATCTTGAGGTTTGCCGGAGCTTCGAACACCAGGACCACCTCCACGTCCACGAGAACTATAACCATTAGAGGAATTGTACTTGTTTGCACGAGGAGGACCAGAGTTACGATCTCCTCCGCCACCTCCACGACCACCACCTCGTCGGTATCTTCCATAATTTGATCCATAACCACCTTGATTATCGTCTCCTTGATAAGATTGTTTATCTCGACTAGGTCCTTGATTATTTCGTGAGTTATCATGTTGTTGATGAGGAGCCTGATACTGAGTAAAGGTTACCTCCGGTCCATAGCCAGCAAGCATAGATTGACCAAGAGCAGCCATGGTCATACCGTGATTCTGGTTATCATTGTTTGATTGGTTAGAGGTCATTTGCTCGTTGGAGCCAGTTTGATGTGGGTTCATTGTTTGGCCGGTTAATTGTACAGGTAAACCAAGCAATGAAGGATTTGCAATGGGTACTGGTTGTACGAATGTTCCTCCAGTCATCATGGCTGTGAACCTTTGGTTTGTGAAAGTTTGTGTTGGTATGGGTTGATGATTTGGACCAGTAGTCTCAAAGGTTGTAACATCTTTAGTCATGTTGTTGACTGATGACATTGGTGGGATGCACGTAGAAGCAAATTGAGCTGCTAACGCTTCCACACTTTGATTGTTACCATAAGCTGCTGAATATGCACCAGTTACAGGAGCCATTGCAACTACCGCTGGATCCATATGAGGTGCATTTTCCATTTCTAATCGAGACTCTTGCAAGAAATTATAACTATTTGGTGGAGCCGCAACAGGATTACCCACTCCAGGACCTCCAACATTACTTAGCATTTCTTGTAAACCAGGCTGGTTAGAGTTTGGATTTCTGGGTTTATTTTGATGTTGCGATTGATGCGATGGGTGAGACGGTTGAGACTGATATTTATTAACTCCACTGATATCCGGTTTTACTGGTGCTTGAGAATCATTCGATACAATAGGTTGGATTGGGCTAGATTCAAAGTTTGGTCTGCTTAAATTTTCATCATCCGTAACCCTAGATAAGTTACCAGTTTCTGCGACTTGCGGTTGCTGAGGTTGACTTGTTGCTGAGGATAAGCTGGATTTAGAGACAGCATTTGTAGCGGATACACTGATAGAGGTAGACTTTTCGAAATAACCACTGTCGCTGATGGATAGTAAGGTTTCCTTCAGTTCTTTATAAGATGTTCCTTTAAACGCATCTGACCTAATACCTTCGACTAAAGCAAGATATCGTTCTGCTGTTTTGGTGTGGTTCTTGTTAGCTTCATCAACCTTACTCCTTTCCGAATCAACAATCTTGCTGAACTCTTCCAAATGCTGAATCTTATCTTCAGTAAGTTGCTGTAAGAAAAAAAAAGATTGATGGGAAAAAAGGGTTGTGGTTAATTTACAAACTAGTTACAGCAAGATAAACAATAGGTATTAAAGTAAAAATATATATACATATAAGAGAATCAAAAAGAACTTACAATAGCCCCATTAGTTCCTTTAATAAAGTCGTTTTTAACATCAGCATTGAGGTTACCTAACAGATCATGGAACAGGAAAACTAGTCTTAAACGTTCAATTTCCTTAGGATCTCTAGTAGGTCGTTCCTTTCTTGCTAACTTTTTCATTTGCTTAACGTGCTATATATAAATATATGTATAATAAAAAAAGAAAAATGAAAAAATAATTGATTAAACAATGGAATAAATTTTTATAATAACATTCAACTTACGTCAGCAAAAATTGTTTGGACATTCTTTTTAAATTCACGGAAAAAATCCAACATTTCGGTAACCTCTTCATAACGTTTGACTGCTTTCCTCTGGTCAAGATTCAATTCCTTACCAGCTTTAGCCTCGTCTCGATATTGCTCCAAACGTGACTGTTGTAAGAGAAAAAAAATAAAAGAAAGAGAGAAAAGAGAAAAGAGAAAGAGAAAATTAGTAAAAAAAATTTTTGAAAGATAATGAGCTGAGACCCGAAATCTTTGATAATAAAAAGGGAAAAATTGACACCCACAGGAAAATGAAAAGATTAGCGAAAAGCCATTTTGAATACACCACCCAATAGAACTTTACTCTTTCCTAACCAAAATCTCTCTTTCTCTTTATCTCTCTCTCTCTCTCTCTCTCTCTGCTCTCTTCTCTTAAAAATTAACCACCACAAAAAAAGAAGCAGCAAGTGTAAGACACTCAAATAACCGGCATGTTTTTCAATACCTGCCTTTTTGAATTACATTCATCAAAATAGGAATCACAAGCTGAGAGAAAAGCATGATCAATAAAATATGCGAATGATGGTCAATCTAATAACCTGTATGGTTTTAACAAGTGAACCAGAAAAGAGAAGAGAGAAAAAAGGCAACAATGAAAGAGTAAAAAAAGAGAAAAGAAAGTAAATTAAGGAACAAAGCTCACTGACTGTCGCAGGTTTCAAAATCAAGAAAGACCCACTCATCTTCTTTCTTTTTTTCTCTTTCCGTTTTCTTCAACTCACCTCATCTCTCTTTCTTTTTCAATCTTCCACACACAGAAAAAATCTTTTATCAAGCCAAAGCAAAAAAGCCCCATGTTGCCCGGTCAAGGAAGAATAAAAGTAAAGAAATAGACACACACATTCATATGAATTTATATGAAACAAAAAAAAAAGTAAAAAGAAAGAGAAAAAAGACAGAGAAACAACGCCGGAGACATTTTAAGAGAAGAGAAAAGAAAATCATTAAAAGAGAAGAAGAAAAATTGTCAAACCGAATAAAAGTGAATTAAAATGACCAGACAATCGATAAATCATCATGACTAATTATTTATTGACTAAATTAGTCATTAAATCGAGTAATTAAATTGCATAAAAAAATTCACTTAAAAGAACAAAAGGAAAAACCTTTTGGTAAAATTATTCTAAAAAAAACACTTACCTTTCTCTTCTCTAAATTACGGATCTTGTTATCTACCAAGAGTTGAACCTTGTTGAGAGGTTCTTGGTGAGGATCAGGTAAAGTTGATCTATCAACTTTGTTAGGATTAGTAACAGAAGGCATGCTAATGATGTGAATCAATTACAACAATTGAGAAAAGAAAACAAAAGAAGTATTAATCAAATTGGAATTATAATTAATTAAACAAAAAAACACAAGAAATCACAAAAAAAAATGAAAGAAAATCTTTACACACAAATGTAGACAGAGAGAAACTGGAAGAGCGAAAGAGGAAAATGAATCTGAGCGCCATCTACATTTTCTTTTAAAGGTTAATTGATTTTCATCGAATTTTCAATTTTTTTTGTTCGCTTAATTGAATTAATCTAATTGATAAAAGAATAAAATTCCAGATAAACAATTAGATTGATTTTAATCTCTAAACTTTAGGGTAAATTGTCCCAATATTTGAAGAGATTATTTTTCCTTTTTCGTATTGTTTATAATTCCGATTAAAAGTAAATTAAGATTAAACATTTTAACTCAATCATTTTCTAGTCGATTTGATTGTGATTAGAGTTTAGTGATTAAACTTTTTCATTTTGTTTACTTATCAATACATTTGATAATTTTTCTTTCTTCTTCTTTTTACAATTAGAATCGATTAAATTTTCTAAAATTTAGATAATTGTAAAAGTTATTCCAAGTTATTTTTTCTCTTTGAAATGTAACTTTTCTCGAATTCTATTTTTAAAGATTCAAATAAAATCAATCAATAGAAACGATTGATTAGCGAAATGAGAAAATAAATGTTACCAAAAATATATAAATATAAAAAAAACGAAACAATTTCGTTCACCATAATATTTACAATTGTGGAAAATCAATAAATGATTGATGTATTGTACCTTGGAAATTGGCTAATTATTGGTTTATTATCGTTTTTCTCATTAATTTAGGTCTTAAAGCTGCTAAGGAAATTAAAATGGCTTCCTCTGTCCGAATTGTATTCGACCCTTGGTCAGGGCAAGTATTAAGATAAAATTTAAATATATTCCTAGGATCACTGATATTGGAATATGTTGTATCAGCATCGATTGCAGCTTCGATTCCTTTTAAACCACCGAAAACAATTAGACAATGATTAAAGTTATCGGGTAAAGATTCAATTGTGGCATCGACATTGTCACCTCTTTCCGATGTTCCTATGGTTAAATCGTATCCACCTTCAAATGGACATTCATTAAGAATATTTGATAAACTGGATGCAAGTCGAACCGAATAACCCCAATAACAACCAGTTCGATCTCTGGGTGCATTTGGTGGAACTGGTTTACCTTTCAATTTTTTAGCAGAATTATTATCAGAATCTAATTCAATCGTAACTCTTAATCCAGGAGTTAACGATTCCTTTATGAAACAATCTTTTTTCAGGCCAATATTAACATAACAACCTCCTTTCTCTGGATGGACACTATTGGTGACAATTCCTTCCCTAAATTGGGATTCATCGTATTCCTTAAGATGGTGACCTGTATCGAGGGGATTTAGAAGACCTAAAAAAAGAAAATTTGAAAAAGTGATGATAAGAAATACTGACCAATTAAATTAGGAATTAGACAAAAAGTCGATCGATCTAAAGATAATCAAACATTTCTTTCTCCTTCTCTAGTTATTGGTAACGGAGAAAATACTGACCTGCATATTGTAGATCTTCGTGTAACGGGAATAAATGTTTTCGTAAATATTGTGGACACTCAAGGTATTGTAACACTTTGGCCATTTGAACTAAACATTTCCTCCTATTGTCACGTTTCAATGTTTCATCATCCATACTCTCCGGAATAGCATATTCATCATAGATAACAATCTCGTCAACATTAAATATAACACAAGCTCGAGCAATCTGACCAATTAGATAAGTTCGCAATTCTTTAGATTGAGCATTATTTAAAATGGAACCAGGAACAGCAACACTAATTGTATAATGAATACCCTTCACTTTTTCCTCTTTCTCAATGTTTTCTTGAACTTTTTTCTTCTCTTCTTCTTTTAGAGTCTTCTCTAATTTCTTTTCCTCTTTCTCCTTTTTCCATTGTTGCTTTTCCTTCCCTGAAAAACAAAACCAAAAATTAGTAAAAGTCATTAATAAAAAACAAAACAAGAAAATCAAAAATCTAAAAATTAAATGACCATAACTACTCACTTCGTGCTCGCCAATCAACCTTCATTTGTGGAACCAAAGTTGCCCCAGGTTTAGAATCATTACTTTTAACTTTACCCATGATTCCAGAGAATAGAACGAAATAAAATTAATTTAATTAACAATTGATAAACAATCAAGAATCCCAATTAATTAAACTAAATTTTCAATTCCATTTGTAAACAAATTGGAAACATGCCTAAACCACGTGACCAACAGAATATCAACCAATCAAATTCTCAATGGCGGGTAATTCAAAAAACTTCGAAAATGCAAAAAAAAATGAAATTAATCAAAAAATTGGAAACAATTAAAACTTCAGAGAAAATTTGAATAAAATTTAATGGAAGTTATGAGTAAATGATTTCTGTTAAATGCTAAAATTGTTAGTATTTAAAGGTTAATATGATGAAAAGAAACTTTTGATTGAATGATTTTCATCTTTGTTAATTGTTTACTTTGAAATTAATGATTCTGAGAAAAAAAAAGTTCAACAATTGAGATAATCTGAAAGCCTATGACAGTTGAGTTATAATGATAATGAATAAGATGATGATGAAAATGAAGATGATTTGACTCATGAAGTTGCGCATTAAACTAGAACAACAAACTAAATCAAATCTATTTTGATGAAAGAATCAAAAAGTAAGAAAAAAAAAGTATATAGCCCAATCCAAATGATTATCACCAATGTTTCAACTAATAATTTAATCAACTTTCAATTAAATTTAATCTTGTGAGAGTCTTGATTATGATAAAGTGTTTTCGATCACAATCAACTAATCGAAACTTGTTAATTTAAGTTAAAAGTTTTCAGTTTTATAAGTAAATCGGACGATACAAGAAGGAAAATCCAATCGTCGAATCTTAAACTTGAAAAGACGAAAAGAAAAGTAATTAACTAATCTGATTAACTTAATATCGAAATTTAAAGTAAAGAAAAAAAAAGTTAATTAGAACTCGAAATGAACAATTTACGAAGATATCGATTTCAAACTCGACGATGTTGTTCAACTCCAGCAGTTGCGAGTTTACCTGATTTCTCTGATTCTTACCTGGAAGATTTGAAGGTAAGATAATTAATCAATTAACCAATTAATTGTCGAATCAATCAACGAATCAAATTGTCTAGAACGAGAAGACTTCCAATAGTAATTGTATTAGAATTGGTTGATAAAAGTGATCAAAAGTCTTCTGTTGGTTAAATGTTTTATCATCAGAAATTAGATAAAAAATTGATTGTTGTTAATTGTTGATGCTTGACCTCTAATTATCTTCCAACTACAATGAATGAAAATGAAAATATAATCAAATTGCCAAAGGTAAACTAAAATGTTCATTAGATTTGTCTGCTCGAGTAATTAAAGATGATCAGTAATCAATTTGATTTGAGATTTTTAAAGTTTCAAATATTAATCGAGGTGAATTGATTGTTACCTGATATTAATTAACCATAAGGATTAATTAATATGGTCGATTTGATCAATATGGTTAATTGAATTTTAAGATTTTAATTAATCGTGATTATTAGATTTATATATCAACCTTAAGGTTGATATTAATTTCAATCTTTATGTATAAAAAGAAAATTGTTCTTGATTAAAATCAATCAGTTAATCATTAAGATTATAAACAATTAGTTAATTTAATTTGTTCAACAAATTTTGGTGTCTTCGGGACCTTCTGCGTGTCAAGTATATTAATTGATTTCTATCCAAATGAAATGCTCAGTAGATGAATAAAGTATTAGGATGAAGGTGAATATTATGAAATTATATTCTGAGTATAATAGTATTGCGATTATAATGAAGTTATAATCTTTGTTCACAATCTTAGAGACAAGAAATTCAATGAAGTATCATCAGTATCCTAAGTTACTGAATCATCATCATCATCACCACCATTCCAGTTCTCATCAATCCTCATCCTTATAAACACCTATCAACAGGTTAACCTTTTCTGTAAAAGAAGAAAAAAGAAAGAGAAGAGAAAAAAGTTTCTCTCATTTTCTCTTTTTAAATGATGCTAATAATATTCTGAACCGATAACATGATACAATTCAATGATTCTTCGTTATCACCTTAGAAACCTCTACAATTCTCATTATCACAATCACAATCACAATCATCCCTCTCATCATCATTGCTCATCTTTATTTCCACCTTCACCTTTTCCATCATCATCATCATCATCATCCTCAAGCTCCATTGATATGATAGAGAGAGAGAGGGAGAAGGAGAGATAGAAAAAAAAAGAATTTGAGATTTTCTTTCCTTCCCTTTTACCTCAATCGATTTTCACTGACAGATACGCGACATCATCATCATCATTACCATCGTTATCTATCATCTAGTGGTGTTGATGTGAGGAAGAAGATGATGAGAAGATGGAGGATGAAAAAAGGAGGAGGAAAAAGATGAGGATGGTAAAGTGTTCATAGTAACCAAGGTGAAAGATTAAAAGTGAAACTGAATCAACGGTAAACGTTTTTATCTATCGCCTTAAAAGGCTATATAACAATCATCTTAACGATGATAAATAATAATCTAATCATAACACATCGAAAGGTATTGATAACGAAAGTATCGATTCCATTTTGTTAACTGACCAATATGATTACTTTTCCATCATTAACCTTCATCATTTATCCAACGATTAATAAACTGTTTCAGTTGTTTACCGAAAAAATTTCCAACAATAATTAATAACAATTCAAGTTTAACTTAAGAATATCCTTTAAATTTAAAAGTTCCTATGAATAAGAAGTAAAAGTTTTTTTTCATATATTCTTTAGAATAAAAATATCTCTGCAAGTTCGAGGAATAAGAAAGTTCTAAACTGTTCATTAGATGAACCTATACGTTTCTCGTTATCCTGGGACAATATTTTTTCAACAAATTGTGATACGTTTTTTACAGAAAAAAATCTTCATCGAAAAGGACGAACGATTGAAGGAACTTAAAGAGGAACAGTCTGGTTCTGATCGGTCAGTTTCACCTTGTCCACCATCTCTACCCTTTCGAGCACCACCACAACCACCACTTCCACCACCTGAACCAACAACAGCTCAACCAGTCGTTCCTAAACTTGACCCGAAAGATATATCAGTCCAAAAGAATCATGGAACTGATTCTTCTTCCTCATCGTCATCAAGTGAAACTGTTGAACGAAACGAAAAACTTTTCGATGGAGTTGTTGCCGAAAATGTTAACGATCAACAATTGGAAAAAGTTGATGACCCCAACGAGAAAAGAAATGTTCAAATTGAATCTCGAACAAAAGATGAAAGTTCTTCAGGTCAACAGGTCAAATGGGATGATGATGTTTTCGATTCGAGTCATTGTAATGCGAACATTGTTGGTTCTAATGCGATGGTTTTTTCGCTCAATAACCAAGTCGGTGGTTTGGTTCGAGCTCTTCGAGTTTTCCAGGTAAGATCTTTACTATTGTTTTGATTATATTTTATTTTCTCTAAAAAAACTTCTGTCAACCTGTTGATTTGAATCTATCCAGGAATTGGGAATCAATGTTCATCATATTGAATCGCGAAAATCTCGTCAAAGAGAATCAGAATATGAAATTTTCGTTAACATTGATTGTGATGATTCTCAACGGATGAATGAGCTTCTTCACCATTTAAGACACGAAGTTGATTGTTGTACTTATGAAGAGTTCGAACGTTCAAAACATCGAACTGTCACTCGAAGTAAAAGTAAATCTCGATTATTATCACAAGCATCAATGGACAATGGTAATTTCATTCCATTATTATTTCCATCATCCAACATAAAATCGCACGGAAATTTTGATAATATCTAATATTCTTTCCATTTAAAAAAAATTATTCAGAACTTCTTCATGAAGGAATGCCCTGGTTCCCTAAAAGAACATCAGAATTAGATTATTCATCAAATCGAGTTCTAATGTATGGATCAGAATTGGATGCTGATCATCCGGTAAGTATTAGTTAACAATCAATACTAACAACAAAAATCATTCTTAATTGTTTGTCATCATCTCATTTTCACTTTTCAAACTGAAACCGGAAATTGGAATAATGAAAACCATGATGATAGGGTTTCAAAGATCCGATTTATCGTGAGAGGCGGAAGTACTTTGCTGATGTTGCTTTTAACTATAAACAGTAAGTAACCAAAAATTCACCACCAATATGCTAATTTCATTAACAATTTACTGAATAATTTCATAGAATCTCATAATTCATGATAATAAGTTTACATCAAGATGTTTGATGAATATACAATCATGTTTATCATTTTGACCACAAGCTTTTCTCATGATAAATGATGATAATTTAATGAACATTAATCAACTTAATCAAAAATTGATTAATCTTTTTTTTCTTACCCTACAATCAATAATTACATTCCAGTTAAATGTTAAACGACAATCATATCAGGTAAATGTTTGTCTATTGATCAACAGGTAATGTGACGAGAATGATGATTATATTTTACCATTAGAAATAATCAGGTAACAATTTAAGAGTTGATGGTATTTTAGATTGATCATAATTGAGCTTGATAATCAAAGGGAATAGTTTTAACCTTTTAGATTGATTTGATTTACACCAATGGTTAATAAAATTAAAGGTGGAAAAGTTTCAAAGTTGAAAAAATTGAATGAATAACATTTCCTGATAGAGGAACAATTGAACCAATTACCACAAGCATTTTGCTATCAGAACTCAGAATAGTAACTATGGTTACCTGAAATAATATCTTAAAGTGTAAGAGAGAGAGAAAAGGAAATAACTTAATAACAGAATGAGATAGAATCAGAATTCAGAATAATTTGGTGAAAATGACAAAAGTCGAAAAAAGGAAATGAATGATTCTGATTAAATCGATGATCACGATTACTAAGAAGACGATAATGATTATGCATTAGGAAAATCTAAATGGATGAGAAAAAGAAGACAATATCTCATGAAGAAAAGGTAAATTCCAGGATGGAAATGATGAAGATAGACAATTATATTCAGTTGATTCTAATTGACGTACAACTGCAACAATTATAATATATTGACACGATGGTGATGAAAGAATTAAATTTAACCCGATGAAAGTAACTTAATGAGAAAACACAAAATTAATGTCAACTAATTATTCTCATCTATTGGAATATTTTCTCAAATAATCAAAGTTTCATTGTTTTTTTCCTCTTTCTTACCAGTAATGAGCCAATTCCTCGAGTTGAATACACCGAAGTCGAGGTAAAAACTTGGGGAATCATTTTCGAGGAATTGACCAAATTATACTCTAAACATGCATGTAAAGAGTTCAATAAAAACTTATCCCTGTTAATTAAATACTGTGCTTATCGGAAGGATAATATACCTCAATTGGAAGATATTTCCCAATTTCTGAAAAGTAAGTTCAATCAACAAAAGTTGGAAATTCAATATGAAAAATAGTTATTGAGAATTATAAAGAAATTTTTCTCTGTTTGGTGTCGACATCTAGCGAATCGGAATCAAACCTCTGAACTTTTTTCTTCTTCCAATTGAAAAACTTTTTCTTTCTCTTTGACTATTTTTTTTTCTCGATCTTTATTGTTATTATTCAGATCGAACAGGATTCACATTGAGACCAGTTGCTGGTTATTTATCGGCTAGAGATTTTCTCGCTGGATTAGCATTCAGGGTGTTCCATTGTACTCAATATCTAAGACATTCAAGTGATCCCTTTTACACACCAGGTAAGAAATGAAATTAACTAATTGCTTACAAACTGGTTTAATTTTTCCAATCAGATATGAAGAAAAGGAGAGAGAGAGAGAGAGAAAAAATAACAGAACTAATAATCTAACAAAAAGATAAAGACGTAAACCAAACCAATTAAGGATGCGAAATGTAATTGTAAATGAGAAGCTTTTAATTGCAACGAAAACCTTGTCTATCTGTTTTTGTCTGATAATCAAAAAGGAAATCAAGGTTATATCAATATCGAAGGCAAAAAAAATTAGCCTTCATCGTCCAGTGAATATTATCTCTCATAAACAATGAGACAAAATGACCAAAGTAAAAATATATATGAAAAAAAAGTTCTGATAACAATATCCTGTTTCTCTCTCTCTCTCCCCCCAATAAGAACCTGATTGTTGCCATGAAATCCTTGGACATTGTCCATTACTGGCAGATGAAAGTTTCGCTCAATTTTCACAAGAGATTGGATTAGCCTCGTTGGGAGCAAGTGATGAGGAAGTTGAAAAACTGGCAACGGTAAGAAATTATTATTATCTTTAATTTTACTGTCAAAAGATTTTCACATTTATATAAGTTCAGAGACTCAACCCAAACGGAACCTTTTTTTTATATCAAATCTTCAGCAATTCACTTTTTTCTCGTCTCCTTCCATCATCTTGACCATTATTTTTATTCTCCATCCTCATCCTCCCATCCTATCATCATCTTCATCTTCCGCCTTCTCCACAAAGCCTAAATTACTGTTAAAACCTTAGTTCACCCATTTACTTCCTCTCTCTCTCTCTCTCTTCTAGATTTAATTTCTGCCTTTTTTTATCCTTTTCAATCTCTCACACTTCTCATTGGACAATCACTCGATTCGAAACTTTTTCGGCCATTTTTAAAGTCTATTAACTGTCATTCGCGTGACCAAATGATTACACAACCATTAACTAACAAAATTTATTATAATCTATGATATCAATGTGTCTATTTACAATGACAAATTGATAAGTTAATTTGCATCACAATCAACTTGATGATATTACACATGTAGACTTTCATGGAAACACTGAGGCGACTGGTCAATAGATGTAACTGACCATTAAACATAAAGAAAGAGAGAGACATATGAGACACTTTAGGGCGGTAAAAAAAGAGAGAAAAGATCATTTTTCTTAATCAAATGACTCGAATGTTAATCAGCTGAGCTTTTCCATGCTAATCATATGTTTAAATTGAGAATAAAATAAAAAAAATTCAACGAAATGAAAAAAAAATGTAATTCTAATAAAGATAATCAGTTGATAGAAATACGAAAATCAATCATTACATCTCATCGCTAACAATTAACAAATCATCAACAACTTTTAATGTTAATCATCATTGAATGAGAAACAATTAACCAACAATAATAATTGATTATCTGGTTATCACCAATTTTCAACCACTAATTACTTGTTAATCTATCTAATTAATCAAAACCTTTCCATTTCCTTATTATTATTATTAACCCAGAAAAAGTTAATTACAACTTCATTTCAATATCATTATGATTACTATTATAGCATCAGAATAATCTGAATTATCTGAATTAGAATGAAAAAAAACTCAGTTTATCTCAAGGCGTTGCCTGGATAAAAAAAGCAAATTTCACCTTAACTATTACTTAATTGAGAATTGAAATATATTGTTAATTTTGTCATCATTAAATATGATTAACAGTAAACATTAAGATGATAATTATCATGGTAACTCAGGTGAAAAATTAACGAGTCAACTAATACGATAAATCAATTGAAATGAAACAATATTTTATTCAACATTTTCACCTAAATCATATCAAACTAATCAGAGATAATCAAATGTTATTAATGATTTCAAATGAATCATTGAAACATTTTTAACGAATTAATTAAATGATGAAAGTGATGAATTTATGATTACTTTGTATGATCATCATTCCGTAATAATGATAATCTTATTTAAATGTATATTTATTATGATAATAATTCCGAATCAGAGAGTTTCAAGAAAAGAAGGAAACTTTTTCTTTTCTTTTTTAAAGTTTTTCTTTTTCTTTTTCTTTTTCGAATTTTTTATTTTCTCAATTCATTCAATTGATGATTATCACCGAGAATCGTCAATATTATCACCAAGTGAAAATAATGGAACATAATTAACCTTTAATTAAATTAATTCCATCATGACATTGGAAGATACGATCAATAATATTAATGTAACATCTTATTAAAAAGAGCTTATGTTTGGTGTTGTAAGGAAGGAAAAAACTCAGAATTTTAAAGTGTTAATATCATGAGAAATTCTGATTCTCTGAATTACAAGATTGATAATTTTTCTCTTTCTTTCCTTTCTTTTTTTTCTAGTGTTACTTTTTCTCAGTTGAATTTGGACTCTGTAAACAAGATAATGAGCTTAAGGTGTATGGAGCTGGCTTGTTATCATCAGCTGCTGAATTAAAGGTAAGAAAAACGATGAGAGAAAATCCCAATTGCGCATCATTTCCGTTTCCGTTGATGATATTTTCCAAGTTTCTTGTTATTGTTACCATTTTGTTTTCTCTTTCTGATAACTAAACATTAATGAAGTTTCATATTAATGATCATTATCATGATTAACCTTATCGTTCATTCATTATCTTAACAATGTTTTATTGAAAGTTTTTCACTCGAGTTCAGGAAATTGAATCAAATGATATTCATTATTTTGATTATGAGGAAGAAATAAAAACTTATCCGATCGATAAGATAACAATTAGGCTGTTATAACATATCTAAAGATTGTGATTAAGATTAATTGTTTCGTATTGATTTACTTGCAAGTTAATTAATTTAACAAATTCCAAGCTGTTGATACATACATGTATTAATCAGAATCAAATGAATTAATCTTATTCCGTAAGAATCTCCATGCAGCTGAATTATTGATATCACTTTAATTTAAGGTTAGAAATTAACTAATCAGGATCGCAATCAATTTCCCTTATCCCATTCAGTTCACAATCAAAAACCATGAGATTTATTCAGATAATATAATAATCAAAAGAAACATGTTAATGGGAAATGAAAATACTATTTACATGGTTATTAGATGAGATACCAGATGAATATCATGAAAAAAGGATTGGAAACTTTTGGAAACCTGAGATTTATGATGAAAATTATTCCATACAAATAAATGAAACAAGAGACAGAATTTAATTTTTAACTAATGTTGAGTTTATAAGAGAACCAAGAAAAAAATGGAACAAAAATCTCAAAGAGATATAAATAAATATCTCAGTTCCATGAATCATTTCCTGAGAGAAAAAGCTACCTCTGAATCCTTGGTGTTCATTAATCACCATGATAATAATTTTAATTCATTAAAAAAAAGATCTACTGGTCAAGAGTAAATAAATGAAATTGAAATCCCCATGAAAATCTTTACCATAAATGAGTAATTCAAGGTTGATTTCCAAATGAATGAAAAATTCATATCAACTCATTTACTATTAATTCTTGATAATAGAAGAGTATATTCAATTTTCAAGGTTCTGTCTCAATTGATAATAATAATCAATTCATTTTCTTCCTTAATTTTACCTCTCAATTTTTTTCTCTCCATCAATTGATTCAGCATTCTGTCTCGGAATCAGCTTGTGTACTTCCCTTTGATCCAGCGATAACTTGTCAACAAACTCCAATGATTACGACCTATCAACAGGCTTATTTTTATACTGATTCATTTGAAGAAGCCAAGGAACAGATGAGGTAAGTGAAAATTAACAATATTACAAATTTGATTGATTTTCTTTTAACAATTAAACGATAATTTCAATTATTTTTACAGTTATAATAATAACCTTTTTCATTATCATGTAAACGTTGTTCATTCATTCATTATTATCATGGTTACTTTCGGGAAACCTTAGGAGATGGATGAAAAAAGAGTCCAGGCAACAGGAAAATAAGGGAAAGTGGGAAAAGAAAAAAATAGAAATGAATCAGAATCAGAATCAGAATCAGATTGGAATTGAAAGTTTAATCTCACAACACTCAGAGGGAGAGAATCTCAATCAATTAAATTGTTGCTCTAGCAAAGAAAAAAAATATTCTCGGAAGATGTTGATTGTTAATTGTTAATCGGAAATTAATTCACTTCCTTTTTCTCTGAATACCCACCGAAAAAAAAGAGCAGCAATGCAATATCATCAATCGTTGTAAAATCTATCAAAATGATGGGTGAAATTATTGGATTAGTTTTAAAAAGAATAAGAAAAAGAAGAGAAAGAGAAAGAGAAAAAAACGAAAAGTTCCAAAGAAAAGTTTTCCTTTCACCCAGACCATTAGAACATAATATTTCACCGCCTACCCTGTATTCTCACCCACTTTACCAAAAGGGTCCCAGGGAGTTTCCATGAATGAACAAATAGTTAGAATCGGTAATAAGAAAAGTCAAGAGAGAGAAGAAAAAAAAATTGTTATTATGATCATAGTAATTTCTTATCATGATAATGATAATGACTATTATTATTATTACCATCAAGTTCAATCAGGTGAAATAAATGCAATGATATTTGCATTTGATAAGAAATTACCATCATTTGCATATCATTGGCTGGGAGTGTAAAACTCAGGAAATAAAAAGTAACCGAAAAAAAACCACAGAGAGAAAAAAGTACAAAATTCTTACAGGGAAAAAAACAATGATAACAATGAGTTCAAGTGAACAAGAAGAAGTGAAAAGTTTTCATGGTAACATATTCAGAGAATTGTCAGAACTTGAAATATTACATGATAAATGATTTGGACATTTTTTTGATTATCTTTTTCTTCCCCTTTTCGATATTCATATTATAACAGAGACTTTGCTGCGACCATTAAACGGCCATTTGGAGTACGATACAATCCTTACACCCAATCGGTTGAAATTCTGAGCAATACCCGGAAGATCATGTCTCTTGTTTCAGAGTTAAAGGGCGACCTTTGTATTGTTACAAATGCACTGAAAAAGATTAAGGAGAAAGAAGCAGAAACGGAAGGTGATAATATGATTGAGATGACAACAACAAACGATGATAATAATCAAGATAATAGTCGAAATGATGATGATAAAGATGACAAACAATTAAACAATATTCTCACTGATAAGTTAAATTGTGATCATCATGGTGATAATATCTCAGCAAATGTCGCATCAGAAATAACAAATAGTATCACAGCTCAGATTATTAATGCATCAACAGCAATTGCTGATTGTAAGATTGTTGAGAATTGATTGTAATCATAATCATTAATCTCTATCTCTTTATCCAGTGGTCATTTTGTGGTCAAGGAAACACAATTAGAGAGTAAAACTAAACAAAACTCATTTAAATGTTTGCAACTGGAAAATTAGATGAAACAATTAATTATTTAGAAATTCAATATAACCTAATGATTAATTGCTATTCTATATTTAAATCAATTAATCAATTATTTGGTGTGACATTTAATTTAACTGTTTAATTGTTTATCACAATCAGTTTTTTTCCCATTGATTATTGTCCAACTGATTGTTTGATTAATTGTTTATCAATAATTTCATTTTATTTTGACTTTGATTTTGATTTCTTAATTGTTGTATTATTATTACTTTTAACTAATTGCAAGTGTCTCCAAACAATTAACTTTTAATTGGAAAAAAATAATAAATTCAGTCTTTATTTAAGCTTCAATCATCAGCAATATGATTAAATTATTACAATTAAAGTTAAATTGTCAGCGAAAATATTAATTTAAATCTATTCCTCTTGTTTAATTGTAATGAGTTGCAATTTGAATGGTGATATGTGTTGACTAAACAAAATTGATTGTTAACAATTAAGAGTGAAAAACAAAAAATAAATCTCATTCATTGTTATGATAATTGTTGATTATATTCAATTATTCAAATTAATTCAATGTAAAGATATTACAATTAAAATGAGACTTATTATCAAATCAATAATAGTGACAATTTAATATAATTGAATATCTGTTCATAGAAAATTAGATTAACAATCAATAAATGATTAAAGTTTTAAGTTATTAACAATCAATAAGTTATTATCTTTATTTTTGTCTGATGAGCAAAAAAAAAGTTCAATTGAAATAATTGGATTAACGAGACATTAAAGATTAAAGTTAATCAAATAAAATCAATGATCTTGATATAAATTGACTGTAATTATAAATTAACAAGATTAACCTTTAATCTGATTTAAAGGTAATCAGAGTGATTAAAAGTCAATCAAAGAAATTAACCAATTGTGTCAACTCAGATGAGAGGAATTAGCAAACAAACAATTAGGTAAATAAAGGGAACGAGATTAAGAATAACAAGAATATGAGGATTAAAGATTAAGAAAAACTGGTTAATCTGACATGTGAAGGATTGAAAGTGAAATCAAGGATTAAATGGTTAAACATGGTAACCAAGTCAATGGATAAAATGAATAGAGGATGAGAAAAGTTCAAAGATATTCAATGGATTAAGTGTCATCATGATGGTGGATAAAAAAGATGAAGAAAAAAAGAGAGAAAAAAGTTTCCGAACTAATAGTTGACCTTGGCTTGTGAGAAGGCGAAATAATTACTGAGAGAGGGAATAAGATGATTCTGATAATGAAGATAAACATGATGATGAAGATGGAAAAAGGAAATAGTAGATGAAAGAGAAGATGATGAAGATAATAAATGAGAAATACAAATAAAGTGAAAAATTCTGATGCAACGCAGTCTCAACATGATGAACGAATTGGGAACTTGCGTCAACGATTCAGAATAAAACACTCAATTCAAGCTTAAACATTTTCCTACTTGAGGTTTCTCCCGATATATTTTTTATCATTCTGCTCACTTTAATAGTCTCTCTCATTCTCTCTCACTCTCCCATGTTGTCTATCATGAGTCTGAAATAATTTTCAAATAATTTTTTCACTTGACAGATAATTGAAGTCAATAGACTTTTAGTAATGTAAGTGAAAGGCAACAAATAAAAGTAGAAAACTTTGTCTATGGTAGTTTTACATTAAAATCAAACGGAACATCAATTGTTCATCATCATCATCAATTGGTTATCCTTTCTTATCACTTTCCATCATCATCATCATCTCTTACCATCATTAACATCATGGATCAACCAGTGTTTGAACAATCAACAAATCATCAGTTGATCAATTTAACTAATTCAGTTCCAAGTAACGAGACATTAATTATTTCATCACTTCAACTTGTTCAAATTGAAAAGGAAGCTTGTTCAAAGCGTTACAGAAACACAAACTCAAATAACGGTAAGTTTCAAGTGAATACACCAAACTAATTGTAATTTCAAACCATCTAATCAAATTGCTAATCCGTTAATCATAATCAAAAAAAAAGAGGAAAAACTTTCCAAGCAACATTAATCAAACAACGACAATTGTAATCAATTGAATCCTTTTACCCTTTGGTGATAAAAGTTAAGATAATTAGATTGTCTTGATTTAACCAGAAACTAGTTAACCTTTTATATGTATTAATCTAATAATAATGATAATATGTATTTGTCAATTGTAAGATTAACTTAATTGTTGTTCTGATTAGATTTGTCTATTTATTGTTAACCATTAACAATCAGTTTCTCCAATCAAATTAAGGTGAAAAACTTTTTTTTATCATCAAATGTACTTTGTGATAATATTAACATGAACAAATTGGAACCAAAAAAAAGTGATGTTGAAATTGTATCTTCACAATTACTAATATAATAATTGGATTGACAGAGAGAAATACAAGTAAATTGATCAATTTGAACAAATTGAATGTCTATTGAGGTTCAATTACAATTAATTAATTATCCTTTACTATTTGTTGTTGTGTCCAGTTTGTCCATTAACATGGGATGGATTAATGTGTTGGCCTGAAACACCAGCAGGATCTCAGGCAAGATTACCTTGTGCCTCTTACATTAGTGTATTTGATAAAAATGGTAAGTTGTGTGTTGATGTAATTCATTGTTGTGAAAAAAAAGACAATCAACTAATCATCGTCATCGTGATGACCATCATTTGCTTAATTGTTTCATTTAACCGATCAACATGGTCATCATTCATTATGTGCTTTGTGTCCATAAGAATTAGCAACTCGAGACTGTACTCTCAGTGGTACCTGGTTCATTAAGGAATCGACTAATCAAAGTTGGACTGATTATACTCGATGTCCTTTGAAAGTTTACCCAACAAGTGATCAAATTGATGTAAGTAATTAATCACCAAATTAACAACATTGACAGTTTTCAATTTAGTTAATTCATTTTCAACACAATTTATTTACAAACAAGTTCTGGTCAATGTAATTTAGTTAATCTAAATAGAGTACAATATATAAAAAAAGTTGATCAAGTTAACTGATTGGTAAACATTTATTGTCAAATAATGATTCATATTAAAAATGACATCGATCATTTAATCATCATGTTCATCACCATGTAAAATATTATCTTGCATATAAATATTCATGTAATCCAGTGAACTGAATGATGAACAAAAAAATAGAAACAGTCAATGAAAACTTTGCTCTTTTATCTGAATCTTTCATGAGAAATTCATTTCAATGGGAAAACTATTATTTTTACTCCTTCTATTGATGAATATATATATTTACCATGAAATGATGAGCAATATTTTTATAAAATAATTCATGGAAATGTTATCCATATGAATGGTTCAGGTGAAAGAAGCAATAATTTTTTTTCTCTCTTTGATTCTTTCATGAATATATTGCATCCATATCACTTCATGCATCAGATTCTGAATAATCTACTCAACTTATCGCTACAATCCAGGAGGATTCACCTTAAGCAAGACACAAATTCAACCTTTATGAACTTTTATCTCAATGAATATGTGTTAGAATTGATCTTATTTGATTTCGACCTTCTTTCATTCAGTAGATTCAGTTGTGTGTATTAATTTCTCAATGAATAATGATGCTGATCACTTAGAATCATTAACTTAATCATCACTATTAATATAAATACGTACATATGATTAATTAATCAATAGTTAGACTACATTACTCATCTTTGATTTATTTGTTCAGTTATCCATTTACAGTATGATAATGATATACCTAAAGTAATATATTAGTTACCTGAAGATGAGGATTGATGATTAGTATGAAATATTAATAGTTGAAATTTAATCACAGTTAAATAATTAAACATGATACTGATTCTTGGGGAAAGAGAAAAGGTTAAATTTTAATTAAATCACGTTTAGCTGAACATTTTCATTCCCATTCTTTAATTAAATCTAATTAATTTAATCATTACATGAATTTTGAGTTGTTGATATAATTTTCCATGAAAATTGATAATAATTAGAATCATCTTAATAACTCAACAGGTTAGAACTTTTTGTTTTTCAATGAAAGGAGAGAAATTTAATTCGATAGTTATTAAACTCTCAACTTGGAGTATAATAAAGAGCCATGAAATTCATAACCATGATTAGATTTTGTTATGATAATTGAGGGGAAATTTTCAAGTGCCGATGGCGATTTACTCGATCGAAAGTTACACAGACATGATAAAGATTTGTAATAGAAATAATTTCTCGATCTGTTTATTTTCTTAAAGTACTTGTTTCAACTTCGTAGAGAAAAAAAAATCTCATCAATCAAACATCCATGAGAACATGCTAACGTTAACAAGTAGATTATTTTATCCTAATTATCCTTGGACAAAGATAATCAACTCTCTCGATTTCAGAGTAATATCATTAACTCAATGTTTTCGAAACAAAAAGAACTGTTCAAATGAAAAGAAACTTTAAATAGAACTTCTCTCTCTCTCTCTCTCTCTCTCTCTCTGTCTTCATTTCCTGAGTTTTCATCAGAAACTTCAAATTGAAGGGCAACATCATGTCGTTTGAATTGTCAGCCTAATTGCAATTTAATAAGGTTCAATTAGAAAACAAGATAGACAATAATTGATAACAATCATGCTAATTGTAGTCAATCCCCATGAAGATATCTTAATTGTTGTCTCATAAATTAATGAGTTTTACCTTCTATCATCTATTTATTAGACAATGTAGTTAACTGAATTAGTTAATCACTGATTGATTCTAATCACAAGGGATAGACTGTGATTACTAATGGTAATCAGTTTATTGACAAAGTGAAAAGTTATTGTGATAGTTGATACAAAGAGAGAAACAAAGTTATAAGACCAAAGGTAAAAGGTGATTTCGAAAAGTTTTGTAGATTTGATCGTAGTTCCAATAATAAGATGTAAACAATCAATTCCATTATGAGATTGATTCTTATCCACTTTATTATCTTCATCCTGAAAGTCTGATTAATACTTGAAAGGATTTTCCTTAATCAAATGAGATCAAATTCTCTTAAGGTAAATGTTTACTTACCGTTAGAAAATTTTGAGAGATTATCTAGTTAATTACGGATAAATTGTGATTCTCTTCAGATTCCCATGTAAAATTCATCTGAACAATTAGACAATTATGCAACTAATATGCTCTATTTACATGTTTAAACTAATGTATTCCAATTAAGTAAAGTTAAATTTAACCTTCCAATCTGTTTGAACACGAAAATCTTAATCATAATTTGATTGTTTACTTAGTTAATTTACAATTTATTTAATTGCAATATTAAGATTAGACGAAAAAGCAAACCCAAAAATTAACAGTTAATATGAATTTCCAAGCACTTAACAATCAAACGTTGAACCATGAAAATAACCATGACTGATTCATGAGAATGAACAAAAAGACAATTTAGTTTTCCAAGATTCTTGATGATATTAATAATATGAATCAAATACTAATAAGCATTTAACTTTTCACCGAGAAACATTTTTAAGACCATGAAACTAATCGGTTGAACACTCAATCAACTTATTATTTAATTGTATTTATCAATTTCAATCCAATTAATTTAATCTTTGTTCATTTTTCTTTTCAGGACCATTTACATCACATTAAGTTAATCAGTAAAATTGGATATTCTGTCTCTCTGTTAACCCTTATCATTGCTTTTCTCATCCTATTTTGTAACAAGTAAGTAAATTACTTTAATCAATAATTTGTTAATCACTGTGATTATGATGATGATGATTAAACCTCTTGAAACAATTAAGACGATTATGCCCCCCATATACTTGGATATTATAATATTTTTATCTTCTTTTATATCGATTCAACTTGAGGATTTATTTTCCATTGAAAATATTGATTGAACTCAATTTCTCATCTTGACTGATCCCATGAATCTAATATCATGATCAACAACTCACCTTGAAAATTTCATCTTATTTTTTTCTCAAAGCATCTTTCAAAATGGTATCAAAAAGGTGACCTTTCAACTCCCACAAGATTATTGTCAGCATATTATTTTCTCTCTCTCTCTCATAATCTCATCGTTTTGTTATAAATTCTGACAGGATATTTCATATCAGAAGAGAACAGAACTTTCGCTTTATCGAACCTGAAGAATTTCCTTTAAATGAGGCTAACAAAATTTTCCACAAAGAAAACGTTCTGAATTGAATAGAAAAAGAATAAGAAAGTTGATTATCTTTACCATGGTTTTAATCAGAGTGTTGATTGTTTTTCATTATGTAGATAATTTGAGTTGCATGTTAAAAAAAAGACAATAATCTTATACTAGATAATGTGGATTCTGTGGTTAATTTTAGATCCAGGGTGATATTAGTTTTTCTAAGTGATTCTATCCCTGGAAACATGAGATTATTATCGATTGTTGTTATTATCATGATGTTGGATAATGATGATGATGATGACAGAACTTTTTTCCTCTATCATTCCAATAACAGCAATAAGTACAAATCAACTTAATAGTAATAGTTTTTGATTAATATATAAATAACCTACAGTCTAAGGAGAAAGTTTTATTTTTTTTTCTCTCACTCTTCCAGTCGGTTGTTAAAGATTTAATATCATGTTACTGAGTTTCATGGTTATGATGATTATGATGATTTCTCCACCATAAAAACACACAAGTATTTTCTCAATGTATAATAATAGTAATAATAATCTGAATACTTATAACATTTTGCATTCCTCATCAGCTGATATCAGATTTCATCTTAATCATGAACTTTTCTCTCTCGTTCACCCACTTGTACTTCCGCCTCATCACTAATAATGTTGAAGATGATTATCTCAATAGCGGCTATTGAGAAATTTCCGTTTCCGTGCCCTGGAAATGCAATTAAAATAGCAAGAGATCATCTTTAGTATTAGATTTTGATTTTCTTTGTTCCTCTTGCTACTCAATCTACAGGGAATTCATGATCTATCTGATTGTTTAGACTCACCTGGTACATAGATAGGTAAAGATTCGTGACTTGAATTAATTGACTCTTGATGATAATCATTAACTAGAGGGGAGATTCTTGGTGTTAACAGAAAAATCAATTAACTGAAACAAAATAAATGACGATGAGTAGATTAAACTTTGATTTATTTAACAATTATTTCCCAAATATAATCCAATCAGAATCCGAAAAACTAATATCAAACTTTAATCATGAACTCAGATTGAGCTCGAAATCATTTTGAATTTTGTTGAATTTTCAAATGAAAACAAAGTTACTTAGTAGATTTTCCCATGAATACCATGATGTACATGATAATTGTTACAAATTAGATAATATTAGTATGTGTAAGATAATCCTTGGGAATTTCACTCTCTTTATCCAAAGAAACTCATACATGATGATGATAAAGATGAACAATTTGTTGAAAAAAGTTCTGACTCGAAATTGAAATTTCATATTAAGCCAAAAACCAGTGAAAGTGAACAGAAAAAAATGATTAAGTTTTGTTCTAACCCAATGTTTATACAAATAATAGTTGATCTGAACTCTTTTTTGAAAAAATTATTCGATACTTGAGTAAACACCATGTTATCCATACGATAAATCATAAAAAACTCAAACCCTTTTGTGTCTCAGTGGATTTATTTGATTAACATGATTGATTTCACTTTTCATTTTTATTTTCAACTTCATCTCGTCCCAGATTCGACATTTTTTGTTCATAGTTGTCATCAATATCACATCATCATCATTCACATTATGAGAGTTGCATATTATCATCATCACCAACACCGATGAATTCATTTTCTATCTCCTCACCAGAACTTTTTTCGTAACTTTTGCTAAATTTTTTTTCTCTCTCTGTTTTTTTCTTCTTGTTTCTCATCTTTTCCCATTCATTCATCTGTTCATTATTGGATGATATTCAAAATCAATAAACTTTATCTCATCTGGGAAATATCATTTGATGACATTGGATCAAAATTGACTAAAATCATCATCATCCTAATCTTCATGATGGGTAATATTTAGGCGTCTTCAGTGTCCTCGAAATCATCTTCATCTTCAATTGTTTCTATCGTTCATAAGTCGATCATTATTAACTCATGTCAAAAACATTTTCTTCACCTTGGAGGATAACAGTGTAATTATTGATTAATTGCTATTAGAAATTTGATATTTTCGATTCTTTTTACTTTGTTTCTCTCTCTCTCTCTTTTTCTATTATTCTGCTCCCTTACTCTTATCATTATCATTCCAATTTTCATCTTTATCTTTATCTCAATATCAGTGGTTTATCATCCCTCGATCTCAATCTCATGAAATGTCATATCTATTATTTCAACTCGATTTTTCTGCTTCATCCTCTGATCATTTCCTATCTTAATCAATTCAATCATCTTCATCATCTGTAAACTATTATTACTTTTGATAAATACGGGCGATTATCCAATGTACCAGAAAAACAGGATACTATCAATATAGTTGAATAACAGTTGATATTCAATTGATCAGGTATATACACGATATATACATGGTAATCACCATGAAGTTGTCATGAAAGAGCCTCATGGTTACACTTTAATATCATTTTCTATGCTTAGTATGAGATGAACTGTGAAAAAAAACATGATATAATTATATTACATTGTATCACATTGGATTACCTTTTTCATATCTACATCAATCAAGACCAAATCATTAATAGAATGTAATTAACAAGATAATGATAATTATAGTTGATCAAGTTAACCATTGAATCAAATTTCCTTGACCAGTAGTATTATTTGCAAGCTCATCTTTCAGATAAAAACTTTTCTCCATTGATATCATGATATTAATATTGACACAGTAAGTGTGATAATATGATCAATAAGCTTAAGCCATAATCAATGGATTAAACTGGATTAATGTCAAAATTTAGGTTCAAAACTAACCAGGATTATAATGAATATGCTAATTTTCTTGTTCATTAGGATTGTATTACATTTATTTTACTCTAATTAATTGCTAATGATGATACAATCAACCAGTAATTATCTCATTACTTTACTGTTTTCCAACATTCTCTTTAACAGAAAAAAAGTTTTATTAATACTTTGGGAATCTATAGTTAATTGTTAACTACCTGTCGATCGATATTACTATTAGAATATAAGTAAACTTGAATACATCGAAAATAATTGATACATAATAATAATAGTATATTTATTTACTTTTATAACGATACTTGAGGAATTACAATTTAGTCTGAAAGAAAGGAAATAGGATAAGGTCAAATAATGAGAACCAACGATTCTTAAATCAAGCACGAATTGAATAAGATCATTGAAGAAAAAAAAATTCCAACCGATAGTGAATAAGATTCGATATGAATATCATGAATTCTACTGAAGAGAATATCATTGTATCGATAATTATGAGGCTATTTGAGTATTTCCTTTCTCTAGGTAAATAGAGTTCCAAATAGATTTAGATAATTCGATAGAGAAATTTTGATTTTCCTTTGAAAAAAAAGTTCTATTCCATATTAATCTCCAATTGTTCGTGGAAAATTTCAACTCACAAAAAAGTTGACAAAGTCAATTGTTATCATTTCTATAATGAAGAAAAATGAACTTTACTCTGTTTAAAATCATCCATGTTGAACTTTGATTAACTTCAACCTTTAGCCTGAATAACTTGGCATCGATTCTTATGGGGTTTAAGTAAATATTATTCGTAATGAAAATAGAATAGAGAGAAAAAAACTTGGAGCCAAATCTCAGTTGAAATGGTCAATCAGGAATAAACTATGAACCTCCCCTCAGAATTCAGAGTTAGTATCACGATGAGCATTGAAAGAAGGTTAAAAAAAATGTTGATTCCAATCACAATCATTCATTATTATGAAATATTTTTCCTTTTGAATCGTGAATTCTGTTCATGAAAATGTTCATTCAGAGTCCAAATGAAATCTTATTGATGAAAATATTATTACCTACTACTGATAGTTATTCAAAAGACTTTGAATCAAAGTCTTTCATGGAGGATGAGAAGGAAGTAAAAAAAAAGCATATGAAAAAAACTCTGAGCCCCATGAAATCTGTAGATATTCACATGTTTGCTATACTCACACCTCTTTTCACTTTCAATCATTTCGATCTTAATATTATACTTTTGGTGTTCATTTCAAGATAATTCTGTAACATGATGTATCATACATGCAATTAGTTGAACTTTCAGAACCAGAATATTGTAGAGGGTGAGATTGGAAAGACAATGAATTTGATTAGATTTTATGTTTGGTAATGTCAATTAGAAATTTGTCATTTTGTCAACCCTTCATGAGCCTTTTTTTCAGATTATTATGTTCACCAGAATTCACATGATAATGTGACAAGGATTGATGGAAATGCCTTGCGGGTAAATTGAAATAGGAAACAAAAAAAAATCTCCAGAGCTTATAAAGTAAACCAGAGGGGAAAATAAGTTTTCAAATCATCTAATCATTATTTTCCATTTAAATTGAATTTAATTGATTACATTTCCATTTCCAGTGTCACTGATTCAAACCTCAAGCCAGGGAAATCCTCATGAGTAGATGAATAATAGTTTCTTTCAGATTATCAATAAGCTATTAATATGCGAGGCATCAAGATAGATCATGATAATAGCAAGAAGAAAGATTCGAGATAATTTTTCTCATCTCAATAAACATAAATTGAGAGCTTTTAATTGAGTCTGAAAAAGTTCATGGCTCTCATGATGTGAATATATGAATTTACATGACGGTGACAAACAGAAAAACTTTGAAACAAGATTTTAATCTGAGTTTGAAATTTGAAGGATTCAAAGAAGCGATAATTTTATTACCATGATAATGTTACTTGTTGGTATTAACGATTAACTTTGAAAACTTTATCATGAACTAGTGATTTTCCTCAAAATAGTTTATATATAATTAGTCAAGTCTCCATGAAATTTTACCAGAACTTTTGATTCATTTTTCACTTTCTCAGTTGAATTTTTTTCTATTTCATCAACATTTTAATTACAAAATCTAATTAAATAATGAATTGATATTGAAATTAAGAGTCAGAATTATTATTGTATCATGATAAGTGGCTCATCTCTTTATCTTCTGGTTATCATCATGATATTGGCAAAGATCATGATTAGGTTGACAGAATCATTTTCTAGATATTAACATGATGATGATGATTATTATTATGATAATGAAATAAATAGATTCTTTTGATTCTGGCTCAAGATTTTTGATATTTCAATAATGATCATGGATTCAGACTGAGCTTAAATTTTATGTAAAAGTCAAACAAATTTATCATGATATTATCAAAGATAAGATGATGATCAGTTTGATGATGATTATGATGGAAACTCAAGGAAAGAGCAAACAAAAAAATTGGAACATGTAAAATGAATGGATATCATCAATTTGATCTTCTTCATCCTTCATGATATTTAAAATAATTCAAGAGATGATTCAGGTTAAATTCTGAAGGAATTATGATAGGAACCAAGGTGAAGGTATAAAAATGATAAAATCAGATAAAGGGAGAACCTTTTCCACCCTCATCTCACACAAAAGCTGCTTATCTAATGCTGCTGATAAATGAATTTCTCTGAACTTTTTTATCAAATTCCAAAAATAAACCACCCTCTTTCATCAGCATTCTCTCTCAGTTCGATATTTAAAAGGAGATGATTCTTGAGGGTATATAACCTCAGGGAATTAGTCATAATGCTTTGAGACTTCCGTGTAAACTGAATACCTTGAGTGCACGAATCTATGAAAGTATTCAACATTCAACTTTTGAACATCTTTAGGATTTCTGTTGTGATATTCATGGAAGGTATTAAGTAAAGGTAGATGTACAACATTCTGTTAATTCTGATAGGTAATCCGATTGACAGATGCTGAAATCATGAGAAAAATAACAGAATTTCTAGTCATCAATATATCGATAACGAAATCATCATCATCATCATCATGGGAACAGATAATCAGGATAATAGCAACATCAACAACAATATTAACTGAACAGATTGGCTCAATTTCAAGTTTCATTTTTCTTTGCTATTTTTATCAAAGAAAAAAAATGGAAAAAGAATTACTTAACTATCATCAGCTCATGATAAAGATTATTCGTTATTTTTCAAGTTCACAAATAATCTCAAATTTTCAAAATTTGTTAGCTAATAGTTTCTTTTTTACCATTATAATCATTACATTCCCACACGAAGACAAGAACTAATCATTTTTACTCAGTAAACTCTAATACTCTCTTTCTCTCTCTCTTATTCGATAAGATGATTTCAGGTGAAAAATGAGATTTTCAGAGTCAACGGAATGAAAAATAAATGATGACGATGAAATTAGTTAATTTTTACCCGAATCACGAAAAAAAATACATGAAAACAATGAATGATTCATGATAGTTCATCATATTGAACACAAAGGATATTTTCTGAAAAAAGTCAGGTTATTTCAGTCCTACAACACAAAAGGAATATCATTTTTCTAGTACAAATCATATAAATCACATCGAGTACAATAATTAGAGATAAGATCTAATTATATCTCATACATGTCGATGGATAAAAAGAAAAAAAAATGATCGGAATATCTGAATGATGCTCATTTTTTTCTCATAATTTCCAGTGTTTGAACTCATTTTTCAATCCTCTATGTAAATTGGAATGATTCTGATTTTCTCTTCTTTTTCCCCTATTGTTGATCCATAAATATTCTGATAATTTTTCATCAATTTATCTTTTCCATTTCCCCCTGAAGACATTATCATGTAAGCTGATAATTGTTATTTGGCAATACTCACTTCTAGCAAACTACAATTGGCTATTAATGGAAGGACTTTATCTACATAATCTAGTATTTTTCAACATTTTCAATGACAATTCAAGTATCATGAAGTACATTGTTCTAGGATGGAGTAAGTTGATCATCTAAGTACCATATGAATACAATATAATCGTTGAACAATATAATTGAAACCCATTCAGAATCAAGCAGCGATAATCAATAACTATTATCATGAAAGGACAAAACATCATGAGTACTTTGTATTAATCCTAAAGTTTCGATGAATCATTTTCATGTTCAATTTCCGTTTCCATATTGAAGACTAAACCATTATGCCTTTCCATCAATGGGAATATTAGAGAGAAAAAAAGAAACGATAATAATTACTGATACTGATATTGAAATTCTTTGATTTCATTAATATCATCATCTTGAATTTGGTTAACAAGTTCATTACCTGTTGACAGTAATAAGAAAATCAAGAGACCATGAAAAATGAATTAATTCTGATTCTTAGAAAGAAATTATCATGAACAGTTTTCTACAAGTACAATTAATGACAATTCCCTTTTGACTGAGTTGACAATTGATTTACGACAATTGACAAGGTTGACAATTAACAAATTAACCTTTCAATTTGTTAATTATATCGTTAGTTAGAGTCTAGTCAACAATTTATCATGTTTCATTCATAATGATGAATTTACTTTCCATGTTCATTAGTTACAATTCAAATATTAACTTGATGGAGCTTTAATTGCATTAATTTTGATACATTTGATTAGCCAAATCTTAGAGATCCATTGGATCAATACTGAGATCAGATAATCATCATCAGAGGAGATTAACAATAATTAACAAGTTGTTTCCAATTCTTTCGTCAGGTTTACCTGTAATCTTCATAATACCCTGGATATTTGCTCGATCAATTTATGAGGACACCAATTGCTGGGTAATTAATGAAAATATCGCCTTATTTTGGATAATCAGAGGACCAATAACAATATCAATAATAGTGAGTAAATTAAGCTACAATTAGATTAATTGTTTCAAAATAAGAATTCGACATCTCAGTTAGCAATAGTAAAGAACGAGTTAATTTCTTCTTGATGAAGATACAAGAAAAGAACTAAACTAAAACTATGTTGTTCGACTATTTCGATATTAACACTCAAGGAAATAATTGTCATCATTGTTCATCGTTATAAAGAATTTTTTTTATGAAAGTTCAATTCAAATTCTATTATGTATTACAAAAATTTTCTCCAACATTTATTATCATGTTCACTTTTCAGTTCGATTGAATTTTTATAAACTTGAGTCTCGAATTATCATGCAAATGAATATATTTATTTATTCCATACAAGGAAAAAGATGAAGAGGAAAAAAATTGGAATATTCGATTAAAAAAATGTTCTCCGCATCCTTTTTTCCCTATCTTATTCTCAGTTCTATCATATAAAATGTTGATAATACTTTTGCTTCATGATTGAAGTTGTTTATGAGAAGATGATTTATATTTTTCTCAATGATGAGGTTAATTTTTTACTCCATCTTCCAAATCAATACTGACCAGAAACTCTGAGATTCTTATTACTGGTCATCGATGGAACTTAAATGGACAACATATATCGATTATAGCTCGATATGTTTAGAAACTCATAAAATAGATTAATATAAAAGTCGAACGTTAAAAATGTGAAGGTTGATCGTTGGTAGATTTTTGATCATTTTTAAGGCAAAAGAAAAACTTAATCAATCGTATTTAGATTAGATTAACTAACTAATTAGATTAATATGCTTATCGATTTGAATTGATCATCAAAGTCTTTTCTTACATGATTACATTTTAATCATGAACGAAGATGAAAAATTTTTGGTGAACATTTTCACTCGAAATCGATATTTTTTTTTTGCTAATTCCTCTTGTCGTTATTATACATTATCGACATTCTAATTTAATCAATCATGAATATACTTACTAATCTATTCTAGTGTTATACAAACAATTAGTACATTAACTACAAACAATCAAAAACTAATGAGTAATCAAGTAAATCAATTAGTTAAACCCTCATAATTATAATGATAATTTAATTGTTAATCCATTGAATTTCTGCTCAATTCTGATAAATGAAAATTATTTAAACAAATGAAGAGGATAAAATATTTTTCCATTCAACTGAATCATCTTAATCACGTTAGATTAACTCTGATTGAATGAGCAGATTTAAATTAATACTCAGCATCATGAAATTGACGTTGATTCAAATCAAAGTTAAACAAATGTTAATAGTTACATTGTATTCATTTTTGATACATGAAATATCAATAATAATAATGTCTCATTCATGTGGATCATGAATACAATGGAATAGTTTTCTGAACCTTGCAAAAAAAACAGATACATTCTGATGATAATTTAGTCTATGATAAAATCAATTTATCATAATTTGACTTAAATCATTTATTAATATCCTCTTATTAATAATAATATCGGTTTCCCATGATTTTATTGAAATAAATCATCATCATCAATGGAACATGATTATTCATGAATATAATTTGACCTTGATAACATGAATAACTGTAAACTAAAAATTGCTGGGATGATCAGAATTGATAGTAAAACATTAATCAGTCTGAGGGGATAGAAAATGATTAGATTAAATTATTATCATTCTCAAGATACTTGACAAAGAGTCTGAGAGATATTATGATAATCACCAACGAAGTCTATTACTATTGTGACCTTTCAATGAATTCCATGCTGATAAATGAGCTTTTTTTAAGGAAAAAAGTTCATTTTTTTCGTTGAAATTTGGCGAAAGAAAATATAAAAAGAAAATGAAAGAACTTTGTTCTAATGATAGCGATAATATTATTAGATTGAATAGAAGGAGAAGAAAAAAAAACTCGAAGAGTCGAATGAGAAAAGAAAACATTTTCTAACTTTTAATCATTTTTAACTTTAATCCTATTAAATCCATGGTTGACACAATTCAAGTTATTCTCCCTGTTCTTCTTGGTTCATTTCATCATAATAATATTTTCATATTATTCAACTAAGAAGATAAAAGAAGATGAGAAGAGTGGGAATAATAATAGGAGGAAAGAGAAGAGAAAATGAAAATAATTCTTTTCTCCGACCCAATTCAATGTCTCTCTCTCTCTATCTTTCTCTTTATATCTGAATATTTACATGGGATCGAGTTTTCATCTTCATTAGAACTTATTAGAAGAACAAGAAGTTTGGACCTGAATTATCATCATAACTAATAATTTGCTATTCTATTGATTCTTTTAGCATTTTTTCGTCATCTTTCATGGATTCTGTTCATGACGATGGCCACAAGAAAAATGATCTAACAAGATTTAAGACAATAATAAGTTTATCCTTATCGTTCGTATTGGGAATTGTTCAGACTCAAGTAAATAATATATTGGTGTACACACTAAAAGTATATTAAATATGTTTATCAAGAGAAAAATGAAAACTTATTCAGTATGTAAATTTCAGTTTCTTGATGAGTTATTGTTATCATTTTTCTTTGGCTAAAAAATCATCACATTTAGAAAAGTGTCGTTATTTTTATGTTAAAGAATATGCATAAAATGTATCATAAGGTTGACATTCGTCAGAGCTTCTAGTACTTATAGATTACTCATTCAATAATCATGGAATATGAATGAGAGAGAAAGAGAAATAGATTTGGTATAATATCATTGATTTCCCTGGTAAAGTCATCAAGTAAAAATGAAAGATAGAATCAAGAATAAGTATCATCATTATCATCAACTGAATGAAATTCAGCTTGACAACCACAGAAGAAAAAAGTAAAGACAGAAGAAAAAAACTGCTCAGACACAGAGATACAGACATGAGATGATAGTGAATATGAACTTTGAGCATAGAATAGAAAGAGATTGATGAATAGTGAGAAAGGCGAAAAAAAGTTCTAAAGATAAGAATCTGTCTGATATCAGAATAACTTTTTTCTTTCTAACGTTGATCAAAATCAGAACTTTTTGTTTACGTGTGGACTGAAAGGGAATATCATCAATATCATTATTGAATAGTAACAATATTATGAGCAACAAACAACATCAACAATGGAAAAAAGTAAACAAACAAACAATTGATAATCAAAATAATAATAAGAAGAAAGAAAAAAGAAAATGAAATTCAGTTATTTTCTCAAAAGGTTGAAATCAAAGAGTTCGAGCCTTTTTTTCAAACTGAATGTTTGTCAACATGATTATTCAGAATCTTTTGTTGATAACATACTCATTTTTCTGCATCTTAAATACCAACAAGAAAAGAAAATTTGTCAAAATGTAAACTTCCGACATTTACACTTATAATTTCATCTTCGTATCAACTTGATATTTGTTCGTTAACATGATAACATTGAAGAATAAGATTCATATCTCTCTCTCTCTCTCTCTCTCTCTCTCTCTCTCTCTCTCTCTCTCTCTAGCTTGCTCTCTTTTTCAAATTCTAACCTTAATCATGAGAACTATCATAGATCTGAGAAAATACTTGCAGATGAAGAGAGAAAGTGAAATAATAGAAGAAAAAATTGATCCTTTTCATGCAAAATTATTCAAATGCTAAGATAAACTGAGAGAGAATCCATATCGTTACCATGGGGACAATATTTCCAGTTATAATTTTATTTCTTTTTCTATTATACAAAGTAAATCACATTCTGTATACCAAGATGAAAGAAAATATAACAAATGAAAGAGATAAACAAGGAATATAATCAACAACAATGTCTCAACAATCCAAACACATTTACGGTTAAATCAAATTGAATTGAATTATTATAACGAATTGATAATCATCGCATTAACGAAATCGATAAGATCTCGTTTTATTCATATTGAAAAGAGATTCTGATTGAGATAACGGTAGATTTACCTTGACACTTTATCTACATGTATATCTTATTCGCATTAATTGTTACTTTATTTTACCTTTTCTTTTACCCTTTTATACCATTTCAATAGTTAAATCTAATATTTTTCATCAATATCACTCGAGTTTTATTTTTGAAAATGTTCTCATCCTCATCTGTGGCTCAAGCATCTCGATGCTACAAGTATAGTAAATGGTTCAAATCAACTTTAGTTCTGGTTCCATTATTTGGTGTTCATTATGCTCTCCTATTAGTTGCTAATTCGTTGGCATCAATATCACATACTATTGAAATCGTTTGGCTTTATGTTGATCAGCTGTTCACCTCTTTCCAGGTAAGTTAATTAAATCATCATTATTATCATCACAATAGTCGATATACAGCCAAAGAATTTGAGTTTGCAACCACTTTTTAAGACATTCACGCAGTTGAATATAATCAATGAGAGATAAAGTTAACCCAGAGATATGATAATAAGTTTGTCGACTAATTCAAGTGATGTAGTCTTGAAACGGTCAACTGATTAGATATCAAAAGTTATCTCTACTTGATTATCGTTAACTGCGTGAATGATTTAAAAAGTGGTTGCAAACTCAAAGTCTTTGGCTGTATAATTGTTAGGGAATATAAGAACACAAGTAAGATCGTATCGAGTGAATTGAATTTTATGTAACATTGAAATCATCAGAGCTTTCAAAGGTATCACAATTGACGGTTAGTTTTATTGAAGGGCAACTTATTGAAAAAGTAATAAGTTAAAGGGGAATAAGGGTTAGTTCATCTGAGGTAGTTAATTAAATTATTTTGAAGGGAATTAATTTGATCATCACAATTGATAAATAATCTTAACAATAATGAGACTAAGAACACTAGCTTGAGTTTCTCAAGCTGGTGACTATTTAAAGTATTTATTTGTATCAGTTGATCTAATCATTGAGAGATGATTTCATAATTACAAATAACAAAGGCTAATCCCCTTAAAATAATATTATTAGCATCATCATCGCCCTCATAATCATAACCATCATCAACATAAATGTCAATTTTTATCAAATTTCATGATAATGATAAATTATTTTCTTTATATAAAAACGATGATAACATTATTAATCGAACTGATTCTTGGCTGGTCTTAGATCATTTTCTTTTAATCAATTAATCATTTGAATAATATTTTAGTTCTGAAAACAAACTGATCCATCAAAACGATAAGAATGAGATTGAGTCGATGTACGAAAAGTTGTAGCATGAAAGTTGCAAGGATAATAAATTGAATCGAAAAATGTTCAATACTGAATATTGAACATTTTGTTTTGTTTTTGAGGCGAATTTTGAATTCATCTTCTTTGTTTATGTTTTCCATTGAATGCTAACAATGGTTCATATGGAAAAAGATTATAAAGCAATTAGATTTTTCGTTTTAAATTTTAGCGATTACGAAGTTAGGTTTGTTTTTTATTTTCCTTTTTTCTTATGATTTATTCTAAAAGAGATGATATTTAATTGTTCTTTTTCATTCCTTCTTTCAGGGTTTCTTTGTGGCTCTTTTATATTGTTTTCTTAATGGTGAAGTACAACAAGAGATGAAGAAATGGCTTCGCCAGGCAAGTCAACAAGATCGTGGACTTCAGTCTTCTAACTCTATGACTTACAACTCAATCTTAACACAATCTATGTCTTACTTAAATCGTGGCAGGAATGACGGATCAACAACAATTTATAACGAAAATTGTTACAACAATGGACTTCGAAAGGAATCAATGAGAACCTCAACCTTGATTATCAATGATAAACAGGAGAACTGTGATTTGGCTCCACCGTCAGCTGATCATTTGACATCATCACCGCCGGAATGATGAACGAGGAAAAGGATAAAGAAGAAGAAGACGAAAAGGACCTCAGGCTTAATTCTGTCGATGGAGACAAACATAAAAAAGAAAAACACGAAAAATATTGTAATTAATTTACTTTGAAAGATCAAATGATAAGAAATCTTTGATATTCTAATAAATCCAATGAAAGTTATAATCTTAAAATACAAACAAAATCACCACAAGAAGAAGGAAAAAATATTACAAAATAACATATTTAATATGAATAAGGATAAAGTGATGACTTGTTAATATATTAAATGCTGGTTATAATTATTGTTAAGACAACTTGATGAAAAATATCATCTAAATGATATTATAAGATAATTAGTATTCATTAAACTATTTCATAATTTACTACTGAATAATTCATTAGCAAATTATCAATAGAAGCGGATAAATATCATAATGTTTAGCTAAAGGATAGAAATGTTATTTTCTAGTTCGATAATTGATCAAGTTTGACAATTTTCATTTGCTCTTTGATGACCCCAATTGATTCTAGATGATTAACTTTTACAATTCATTTGATTTTTGATGAAAAAGTGGAAATAGTTTATATTCAGAGCCATTAAATTCAGTAGCATGTTCATGATAAATGAGTTCCATCTATGAATCGCCCAGTAAACTCTATTATCGACTATATAATTTTACCTATTCAATATTTACAATTAGCTAAATATTAAATTTTACGAATAAAACTTTTTACAATTTTAGAATCACTTTAACTGAGTGAATATTGACCTATTAAACTTTATTATCGTTTAATCATAAATCTTATACACAATTAATCGGATAAGATATTGAAATGAATATTGACCATTCAAGATCAGAATCTATCAAAAGTGGCGGGTCATGAATAACTTTTGGCTGAATCTCTTTAAGAATTGAATATAATATTATTCCATCTATTGATTGATGTTCGAACTATTTTATCGATCAATTTGATTGAAGGAAATTTTGTTCTTCCTTCTCAAGCTGTTTGGTTCATCTATCAATAGATGTCAGTTGAATAGAGAAAAATCTTCACCATGGAAAACAAAAGTCATGTGTAACGGTGAAAGCATGCTGATCATGGTTAATGTAAGAAACTGAGAGGAAATAAAAAAAGTTTCAGAAAAACTGAATAACCTCATAGTCAATAGAAAAGTTGTCAAAGAAAAGCGATAAAGTTTCGCCGTTGAGCCAATGTTTCAATCGATCATTTTCTGAACTTTTATTCTTATCAAGCGAACTCGAAGTGTATGTGTGTCTGTTTACCTAAAAGTGTAATTCAAATATTCACTTTATTAGAATAATTGAATCAAAGGATTACCTCTTAATCTCGGGAATTACATCCATTTAATACTCTCGATTTAAACTCAATGGTACTTCATATTTGTGAATGAATTAGTGTTACAAAATCGTCTATTAAGGTCAAAATTTGACCCACAATTCACTTAGATGTGGTAACTAAAGTGCTAACGTTACAATTAATAAAAGTGTGTCTGTGTGTACTTGTGATCGTTTCAATTAACTATGTCAACATTAATCACAAACATGGATAATGTAAAGTTAATTGTGTTCTCATTAATTGGATTTAATTTATTGTTTACTGTTAATTGTTTAACATTGGAACAACAGCCAAATCGCAACCATGGTAATTGGATATCAAATTTTCAAGGTAAAATACAAAATCTATCAAGTAATTCATACATTAAATTTAACAATTGAATAGCAAAAAAAGGTTCAAATTAGTTACAAGAAATCAATCAAATAATGTGAGTAAATTAATTTGTAAAATTAATTATCATTATCGTTTTTAAATCAATTATGAGAAGCAAAAAAAAAACAAAATACTCACAATCTACTTTGATTATCAGCATTTTAAACTCCTGCTTCAATTGATAACAATAAATCACTGAAACAACTCATCAACTCTAATCTACTACCAGTTCATGATGATAATGAAGATTAATCTGATTCTGGAGAAGCGAAAAAAAAAATGAAAAAAAAACTCTACATTTAGTTCATTGATTGTAATCAACATCAGTGATCATCATGGTGATGATAATGATGAGGATCATCATCTGTTTACTATGTGAATATGTTACTAGAATCTGAGAGTAGGAAATAAAAAAATATGAAACAAAATTTCAATCCAAATTGATTGATTGTCGCCGTATCATCATCATGAACAAAAGTAGGATATCATCTGAGGCTCAGAACTTTTTTTATCTTCACTATGATTGAATGGCAACGAGAAAAAATTGTAATGATTCAGGAATCATGATATTTCCTGAATTTAGTTCATAGCCCATTCATTCTCTCTCTCTCTCTCTCTCTCTCTCATCTTCTAATAAATAATATATTCTGTTTTGCGTGATGATGATCAGATTTATATCATCATCACATAAATATCATCAGTATATTAATATATTTAACAAACAACGAAGTTCACCTTTACCTATGAGCAAATAAGTAATAATAACAGAGTAAAGTTATCAAGCTGAAAAAACTCATATGATATATATTTTTATTGTATTTGCAAAGGACACACGTAAACAGATTCATGAGTAAACATGAGTAGATGTGGTGAAAAAATAGCGACATGAAACTATCTGAACAAGGTTTATATTCATATTGATGTGAGTTTTATGAATCTAAATAAATAACCAAAAAAAATCGAGAACTGGAAATGTTAGAAAAAAACATCGGAAAGAAATTGAGGAATCAAAATTTGTTTTTTTTCTCATATCAAAAATTTTCCAATAGAAAAAAAAATATGAAAAGTTGGAACTTTTTTCTCGTCATTTCCTATTTTGATTGATTGGTTCATATAAATACAGAAAGTTTTACAAGCCTTCGAGAAATAGATTATGCTGATTGAGATCAACTTGTGGATTAACCTAATCGTTAAGGTGACACTTAATCATTTCCATCAATTCCTCTTCGATCAAATATCTTGGTGGTCATTTAGATGGTCAATGATCTTAAAGTAGATAAAAACTGATACAATATGTTATATGTTGAACTTTGTAAAAAGTTTTCCTTTTCAAAATGATCATTTCCTTTTCCGGATTGAATTGTTTTTGTGACATCTCACTTGGGATTACTTAAATTTCACAAAAGTAATGGTCAATTTTTTATTGATCAAATTCGTGTTCAAAAAGGTCAAGATTTATACACTTGAAGTTAATTAGGGTCAAATGATTCATCATGACAAGCGAATGTCAAAATGAAAACTGATACTCGATTTAAAATATTAATATGAATAAGTGGGTAGCATTTACTGTGTTGATTGAACATTGATTGATTCATGAGAATAATTATCTTATCGTTGATTGTGAATTTCATCAAATTGTTACAGTTTTTCTTTCTTGTCTTTCACTCTTATCAGATTTATTTGATTTCTCCCCTGTTCCATCATGAAATAGATACATCATTATTATTGTTCTCACTTTCATCTCCATCCTTCTTGATCAACACAACTCATAGGTATGAGTTACAGTAGCTCAGAGTGAAACTTCATTGAGCCTTCGTGATTGAAAAGTAATCAGAAATTGGATTTTGTGAGCTTGAGTAAACTCATTTGACAGTTAACAGTGTTTTCTGTTTGTTTGTTTATTTGTATTTTTTTCCCTCATCTCATCGTTTTTTATCATCATCTTCATCATCTCTATCTCTCTCTTTCTCTCTCCCTCTCTCTCCCTCACTTTCTCAATTTGTCTTTCCCTTTCTATTAACATCATTTTTCTTCTTCTCTTATTTCTCTCACTCGGTGACATTGATTGAGATCAATTGGCGTTCCAATGATTATTACAAATATAAAGTTAGAGAGAGAGAGAGAGAGAGAGAGAGAGAGAGAGAGAGATGATAATGATGCTTTTCATGGTGACGATGAAGATGATAATGGTTCTGATGATGAAAATTCAATTGAAATTCTGTTGAACTGAACAATCATAAAGTAATCAATTCAATAATTTTGTTGTATTGTTTGCAATGGTGAAAGAAAGTGAAAAATACTTTTAAATCAAATGTAATCCTTTATGTGTTAGCTCATCTCTTTTCATCAGTAACGTTATAATATCATCAGCATCATCGAATCATCAGTATCATCATCATCACACTAATGAAACTTGAATTAGTTTTAAATTGCAATTCACTTTGTTCGTCATCTTCTGTGTCACATCGATAAAGAAAAATTTGGCAGAAAAAAAGACAGAAAAACAAGCAGAATAATAAAAAAGCGAAAAGAATCTTCATCAACCACTCATAATGATTTCAAGTTGATGATAATGATGATCCAAAAAATCATGGAGATCATCATCATTATGAGAGCCATGTTCCGATAATTTGAAGATCAATAATAATAGCGGATAAATATTACATAACCAGAATTTTTCATCCACACAAACAAGTAACAACAACGCAACAAAAAAACCTATTAGATGATGAGAAAAAAAGTAAAATCTTCCATGAGTTTGAGTTAGCTGACAAAGTTCAGGGTAAGATAATGATTATCATGAAAGAGGAAAGAGAGAGAGAGAAAGAGAAAGAAGTTACCACGATAAATATCAGCGAAAACTCTTGGATCATCTGTAGATATTATCAAATAATAATAGTTTCAACATCTCTGGAAAAATAATCAAATAAATTGCATCAAAAGTCCATCGTTTCCATCATTATGATTGACCAAGAAAGAAAGTGAGAAAGAGTAAACAACTTTGAAAATTGTTATAGAGAATGATGAAAATAAAAAGTAACCACATCACAATGTCTTCATCATCAAATATTATCACCAAGTCTCTTGTGGAATGTAATAATAATAATAATAATCATAAAAATGATAATAATCATCAACATCATCATTAGGATCAAGATGAAAATCATAATACTATTATCAACAGTATCGATGTTTACCTTTACAAGATCATCATCATCATCCTCAAGATTATAAGATGATGATGATGTTGATGATAAGTTTGAGAGGACAACGTGGAGGAAATTTTCATCTTCCTTACTGTTGAAAGGTGAACTTCAGGGTGATCAAGGTAAACACTTTAGTGAACAAAACTTATCGGCATTAGCCAACTGATTTATAACTAAAGTTATCGATTCAGAAGAAGAGACTGCCTTTCACAAATTCAGTCTGTTACAAATTCTTTTAGGATCTTTCCAAAATACTAATATTAATTTAACTCACAAGGTAAATTAGATTATAAACTTAAAGGTTTATTAAAACTTGTTAATTAATGTTAACAGTATGAAGATTAAATGGAATTAATTGTAATTTGATTCGATCATCTTTTATATCGAAAATCGAATAATCGAAATTTGAATTTTCTAAAGAGAACAATTAATCTGATTGGTCGATTAACCATTTGTCTAAAGACAACGATTTTCTATTGTCTCCTTAGTAGACATTAGTCTAGATTAAAATAAATATTAACCATTTTCTCAAGAGAGTTAATTTGTCAGTCAGACGATGATGATTAACATCTTCAACTTCAATTGTGAACAATAGTTAATCTTAAACAAAGTGAAAATTAAATGAGTAATTAAGTTAATTGTGAACAAAATTAATAAAACAAATAAATTTAAGCCTTGAGGTAATCCAAATATAAAGTTAAATGGTTCCAACGGGTAACTCAATTTTCTACCCTTCACTTCCGTGGTTCTTGATTAAGACTCCTTGGTTGGACCATTTTGATTTGATCTCTTGGAATAGCTCGAGGTCGATCGGCTTGAACCGTAAAATGTAAGTCTCTTGATCTTTCTCTTGAATTATGATGATCTCTATGAACATTAACCGGAGGTAATGATGTATCCATATTCTCATCTACAAGATGAATCTCAAAAGATTGTGTTGTCTGAGGTACAGGCATTTCAGATGCGGGTTGACAACAACGATGATTGAATTGTGGTTTGCCTCTTGATCTATCGGGACCATAATAAGCCCAATTGTCAGGCCATTCGGCTTCATGAGTTTGAACTCTTTCAGAATAGATTTTGAATAACCTTGAGACAAATGAATTGCTACATGTTGATGTTACATTCGCATAATGTATTCCATCTCCTATTTGATCTACTTTCTCTTCGATCTCTTTCCAATAGGACATGTACAATTGCATCGCTATTATGGCCTCAACGGTAGGTGAATGAGGTTTATTTTCCACAGTGTATCCTCCGAATACCAAAAAGGCAATGAGAGTTAATGAACAAGCACTTTCATTAAATGGAGAAAATATTTGTGTTATCTCTCTCATCTTTGGCTTTAGCAATTCAATTTCACATGACTCAAGTCCAATTGATTTTAACATGTTAATTATTCCAGCGCCAACAATTACCTTAGCACAAGCAAGATATTGGATCACTTGATCTCTTATCGATGGTAAAGTTTTACTCAATCTAATATCAGATTTCTTGAGACCATGATAATGTGAGTCCATATAGTTAATGTTATTGTGTCTAACTAGAGTTTCGTAAACTATTTGTTGAAACCCATTTACAATAACGATCCAAACTGGTCTTGGCATTAGCTTATTGGTGTAACCGTTTCGTTCAACTCGAATTTCATTAACACGACAAAAGGCCATGTGAACACAGAAAGTTAATAGAGGATTAGGATGAAGTTTTGATTGTTGTTCAATCCTTGAGGAAATTGCTTCACTTAAAGGAGGA